TGCTTACATTTCGTTAACTTATCTTCTGACAAATACACAATACTGTATAGTGACTCACCTTTATCACGAGAACACGACTGGTTTAATAAAAACAATTATTATTGTAACCAGTTGTACCAGTGACTGTTTTAATGTGCTTTTGTTTAACTGTGCTAAAAAGCATCCATTATTCTCACACTTTGATTGTGAATTCGCGCGAATTCGGTTACGTTCTGTAACCAAGCTTGTGTCCTGGCACGATCTCGGTATCCTTTCGATACCACGAGGTCGCCAGCGAAAATATCTCGATTTGGTCCATTAATTGCCTTCTGATATTTGGCTTCTCGGGGATTTTATGGATTTATTTGGTTACGTTCAACCTTCGCCTTCTGATTTACTTGGCACGTGTTTCTTGGTAGCGGTGTTCATAGTCAATCTCGACTCGACGCCACGCTACAACTGTCCAGTTCCTCATTACTAGTCAATTCCAATTATTTTACCCTAGTATTATTTTCTGTATGTGCATTGTTTTTTTTCTTCAAATGTATTCTTCCTTAATGTTCTACCTATTATTTTTAAGGCTATGTTACTAAATTCGTATGAACATCTGTGGCCAAATTCACATTCCCATCAGGATCAGCCACAATCATGTTAAATAAATATTGGTTATTAGCGTTTGATTAATGTGTTTGGTACAGTCCTGCAATCATTGAAGTACTTTAACAGTTTCACAGTAACATCTGAGATTGTTTCTCAAACAGAAGTAATACTAAAAGTGAGAATAGGTTTGGAGATGTTAGTTAATACAGTATATTGTGACTATATTACCTCAGATTTTGTTCAATACTTCATTCTAAACTCACTATTAAACACTATTCCAACAGAAAAAAGTCTTTATATTGGTAAATGTGCTTGCACATGATATAACTAACATCTTAACGCCAAGATCGGAAAAATACACATCCTCGGTTTCACTGTAAGCCACTATCCAACTCTACCTCATATCAAGTTCATAACATTCCTTAAACAAAATCCTGGAATAAAGACTAACCAAAAGTGAATCTTTTCTAGACATCAGTTAGTTCAATACAATGTGATTTTATAAGGTCAATAATTAAAGTACTACTTCCTGTACTTTTTATAAGAACTTAGTTTTCAATATCTCTACCTTAAGTACACTGAATTAGTTTTTTTGTTTTTGAGTTGCTACTAATCATTTTTGGAAAGTACGTATCATAATGTAATGTCGCATGACTACAGTTGTACTTTATCTTACGGAGATTTTTTATCCCAAACCCGATTAGCTGGATGTACCTGCATCCAAGAGTTGATGTTCACCTAAAGAGAACGAAATGCACGTCCTGGATTCCACTGCTAACCACTATCCATCTTCGTTTATAATGCTTGTAACTAAAGGCAATATCGAGGCAATCCGTACAGGATGCATATATGCCAATATAAACCTGATAAATTGCAGTACTGAAGTGTTGGGAAGTGTTATATCCTAGTGAAGATTACATCACGAGTAACGTCTGAGACATATTAATGGACTAATATTATTTATATGTTCTTACGGTATAAATATTCAGTAACTAGATTATGTATATCTATATTCCCCTTGTTATAAGCTTCATTTTGACCTATATATGACTATTGCACGATTTACTGTTCTTAAGCTAATTTCAGTTTATTGACTACTGCCTCCCACGTTCACAGCCACTTTTTGGCTTTATTGTGTATGTTATTTCCCATTTTATGCTGCGTTGCGGTGTTTGTTTGGTATATAAACCCAGTATGTCTGAAATAAATGATTCGCATAGTGGAGGCTGTTATTGGCATTCTGGACTTAGCTGGACAGGCTAGGCGAGCAACGGACCAATAGGACGCTAAGCTGATCAGATCGGTCGAACGTCATTGGTTTAGTACAGTATGAGAACGAATGTCGTATTTTGATTGGCGAACAGATTACGTGATAACAAGCGGCTCATAAAGTCACAACAAAAAGATTCAAACAAACAATACAAAATGAACCAGTATTCATGTTCATTCATTGTCATATTGTTATAAATATACGTTAATCGATAGCTCGGGAGAGCAATTCGGTCAATCAAAATCTTGGTTATTATTTACCTACTCTATCTTATACTAATCGCTAATTGTCGACCGGTAAGCTTAATATTAAGTTTAGCCGGAAACAACTCTAACTCCATTTGGTCCAGGAAGTATGCCTTACTTCTTTTCCTGGTCTTGATTGCGAATGATATAAGACAGCAGCAAAGCTTCTACTATTATATTTCCAGCACACGATATATCACAAACACTCATTAATTTATGTACATGAACAGAATGCAAAGCATACCAAACATGAAATCGTACTTTGCACACAATCATGAATCTTTTCCGCCACTAAATTCCTTATTTATTTTTGTTGTTTTCTCATCTAACTTTTCCGCATTCATCTTCCGTCTTCTAACTTTAATCGCCATGATTACGCCAATATTTCAAATTGTTTAAAATAAACAAAATGACAAATTGATATACAAGGCTTGTAACAATAGGTTGTTCATGAATCATAAATGTTATATTAAATAAATGTACCGAGTATCTACTTTCGTCAGTGTACTATTTGTATTTACCAAAAACGTTTTCTGTAAACTACATGATATATATATTTTTAGACTAATTAATAATTCAAAACTATTGTATGTGGTTTAACTGATTACAGGATAAAATATATGGCAGATCTTAAGACTGGAACACAATTTCAAGCATAGTTAATAACTACTACATCAATGGAAATTTTAATACACGTAAGTGGTAAACTCAGTACATATGGTCACATGAATGCCTACGATGAATGCTGGAGGACAGAAACTACCATTACATGCAACATGAAATAAACCAATTTATTCATCAGTCCTAATCACGTATTTAATTCGTATATGTTTAACATTTTACTCGAAGATTGACCAATTCCAGTATAGCAATCTTGAGTAAAGATATGAGAAGTAGGATGTAGGTTATCATTCTAACAAAAAATATTTAGTATTCCGATACAATTATAAAAACATAGAATTCCGGGTTTTATTAGAGCCACTGTGCTGAAGTCGTAATTAAAGAAGTAGTATGATGTATTCTGATTATTTCTCCGAGAAGAATATCCCACAAATAGCCAGAAGCACACAACTCAAGAGTATATATACAGAATAAAAATGTCCTTGAGAAACGTCACAAAACAGCATACTAAAAGAGGCAACCAGCCTATGACATTTAGGGTCCTTCCAAGTTGGAAATACAATGTCAAGGTAAAAATGGGCACCTTTTGGCACGAAAACGAGAAATTCAAATTTATAGAATAAAATTTCAAAAACAAGGCGTACACCAAATGAGTTGTAAGGATCCTCAACAATGACTTTTAGTAATTAATGTTGGATAAATCAGCTTTATGACAGACCGTTAAGTTTTATGATGACAAAATCGTTTCCATGACCCTATTGAGTTTACCATCGTCATAATGTGAGTGTAATAAGGTCCCTCATTTGTAATAGGACTCTCTTCCAATTTATTTACTCCACTTGCTAAGTAGGCTACTACATATTATCCTTTAACAATGTCCCCTAATTATTATGATCTTAGCGTTTTATATTTCTTCTTCAGATGAGTCAAGTGAACATTATCGCTTTTACTTCTGATCGGTAAGTTACTCTCATTTCTCCATCCTCTTCTGACCCCTTGGTCAAGAAGCAAGCTCCTTGTTATTTGAAATCCCGGATCACTTTATGGTGTAATCTTTTCTATTCTAGTATAATTTTATTTTGGGTACCATTTCTTTCAAAGGAAGTTAAATTTACACTGCTACCTACTCCTTTAAATCTCTGAAATAAAAATTCACTTGCCTAACATCGCGTAGCATATCAAGGACTGTATCTGAATAGGCATTTGATCTATACCATTACTTATATTAATGGAATGAATTTTAATATATGAAATTTGAATGCACTGATAATATATGATTATGTGTTAATGGGGATTGTAATTGATACAATAGTGGTGCAACCGACATTTCTAATAGCCAAAATGTCTGAACGCTTGATTTGAGGCGATGAAGTTAACATGATGAATCCTACCTCATTATATTTAGTGACAATAGTAAATCGGTAGTTTTCTCAACTTTCTACAACAGGAACTTACTAATCTGTATCTAATTAGTCGTACCAATCTCTTGGTTTTTAAAAAAGATTACATGTGGCAGTAAAACATATTAGATCCTCAAAAGATACTTTTTAAACTCTGTAAAGTAAAAACACATTTTCCTCTCAGAACAGTTATCGTCTCATGAGTTACGATAAAAGGAATGGAACTGAACCATTATGAAAACATGAGGCAATTCTAAGAGTGGACTTTAGATTAGTAAGTCAAACATACGATGAAACTTTGTAAACGAAATGGATATTTCAAAAAAAAACTAGATGGAGAGTTTTGAAATACTAACATTGTAACTCTGTTGTTATGGATGCAACGCACCTAACCCTAAACATTCTAAACCTAAAACTCTTGGCATTCCTCTAACCAAAATACTCCTAAAACCTTATCTTCAAATTCTGTGCCTTTTCTGTATGTTATTTCCTGATCACAGCCACACAAGATTAATAGTCCAGTATTCTGTAGATGTTATAAAGTTACATGATCAACCAACCTAACGAAATGCGAAATCCCACCCAAAAACATGATTGTCTTAAAACTCGCGCTTAAATTCAACAATCGCCGTCTTCGTTCTGATTGATCAATCTCATTCGTTTTAAAGCTGTTAACATCGTTTATTTCTACCACATATAAAAAGATATATATACTATTCAACGAGTATACAAAACAATGCCAGAAAATAAATCCACCACTCATAAAACGTTAATAAACACAAATGGAATGAATAATCCTTGTTTTGTTTTGCTTTATAAGTTAACAAAAAAGAGGACTTCTATCTGCATATTTACTGAATATCAATGCTAACATTGTCAGTGATCTCAGGATGATGTATTGGGCACAGAAGTAGTGGGTACAGTAGTTGTTGTACTGTTAGTAAAATTAACACTTGAGTTTTGATTTGATTGTTGATTTTGAGACTGTTGTTGTCGTTGTAATGTATTTCCCAATTTAGCTACTGCTGGTCCAATAGTTAACCGACATAAAATAATCCAACATATCACTAAAATTTTTACAGGTATATATGATATTACTTGACAGATAAAAATAGTAATATCTTTCATTGAATGATTATTTATCATGAGAGATTGTAGTGTTACCGGTGAAATTGTCTCAATTGGTGAATATGAAATTAGATAAGCCATAAATATTGCTTCGATTACATATAATCCAACGTAGATACTGACTTGACGAACCATCTGACCCCCCCCAAAAAAAAGAAATTTTTTAGAAAGAGCAATATATATATACATAGATGTTTAAATGAAAAGAGAATAAAAAAATATGGACGTAAAATTATCACATACACCAATTAAAGTATAGTAGTGCAGGGACGAGAGATTAAAGAATTCGCGACGAATTCTCAGCTAGTTTCTAGTCAAACAGAAAATAGCTTCTATAAATGGATAGTTTAGGGGAAGTGAAGCAATAATACTGAAAAGTGTAAACAGATTTTGCATAATTAATAAATCTATTAATGTCTTCTACAAGTTACTTGGCCTGTTAATCGAAAAAAAACTGGTATATACTAGTGAAGATTAAATTACGGGTAACTTCTGTGAACTATTAATGGACTAATATTGTATATATATTGTTATTGTATAACTAATTAGTAACTAGATTGTGTATATCTAAATTTTGACCTACAGACTATTATGATACGATTTACTATTCTTAAATTATACTCAGTTTATTAATTAAAATCTCCCATATTCACAGCCACTTTTTGGCTAAATTTTGTACAGATGTTATTTCCTATTTTATGGTGTGATGTGGTCTGTTTGGCTGCTACATAAACTAAGTATGTTACAAATAAATGATCCACATAGTGGAAGCTGTTATTGGCATTCTGGACTGAACTGGAAGAGCTAGGAGAACAAAGGACTAATAAGGACGCTAGGCTGCTCATACCGGTCGAACGTCATTGGCTTGGTACAGTACTAAGACTGTAGAAGTTGCATTTCGATTGGCGAGTAAATAATGTGATAATTAGCCCGGCCTAAAGATATAACAAAAACAATGAATCAATTTATCTATATTCTAGAACCTTTAAAATGACTCAGATAGATTTTTAAGTCCCCAGACTATTCTTGGTTAGGTTTGAGATTATATGTTTAGGTTACAACTTCATAACGAACTGACAATAGCTGTATTGTAAAGCTTCTCTATAGCCATATGGATGAATTAATTTTGTCAAAAATATGAGATGCTATCTGATTACTTCGTCCATAAAATAAAAAAGGTTTCCTTCATGACCAATGGTATAAGATGGTGGGAAAATTTTGCAGCACAGGTGGATGATTTAGGTGTTATTGTTCTCTGAGCAGGATGTTTTGATCGTGAAGCTTTCATTGTTTTTCTGAACAACACCGTTAGCACAAACTCCAGGTTGAAGTGAAGTGTTCGAAGTTCTCGAGGTCAACCTCGATTTTATGTGAGTCATTTGTAGAGAAATTTGAACATATCACATAGCTGAAGTCTGTGCTGATGATGTTGTTCAAAAGAACAATGAAAGCTACATGATTAAACCATCAATTTCAGAGAACAAAACTACAACTAAATTAATGATTTAAGTTTACAATTCAGTGATAACGTCGATTTGCCTGTTATATATAATCTAAAGAGATAGATTTATGCATTTGATAAATTTAGAACTATTACTTTCAATCTATAGTTGCAAGAAATAATTTTTAGCAATCATTTTAAATATTTTGAACAACGTACAAAAGCATTTCTCTTGATCACTAAACGTGATATTTAATTTCGTCCAGAAAACTAGATATCGGATTCTCGATTATGATTGAGTCGTTCCTAAAGCATACTCTTTACCACACCAATCTTTTGAACTTGATAATTTGAAAAAAAAACAAGATAGGATACAAGTTCGTGAAACTGCAGTACATTTGTTTTTCAATGTTTAGTATGTGTGAGATACCTAGCTTTTTTTGTTCATTTAGTGAGTGAATGTGGCATACAAGAAAAAGTATAATTTTCACAGAGGACTTCATTTCAAGTTCTAATTTTCAATTTTAATCTGCTTTTTCATTCAGCACGTTGTGATGAGCTACAGTGGTATGTTCATAGAAGGCATGTAAAGATAGCCTTATATGATTAAAATGAAATTCCCAGTAAAAATCATGCTGTTATATACAGTATTTAATCACTAAATATATAGAAAAATGGTTGAGAATGCTAGATATTGCATTGTTGTTATTGAACGCTGAAAAAATTGTTGTCAACCTCATATCTACAAAATAGTCTTTCATTATGACTGATGTCAGTTATTGATGAAAGGTCCATTATTCAGTTGTAATTTTACTACATTCTTATCACTTGTTTTAGAACTAAACAAACCTTTCTTATTGGTTGGAAAGTAGTTCAAGGTCGACCATATACTTTACCAAAAGATAAGCGGATCTGCTCTGTTCAAGTCGAATTCCAAATATATTACTCCGATAAAAGTGTTGAAACCTTATTCTAATTTCTGAACAGAACAATCATTTCAGCCTTTCCCGTTATCCTTTATTTGTTCGAGCAGTTAAATGTATAATTAAAACACGATTGGGTTATTTTACATTTACTCTTAAAGGTAATCATGAGCTTTTAATATATTTATGTAATTTCTGTCAAAGCCTTTGAGTGGAAGATGCCGTCATGAAACATGTCAATCAACAGAACCAAATCTACATTTCAGATCAATAGAAATGACTATAGTTGAAAGTCAGAAAAATGTGTACTTTAATTTATAACCTAATCCACAGTAACTGCCAAAAGTGATTGTATTATTGTCAACGAGGTACGGAATACAGTTCGAAGAAAACATTCAATCATGTTTCATTTCAACTATTTGTGTTTGTGAAAAAAAGAACCAATAAGAAGAATTAGGTTCACCAACCAGATGAAAAGGTTTGTGCTAATCTGAGACATATTGATAGTAGGTTTTATGATAATACCCTATTACTGTAATCTGAGATGAAACGGGGTTCGGACACGCGAACTATTGCTTAAACATCAAACGTTTCGATAGTTAGTTTCTGAAGAATAATAATATTGAATAGTTTTCAAATCAAAAGTGCCAAAAACGAGAGGTTTGACGTCAAAATACAATAGAAAGTTGAAATTGTTGATAGAGTGGCAAGAAATGTGTGTGAGAAGTGAAGGGGGACAATGGAATTTAGACTGAAACGTAAGTGTACGAAAACCCTAATTTTGGTAACCACTGTAACATTCAATAAACTGTGAACCCTGTAGATATACCAAAATTTAAACAGTGAATCGAAATTGGTTTAGTCAAATAAGTTGATTTAACACCATCACTTCTTAACAATATCTCATAATATGCTATTCTGGGGTCTATTGAACGTGACATTTCCAGATATTTTCTACATATAAAAGCACCAAACAATGTTAAAGTACTCATAACAGTCACGAAAACAGTATCTAAAAAACCGTAGTGCATAACCCAGTGAATTATGTTGTGATGCGCAATGTTCGAGAGTTGATCCTGAGATATACTTCTAAACACATGAACCTGGTTGCTCGAGAGAAAATACTGAGAGTGAAGAACATTTATTTCGCTAAGGCTAATCGATTGTATGTGAACTTATTTATTTATATATGTGCTTATCCCTTAGGAAATTAAGCCTATCAGTGGATTTTTTCATCCCTTGAAAAAGAAAGCCATTTCTTGGCTAATCGCATTTGAGATTTGGCGATTTCTCATTAACCTGCTGTATTGAATTGTATTTGCCTTATAATGACTGTACGAATAGTAAGCAAACTTCAGTAAATTATTAAAACAAAAAACTTACTGATCCAACAAGAGTTTCAGGGGCCAGGGAGTTCAACTGACGTTCCAATAGTTTTATCTTTCGTTCTAGTTTCGAATAAGTAGCAAACTCATCCACCATATGTACACTTTTCAATTGAGTTCGTAAATTTCCTAGATCTTCAACACACTTAGCACGTAGTGCTCGACGTTTACGACCAGATGGTGTGGATATTGCCAAAATAAAATTAACAAGAGCATGTAATCTATCCACGATACCGAATGTAAAGCATAGTCGAAAGAATAAAATAAAAAGGAATATAATAGTTAAATAGGTGAGCCAGGAAATAGACGATGGCGGTGATGAATATATGTATTCAGGAGCCTCATAACTTGAGTCGTTGTTCAACGACAGATTAGGATTAGTTTCCATAAAATTCTCTATACACCTGTTGAAATGATAAATAAATAAAACCTATATATTAACAAAGTTACCAATTAGAGAAGTGAGTTACTTGTATGTTTTATATCTTAAGCATATTTCAGTGAAACACAAAGGTGTGTACTCAACGAAAAATTATGATAAATCGATGGAGAAATCAGTATTTAAGGCCTTACATAAATTTATTATACATAAAAACTTTTCACTTTATCAGTAACAAATTGGATTTTGTGTAATGCGTTGAATTACAAGTTAACGTAGAAAAGTATGAGTTGTTAAGCGTGTGACTCGGAAGTTAAGTAATGACGTACGCATTGAGCTATATAGTTCTAATAATATACGCAAAAAGTGATAAACATTAAATGGATACGAAGAAAATTAGCATTAATGTAACGGAACCAAAACCATTTTACAAATTCAATAACAACGAATGAATAAAGTTCTGGGTATTTAGAAAAAATTTTTTTTGGTATTATTCAATTAATTTAACAAGACAGTGAGTCATATGTCTTTGTTGTTCAGCATAATGAGTCTTAAATTTTTTTTATGTACTTATACATAACGAAGAATAAACCTGATGTAGCATTATGAACTGATAACTTATTTAACATAGGTCAACACACAAACTTAGTTGTAGTAAGTTTTGAGACAAATATACGTTGGATATAATCCATCTGGATTACAAATATTACAATTTTCTAAAAAACAACCCATCATAAATGAAACCTATTTCTTTTTATTTTACAGTTGAAACAGGGACAGCCAACTTTTGAACATATTTGGGAAAAATTTGAGAAGCTACAGTTCCATTTAATTTAATAGTTTCCTCCTATTACTTACTTACGCCTGCTACCCCTCATAGAGGATAGGTTACCGACCAGGATAGTAACTTACAATAACTAGTAAATAAATATGCGAGTTAACTGACAAGCAAAGGACAGGTAAAAGTGATTAAGAGTTTTATCCTTACTCGCTTGGTGGACACAGGTCATCAAGTTGAGTTGAATAAAGTTGTTAAGGTTATCCACCATATCCCATCAAATTCATCACATGGTTTACGAGTTCGTCTTCTGCACATTGCTGAAGCAATTGGAATCGATGTTCACAACCGTAACCTTTGCATCCAAAATAATGTTGTACAACCACTCTCACTACCTTGGCCATCTGTATAGGAGTGAGTTTTTAGCAACTTTTATTAAACCTTTTCCTTTAAAAATATTTAAATTACTTTCTCATTTCTTCTACTTTTGTATTTTACATATTTTCAACTATTATCATCGATTCTTACATAACTACAATAATGCTGACCCTTCATCAAAATATTTTGTTAGTTCAGTCTATATATTATGCAATGTAGCAACTGGTTGATTTTCCGAATAATTACGCTGATTATTATAATCCTATTTCTTTCAATTACTCAATATTATTTCATAATCTACCTGTCATTATATATAGATTTTACCTGAATAAGACACCTAAAAGCATTACAAGTGGTTTGATTTCTTAATCTATCATAATTGTTATGACTTGTGACCTTGTTAACATATCACGTGATACGATAGCCAATTAGACACCGATTTATACGACGAGACTAATCACGTATAAACTTGTTCGAGTGGCCTAGAGTTCTTGTTAGTCCTCTGAAATAATAGTCTCTAGCCTAAACCCAACCGGTTCAGTCCAGAACACCAATATCAGCCCCCGATATATCAATCAGGTACTTCAGACATACGCAGTTTATATACAAACAAATCAGACGGTATCATAACATAAAATCGAAAATAATAATTACACAAAATCAGGCTAAAAAGTGGCTATGGGAGATTGTAGCTAATACCTTGGAGATAACTCAGGAATAGTATATCATATAATAGTAGTCAATAGGTCAAACGGAAGCTTATAATAAAAAGAACATGAATATACAGACAATGTAGTTACTTAATGGCTATACAATAATACACATAATGACGGTCCATACATAGATTCTAACAGTTACTAATCATTATTCTTCGTCCAGATATAACAATAATCACATGTTTTTCTACACCAAGCATCATAGCATTCCAAACTATTCAAAAGCACTTATCTATTTAACCGACTATAACCATATTATAATATAAACTTATTATTAAAATAGTTTATTAACTATATTAAATGGGAAATAGCGAAATACTTTAAAATATTTATTCAACAATATCGGTTATAATGGAGCGGATCTATTCATTAATATTCTTCCTCGCGATTTTGAGTTTTGATATTCAATCGATTTATCCACTTCCTTCGAGGTTTTTTTCAAATTACTCTTTATGCTTAGTAGTTCTTTATTGTTAATTGACGCTACTATTATTTTGGTAACTTTGATTTCCACCTTCCAAAAATCCCATTCACTTTGTGCATGTATAAATCGTTTAAACTTTGGTTGTGCCACGCCTTATTTTCCACTAACAGGTCACAACACTGATGATTTACTGAAGCTAAGAGAGAACACTAGTTTCTTGGTATAGTAAGTAAATTACCACAGCTCAAAGTAACCCATAGATATAATTTCCACTCAACCAATCATAATCCAAAAACCAGTAAAGAGAACAGCAACCTGTAAGATCGATTGAAATTCAGCGAGATATTCAACATAACATAACATAACGGATAGAAAGTAACCGAGTAAACATTTTGTTATAGTGAATCAAATGCTTATATTCATAGTTTAAATCACGAATTGATCATGACTAGACCACAACCGAAGACCTGGACGGTCGTTTTTTCTTAATATGGTACTCCACATCAGTGAACATTCAAGAATCCACCACAGGATTGAATACATGATCTTCAGTCTCACACACGAATCCTTAACCTCTAGACCACAAAGCCAGAATTCACCGCAGGCAAAGCATGACGATTGCACAATATCGTGAGGTTAGATGAACACCATTATTCCCGACTTAGTGGTATAGAGGTTTTGTTCACGAGTGAGACCAAAAGTCCTGTGTCCGGTTCTTGGTTGATGAAGAGTACCACACTAAGACAAAATGACTGCCCAATGCTTCTAGACCTTTAGTGTTGGTCTAGCTTAGACTAGTTCGTGATTTAAACTATAAGAATTCTATAATCTCCACAAATCCCTCTATACTAAAAGTAACTGTTTTATTTATCGCATATGGGAACTCAACCTGAAATAAGAAGCATTTATGATTATTACAATTACTATTATTATTGTCATCATAATAATACCCTAATCTCAAATCACTATCATCAAAAATCCTTAGTTGAACGAACGACAGCAACACACTGACTTCATTTTCCATGTGGTAGAACGAGTTAAGTACATCTATATGACGTTTTGAAGGTAATTTTGTTTTGAAAAGCGTGTTTCATACTTTTACATTTTCCATACTATGGTGCTTAATGTTTGAGAACCTAAGATATTTATAGCAAATCAGTTGGTGGAGCAAAGACTTATAATGTTTTCCAATGTGGAAGAACTTAAATGCCAGACAGATCTACCTTTTTATCAAAGGTGTATGAGAATGAGAGGGTCTAACTCATGTGAGCATTTGTGATAAATACACGGGGAACGTAGTTACTAGGAGTATAGGTGAATCTTAAATACATATTGTATATATTTAGTTAAACTGTAATGTACAGAGTATTACTTCGATAAATTCATGACATTAAGAACTGATGATTTATCATTAGAACTACGAAAAATAACGATCGTGCTGGTAATAACAATGAAACTAAACGAATGACAAACTAGCAACCCATCAAATGTGAGATATTAGAGACTAAAAATACCTCTGATTCTAGTGATTGGGTAGTGAGTTGTGTTTGAGCAATAGCTGTTAAGCAGCGACGTACTTCAGCCAACCTTGACTCAAGTTTAGTTGTGATACGCGCAAGTTTCGCTCCTTCAGATCTATAAGCTTCTAAAAGTTTGTGAACAGTAGCACGTTGAATATCTGCACTGGCTTCTTCTTCAGGCAGAGCTCCAATCAATGCATCCAGTTGCTTTGCAGTAGCGGAAATTGCAACAGCAAAACTCCGAGCAATATCTAAAGCCAACAAAAATAATGAATCAGTCAAAGCATTTTGTGGAATGTCTGAATAAGTTTATTAACAGGACAATGAGAGTTACTATCCAGGACTTAGGCATAGTTGCTGAAGTAACTACAAAGTTCTAAATTGCTAATAAAGATGGCCGTTTTACTACAGTGGTTTTAAAAACTCATTTATTAGGTTAAACTATTTACTCTTAGTTTCGGCTTCAAGATTGTCTTAATTTGAGATTTGTGTTATAGCTGATTGTGACCTATTGCTTTCCTTAATAAATATAAGTGCATTGTGTGCGCATTCTGGGTTGTAGACTCATCTATTATTTTCTTCTTCTCTTTCCTAGCTCGCTATTTACGCTACTGTGCATGCTCCCCTAGTAAACAAAGTACCTTCTGGCTGTATGAGGACCGTTATACCAACTACTGCAGTTTATAAGGGCTTGGATCAGAAGGTAATTCCGGTGATCATGGGTATGCATTAGTCTTGGGAGTATCTGAAACACTAAAAAAATCTAAGACCATAAACAAATAAATGGACAGCCAAGATGTTACAAAGAACAGTATCATGTTTCAGTAAATACATGTTAATAATGTCATACTATTTGTTCTTTACCATATAAATACTAATTTGTGCAGTTACCATTTCCCTATAAAGATGCTGTCTTTTGTGTGGTTTCCAACCGTTCAGAATGTACACGTATCTTCCAGAAATTATTAAAAACTGGCACTTTGTCAAAAGTTGGTATGAGATTTCTATGCCACCGGGAAACTATGTCATAAGGGCGTTGCTAATTAGAACTAATAATATGCAATAACTGAAAGATAAGAGTATTAAATGTGTGAAATTCGAAACTAAACATCAAAAGCTAACGATGAGAATGAAGAAAGTATTTACTTTACTGAATGTGTAGTGAACAAAAACACAAGTGGGGACAATTGAATGTATTTGAACACAATATTACAGAAAATCTTAGTAAAATATGAGAACCATACAGTAAATAATTAATTTGCAAAATGCCAATCAATTGTTTCAAACTTGATTGTTCCTTTTGCAAATATCAGTCAACTGTCTCAGACTTCATTGTCCTGTCGTTTCCACACCAACCATTGTTTGTTCTATTTCCTTTGATCTTTTTAACCTTCTGCCGCCAGGCATTTCACTTTCGATTGATGATATGTACTACTTATATCTGTTGACATCAGTAGCACACATCGCAAGTGTACTCAAATCAACGGAGTAGGCTTGTATTGTAACTTAAAACAACAGAACCAAGGCAAAGATAATGTTGATTTCACTACAATGAATACTGACAGTAACTACTGAACTATGAAACAAATTCAAAATAAACTAGCATGTTTAAATCTATGTGCAGACCAGCGCCGGACGCTTACGTTATCTTATATCTTGGTTTTGTTTTTGGCCTACGTTCACTGTATTTGAAGAATTCGTTTTCTGAATACTAATAAAAACACTGCATAATAGTTACATATATACACTAACCGTCAGTTGGTTGAGCTTGGATAAATGCCTGGTATTCTGGTTTAGCAGACCTAGAAGCCCAATTAAAGTCAGAAAAGAAACTGGGCTGAGCGACTTGTTGTATTACACCGATTGCGTTGCACAAATTTTCAGCTTGTAAATTAATTGCGTCTTGTAACTCAGTAAGTCTATCTGCCATCCAAGTTGGGAGCTGAAAATAAGAAAATGTAGATAAGTACATTTTATGAGATTGAAGTCCATGTTAGGTGGGAAGAATTTTTATATCCCGATAAGAATAATGAATGGTAACTTTTGGGATCCATTTATGGACCAATAATATGCGCATATTTTTACAGTACAATTGTTAAATAACTAAACTATTCATATTCATGTCCCTCTTATTATGAGCTTTATTTTAACCTATGAACTGTTATTATACGATTTACCATTCTTGAATTATGCCGTGTCTACCAATTACCATCGCCCTTACTCCCATCCACATTTGGTTAAATCTTGTATAAATGTTCTTTCCTATTTTATGGTACGATGTGGCCTGTTTGGTTGGTATATAAACCCCGTATGTTTGAAATAAATGATTCATATTGCAAAGGCTGAGATTGGTGTTCTGGACTTAACTGGATGGGCTAGGTGGAAAGCAGGACCAATAAGGACTCTAGACTGCTCGTACGGGTTTTACGCGTCCTTGGTCCGATCGATCATTCACTGCTCTCTAATTGACGGTATCGTCACGTTATACGTTAAGAGGGCACTCAGGCCACAAGTTATAACAAGAATGATTAGTAAAAAGCAACAAAAAACGGGTCAAATATCAAGTCAAATTACGTAGCAGTTTTAGGTCGCCATATTTATTTCAGACAAGTGAAAAAAACTTAACGAAACCACGACCAGTTGACATGCAGAAAACAGCCGACATGGGTTACTAAGATGTTTTATTTGTATCCAATCATATCAGTAATGAAGGATGAGGGGAATAGCAACGATTTTGATTAGTAAGATTATAATTAAATTCGAAATGGGCTTTTCTACTATTTGCTTTAACCGAGCATCGATTAAGCATTGAATTATCATGGAAACCTTGAGACCTTGTTGGTCAAGTTGAATCCTCTACACTTGCCACAAGGGTTTTCCTCGCAGAAACCGAGATGATCGGAAATCAAAACACCAGTCCAATGGAATTACGTTCAGACCTCAAATTACAATATCCAGTTTTACACTGCCATTCCTAAAGGAATGGCCAGTAGTTTTCTCTCACCTCAAGTTATTTACAAGAGCCATAATATTGTTAAAAAAGAACCACGACAGGAATGCTTTTGTGGTTCGTTAACAGTGAGCAACTACATCGCAGTCATTTACTAGTTCAACTGTCATTAGCTCCGGTTACCTGACCCCAGTAGAACACCTAACTATCTAGTTCCACAGCAGTTTAGCTAACTATTAACTATATGAGTGATATTCCCGACAGACTTTAATAGAGCTCGATTTTCAAGCACTAAACCTAAGCTTCGAATTTCACCTCACCCACTTCGGTTTGGGAAACCGGATAATATCGCTAGCCCTTACACTTACGCTTATACTGAAGTACCTGGTGAATGAATTAATTTTATGTTTTTTTTATTATTATCATATCCGGATGCTATTTCTTTAACGATTCAATTGCTTAATGAATATCAATCGGTCATCATCAACGTACAGCCTAACAAGAATTACACTAGCCCAAGCAACCATATCACACAAACAATATGAATAACAAGAGATCGAAATAATATACCAGCAATGATAATGAGAAAGCCTAAACATCAGAAATATAGTTCGAAAAGACAGAATGGGAAGGTTTTTTACAAAGGAATAATTGCAATAACCGATAGAAAGATAGAGTTGAATCCAGATGCACCACTGTGACATATTATGTGCACTTCCTATTAGCCTATGGTTTAAGTCCCTTTTGTTATTCATATTGTCAGGTACTAGAAACTAATTTTCGAGCATCTAGTCATTCCGAAGTTATCAGCTAGATATTCATACATGAGGGGTGAAACATGTGTCGACGCTGTCGAGACTGTTGATAATGGAATACCCAAATCATTAATGCATATTGTGAAAGATATGAAAGATAGTAAATTTATTGATGAAGCTATAAGCTTTCATAGACGACTTATGGGGTGATGCAAGTACAACATCCATCTCAGACACAGGCTATCTCTATGTCCAATGTTAACTGGCATAAGAGCATGCTAGACGACGATTGAGTGATCAACTCAATGGATGATATTAGTCTATAAAATCAGAGGGGTTGAAAAAGACACAAAAACGCACTGCAGACGAATGGTGTATTCATGCCTTAAGAAAAAACAAAACGCTATAGAACTGTGACATAAGAACATGCTTTTAAACACTACGGACTACAAAACTGTGTATTTATCACACAGCATCTTCAAAATAATCAAATGACCTAATAATTTTGGTTCCGTGCCAACCCAGTCTGTATTTAAGTACAGATAAGTAATAATCCAGAAACATCCTAGCTCTAAAAAATGAACACAAACAATAATGGAGGAATGTAGGACGACTTACCAATTAGCTTCCCTGTGATAGTTCTACAGAGATCAATTTAAGATTCTGAAATACCAAAGAGAAAACTCAATTAGAAAGCCTAGTATATATAAGTTCCCTGCCCACTTAAATAGGGCTAATTCACACGGAGAGGTTACGGTTATACATGTGTTTCAAAGGGGAGATATCGATTCCTCGTGTACGGACACTGCAGATCTACCCAACAAAATAGATGGGTTGGGAAATAACATGTAGTGTTCATCCGATAGGCTTTTATTCCAGAATGAGGAAAAACGGGTTAGGAAGTGGGGTCAGTGGATCTTCTCGCTACTCAGTAAGGTTTCTCTTCATCACAGAGTGTCTGATTTGAACTGTCTTCAAAAAGTCTGCTGCCGACACCCATTTTAAAAAGTTGATACTGATGATTTAGCAGTTCTCTTAGATAAGGATGTACATATTGTTCTCCCAGATGGATACAATCTTTCTTCGATTACAATGAACTTACAGTGTAGAGGATGAATCCATCGAAGCTCGAATTTCTAGCCATATAGGACTAGGATTATTTGAAGTAAGGAACTTGTCTGAGAAAGAGCCAGGGATTGTCGCGCTTAAAATTCACCTTCACTTATGAAGAATTTTTATTTGATAACCTAGGACTGCATTAAACCCCCGTGGTCCCATTAGTGTCAAATACTAGGACCTTTGCCCCCAAGTACCCGAGGGTGGGGAAAGTTAGCTCTCCCACTCGTAATGCTCTCACATAGCCACGCGTATACAGCCACTGCCAGGGAAGTCCTACTCACTGACTTCTCACGGCATTACTGTTGTTTACAAAATTGAGAGGACGAAAAGCGAATATACGGCGCCTTAACCGAGTTGGTTGGTATAGGAAATCCACCTGGGAGAGTTGGAAAACCCTGAGCCCAAACCGATGGTGCACATGGGCTTTAGGATCCTAAGGGAACAAATGGCGTATAAAGCAATAATTGGTCATCAGCCACCATGAGACTGCATGTCCTGACGTTGCTCCACTGCCTTGTGGACCAGACCTTTAGGTCGAAGTCTCCGGGTGTAGCTCCCTAAGAAAACCACGTGCTTCAGTCTGGGCATTCGGACAGTGTCACAGCCCACACACAAATCAAGTGACTTATGTGGTGCGTATGCATTCAGTGTTCCTTCGTACCAATATTTATGTTTTCAAATAATAAATTCGCCCTTTTTGGTTTATATAAACCATCCTTAGTACATATTTAAAATGTTACCTTTGCTTATGTAGGGCTTTTAGAAGTATACAACCAGAAGGAAAGATTAGTGCCTCAGGCAATCTGATCCAAGTTCAAATTCGGATGGTCAACAGCAGACAAACTCCCAACTAGTCAGAATAAAATAGTCTATCCGCAGCACGATGCTAACCTTAAATACAACCGAATTAACTTTGATTATTCTCCGCTGAAAAAAACGCTAGTCAAAAAAGATCTAGAAGTTTTAGTTCCCTACCAATTTAAACCATATGCTGTGGGAAATATCTACTTACATTCAACCTGGCACTAGTGACACATTTTTGGATAGTTTAGTGGTAGAGGTTTTCAACTAATTTTAACGTTTCAATCGGTCTTACATATAGTATAAACTCTGAGTTCACAAGGAGATAGCCCTTCTCCACGTCAAAAGAATAACAATTTGAAGAGCATTGAGACGCACAAAATTAGTCCGTGGTCTTCTGTCCAAACACTGAATATCTACCACTTGGAAATAAGCAACACAGAAGCGACCTTATAATGATCCGAAACATACAAAACACTCCTCAAGATCTAAGACAGTCATTTGTTTAATCATACTGCAAACCCCGGAGGGAATACTCAGAAACCAGATATACAACATGGTAAGTTGAACTTAATCCACACCCACTCTTTATGATGACTTGAGTTTTGGAATTCCCCACGACCGAAGGGAACCAAATAACATGTCTTTAGTCTTCTGACAGCAAGCTTGATGTGTCTTCAAATACTCAGAACAGTGTATTATACTAATTTACTAAGGACTATATTTCTGCTGTCTTCATACGTAGTATGCAACTCAATCAGATTACTGGAATTGCCGTTGAAAGAAGTTTCCAATGAGAAGCAAACTTCAAATCTGATGAAGGTTTAACCGTAATCACTCAATGAGTAGTATTGACTGAACTAGTTAATCAATAACTTATTAATCAAAAGCCAGTCTTATTGTCAACAATATTGGTAACTACCAATATTACAAACATACCTAGGTGTTAGTGATTTACTGCTACTAGACATAATATATTGCTAGTGGAAGGATTCCTTATTCCGCCCAGAGCCGTTAGAATCACATGAATTCCGCAAGTAGGATGACTAATTAATCATATATGATTAATTAGTATACTGTATACAGTATATACTGTTCATTAATGACCATTATTGGTGAGCAAACATACGTTTAATACATTTACAGCTGCTGTTCGTAACCACCGTGGTGTGTAACAGAGTTCACCGGTCATAAACAATAGAGACGACAGATATCTGCCCATACGAACAACTTACCAAACAAAACAAGAAACTGCAAGTAGCGTGCACCTAATGTGTACACCTCCAATGTCCAATATGTCAAAAATCACCGTGCATGTTGCCAAAATGAAAAAACTCATATCGTCATCTTAATCAACAATAAGCGTGAAACTCAGTGTGTTTGTAAGCTCAGTGAGGAAGTATTTTGTATACACAAATAATTTTAATGAAGTTAATGATTATGTACTTTATGGCCAGTGAAATTTCACTGAGCCCTAGCCAAATCATCCGCCAGTTGGGTTAAAGAGTTTTAAAACCCCAAATACCTGCGGCATCTTCAGTACCCAGATGTTCGAACGATCATGTGGTAGTGAGTGGTCTAGAAGAAGCCTTTACCTAGTAGTGACTCACATTTATCACGAGAACACGACTGGTTTAATAAAAACAATTATTATTTTAAACAACTGTACCAGTGCTTGTTTTAATGTGCTTTTGTTTGACTGTGCTAATGACAGCTATATTGTGCTTCCATTCTTATTCTTACACTTTGATTGTGACTTCGCGCGAATTCGGTTACGTTCTGTAACCAAGCTTGTATCCTGGCACGATCTCGGTATCCTTTCGATACCACGAGATCGCCAGCAAATATATATCTCGACTTGGTTCATTAACTGCCTTCTGATATTTGACTTCTCAGAGATTTTATGGATTTATTTGGTTACGTTCAACCTTCGCATTCTGATTTACTTGGCACGTGTTTCTTGGTAGCGGTGTTCATAGTTAACCTCAACTCGACGCCACGCTACAACCTAGTGAGCTTCCGTGTCTGGTAGAAGTAGATCTCCGAGTCCTCCAGATAGGAACCTAGGTATGTGAAGTGCATAGCAAAAAATTATTAGTGGCTTCGAGTGGCATATTGCCCAGAGTCCTTAAGAATCCACCAATCTTCATCTTGAACGATACCCGTAAAGTTGATTTGACTACCTTGACAAATAGAAATTTCCAAGACCGAACTATTCGTATGGAGAATAATATATCCTGATTTGTTGAGAGTTCCTCTAAGTTCCGAGGGTTTGGAGCAAGGTTTTATGTTGGGACTGTACCTAAGTGGGTATTTTAGATGTCAAAGATTGTTTAGAAAGTCGCTACCGAATCGCCTATACTCTCGTAAATAAAGACCTAAAGATTTTAAGCTCTCTTTATTAAACTTGAATTCAACCCTCCACAGAGCCGTTCTAATAGTTCATCTACGAATTTACTTCCTAGTGTTCTTACTCTTCTGGAGTTAAGGAGAAAACATTGTTTCCAAACTCTTATTCTAGTCAAGTAAAACTAATAAAAATTCAATAAGAAGTCCTACCGTCAAACATCGCAAATACAACGTTAAATTTGCCGGAGTACGATTTTCTCTAAAGGTGTTTTCAGCACATATAGGAAAAGATTTTAGATAACCGGTGAACAATGTACCTAAATATCTCCCAAATGTCTCAGATGAACTCCTTTACACTTCACAGTGTTTTAAATAAGTCCATTATCATTCGCTCAACTTTAAACCAAAGTTTGATCATTCTGAACTGCCGCTTTATCATCCTAGTTGCGGACCCTTCTCTAAAGCTCAGAGTCATCAGCGAAAATTAACATATTAGAACATATTTTCTGAAGAACGTCATTTATATAAAGCGAAAGAGGAAACGTCTCATTACTGAACCCTATAGGGCCCCCTTAGGCTCTCTGTATCCAGTGACAATGGGCCATCAATCCTGTCCTTAAAGACCCAATTATTTAGGTATAACGTAAACATGCCGACCAGCGGGAACTCAATATCTTTAATTTTCAGCTGAGCGATAAGTTACGTATGATCAACCCTATCAAAAGCTTATGAAAAATCAATGTGTATTTTAAATACCCTACTCATAACATCACGAATGATTGTCCATCCATACATCACTCTTAACAGAATAGTTACCTAAAGGTTGCTTTTCCCTAAACGATACCATAGCGATGATAAACAATTGATGGACATTAAATAATTGCATGGCTGAAATAAATCGGGAATACCAAAACCTTTGAAGCTTTTGAAAGAGGTCCCTCCAGTTTGTATGCTCATCAAAGCTGAAGAAAGATTCACCGACCCCACTTCCTAACCAGCAAACTCTTGAACGCATCCCTGGTGTTTTACCGACGTTCTGTAACTCTTTTATAGTTGGAAGATAACAATTTATTCGAATCGTTAGTCAGAAATGAATGGGTTCGAAGAAATGTTTGGAAAGTTGATGATGTGTTTAGATGTGTTTGATCTAAGCTGACCAATTGTCGCACGAAATGAGTAGCATATTGTACCGACTCATGATCTGCTGCGGATTGTTGACTGAGCTCAGTCCTCGAAAGTTTGTCCAGAAAGGCAAATGAGGCTAGCATCACTGACGAAGACTTGAAGATGTATTTATTATGGGGACCCATTTACTTCCACACTATCATTACAGAATAAAGAAATTGTCTATTTTTTTGTAACCTCCATCAGATGAGCGTTATTTCTACTTCATGATCAGTGTGACTGATTCATTTTTTCGAATAAACGCGCGGCGTTCATATTCAAGGTGCTTCTATTGGGATCACATATTTCTCCTTGTTCTTCCTTTCTGTAGTAGCCTTATGAAAGCAATCACGAAACATGGCTATGCAGTGATTTCCGACCAGTTTGTCTCTGTCCCTCATGCTCTTTGTTCATAGTATTCACAAGTGAGACAACTGATTCCCATTTCTTTTGTTTTAAGTCTCATAATCTCGAAGCCTAATCGAATGGGCCTTGATTTCAGCTGGTTATCAGCACCCATCAGCACGAATTGACTCGAGAGTGGTATCCATCACTTTAAATAAAGTGGAGATTACTTCTGTCAACCGTGCCACTCACTCTATTACTTCTGGGTTGAACGCGGAACTTGTTGAGTCAAGATGTCTTTAAGTTTTAGGTTACCACTTGATGAACTCCCACTCTTGAACATACTAGACTCCCTTTTTAAGACTGGTAAACTCTGAAAGGGAATCTTGAGCTTCTTATTTAGATCTCCCTGCAATGTCCTTTTGTTTTTGTTCTAAAGATTAAGAGGAAGATCCGAGCGGTCTTTTTGTTTATTAATATTTATCGATATATAAATCAGAAGCCTTGGCATGTTTCTCGGAGTTTTGAAATTTTACGCAAAACGTCTATGTTTGTAGTGTCTAGACTTAAAGATACGATTTTATTGAAAGAAACTAAAACCACTAATTTTATTTCAGTACTGAGCTAAAATGAGATATAAATTTTCGTTCTCTTATTTCTTAATAACCGTGGTTTCGCAATTCACTCGTCACCTTTGGAGGAGGATGAACCAGTCTGTCCACGATTTTGGACACTTGCCGACAGTATAAAGGGAGCTAAAAGGTTTTAAGAATCATACATTTATGCGTGTTTAAATATAATAATAATAGTTTATCCTCAAATAACAGTTTGTTACATGAGGCATCCCAGTTTACAGGCAATATCAAATTGTTACAAATGATACAATATCCACTATAGTAAATTACTCAGCTGGGTTGATAGTTTATAGGATATGAATGTAGATGGTTTTAGTCAGTATCGCAGTTGGCGCGCTTTATGAAAGTTGTGTCGCGACGTGCAACTGATGGTCAAGGATAGATCCATTGAACGTGGAAGCTTCTAGAAATCACAACCTTATATCCCTTTGGAATATCTGAGGCTTTAAGGACGGTGCAGGATGAAGTCACCCGTTCCATATCTCAAGGGGGCTGAAAAAGAGAACAAGTAACAGAAAGGGTGAGAGGCAGAGCTGCCAATGTTCACGAAAGAAAATTTAACGTATCGCTACTCAGTCTAATTTTCTTTTGTTAGAGTACTTACTTAGCAAGAGCATTCTAATAGCTTAAAGAAAATAAATACTATATGCACCATTTGGTCACCAAGTTATTGTGTTTCGATTACTTGCTCGGTGGGTGTGCCACTTTACATCAGTGTTCATAAGGAATTCAATCCAGCGCTCTAAAAGTTAGGGATTTAACAGGGGAAAGTAAATAAATGATGTCACAGAATCACTATATAGGGAATATTTATACACATCTAAGTAAATACAACAAAGATTTGATACCAATTATCACCAGAGGTTTTATGCATTCGAAAGCTAACATATTGTCTACAACAATGAATTCTTATTTTAATCACACTTTCTCAACTACCTGACTAGTAAACACTTATGAAGTTTCGCATGTAGAAAGAGATAACAAATTTCCTCCGTCGTAGAGTAGGCATCTTGCTACGACCAACTCCTTTGAACAACACATTCAAACACTGAGTCGGAAACAGAGGTCTAGTGTGGCATATCAGTGGGTAATTGTTCTGATGTTTGTTCGACTGATTTATTAGTTTACACTGACTCACTGCTGATGGCAGTACTACCCAAATAATTTGGAACTTTATGTTTCCTTGATTGAATATCGGAATAGTATTTTCAAAAACGTCAGTACTAAGTAATCTAGATATAAATTACCTGCAGAAGAAGAATATTATATGAGAACCAAGTTTGGAAGATCTGTTTGATTATTGTCTTCAATTTGTAATGTTTACTATTCGAAATTTAGATTGAAGATACCACGGGTATTCGGAGTTTTACAACGCTTTAACCAGTAACACCCAATATGAATAGTACCCACCAAGTGAAATCAAAAGACAGAAGCGAGGAGGTTCGAAGACATATTTGATAGGCTATCAATATATCGAGAATCGTCTGATCTAACCTGGGTAGCGACTGCAGGGGTCGTTGAGCACGGCGTTCCCACTCGTGATCTGGTGCAGATGCATGACCGAGCGCCTTCAGCTAAGTGAGTCAATTGAAACTAATGTGTTCAGCATCCAATGTCGAAAACCTACAGGGTTATTTATTTTGGGAGATTTATTTACCGCCACAAGATTATTTGTCCCCGTTTTGAACTAAATTTATTGACTCAGCGTGTGACTTGGGTCAAATAATAATTAATATACTACTATAACAAGGAGTTGTGATTTTAGGCTCATATCTCTCATATAGCAGATTATAAATTCATCATACTCGCTACCGTAAAAGAATTTATGCCTCCTACAGAATCACCTTGACTGAAAACAACATCATATTTACATGCTCAGTCCCATTATAATTTTGAGTATACTAAAAATACCACTTAAACTTAGGTTAGTTTTATTTTGGTCATCTATTCAAGTGCATCGAAGAGGTCACTTACATTATTTCACAAAACGTCATAAACACAGATTTCTAATCAGTGTGATATCACAAAATATCCTTAATGCTCGCCTAATGCTAAATCACGAAGTCCAAGCTTTTTATGATACCTATGTACCTCCCATATTAGTGCTGTGATTCTAGGATTATACGTCTTTTGTGTGCTAGTGTATATGTTTGTACACTTATTATTTCGCCAAATGCCATCAGGCGTCTACCACTTTGAGTTGTATTGGCACTTGTAATGAGTAAAATTTAGAGTTGTCACGTCTAATTTCCTTCACATTTCTTTTCATCTTGATATTTGTCTTAGTAAATCAATACCTGGAAAAATTCAATTAAGTTTAATCCCTATTCGGCTTTTTATAACTGCCACTTCCTGAATGAGGTTGGCCTACTTATAATATACATGATCGAAAAGAGAATTCATCTCCATAGTTTATAATAATCTTTCATTGTAAAGTTGGAGTGCAAAGATCACGAGTGTTGAGTCCGAATCCAAATAAAACATAATCCCTCAAAACCCCACGAGGACAAAGCACTATTCCCAATTCATAGCATCGACTAACTGACTCATTTCAGATTTGTAAATGAAGACAACCAAATTATCGCACCTGACTTGCAACTGCATCAGGTCCCACCTCTCCAGGAGACTCGCCATCAAGTGTCACTGAATCCATGCTCATAGTGTTGTATTTTATGATCGTCCTTTTTCTCCCGTAAATGTTGAGATATACTGCTCTGGAAGCCCATACCACGTTGGCTGCCCTGACCTGCATTTGTTGCTATGCGCAGTACCGAAAATCTTGGCCGTAAGCAAAGTCCAAATAATCTGATTGCACCCGAGCTGTTCATCATATTCTGCGCTGCCCATGAAATGTGGAAGTCCTCCAATTCAACCGATCACCATAAGAAAGAGGAAAGGTGACAGTAAGTAGTCTTCTCTTACACCGGTATTCGCACTGTATGCATCTGGGCGAGTCCTCCCCTGAACAACTTCGGGGTGTAGTTTGTCGTGAGAATTCGGTGACAGTCTTATGTGCGACATATTGCCGAGAAAGGTCTCATAATGTTCTTCTTATGAGGAAAGAGGATGCACTGTGATGTATCCCATTCTATTGACTGTTCAACCATGATCTACCGTTTGGAGATGTCATTGGCGCACGAGAGATCCCATGGAATCCAACCAGTTGGTTCAGACGTTAAAGAGGTCTATAAATACTGTTTTGATCTCCGTTGGGACTATTTTATTCAAGAGCTCTTCGAGGTTTTCTATACATCTGTTCCTCCGCTCTTGAATCTCAGTGGTTGACTGTCATTGTTTCTTTCTGACTATGCATTCTGGTTCACCGCAATTCCTGCTACCTTCATTGTATCATATAATTGTCCCACATCTCATTCTCCTGAAGCTTTTTCTGCTTATGTTGCCAGGTCTTCTACATATTTACGCTTATCACCTATAATACTTCTCATCAATCTAGTATCTGCTCCTGTGTATTAGACGTGTTTAAATTTTCCTGCTATCGTTTAACTGCTGTTGATTCCTGTCTTCATGTTCTTCCTTTCCTGAATCGTGATTTTCACCTTATTCTGGTGCTAATTTGGCCCAGAATCTGCTAATGTGTTGAAACCGATGCTTCTGTAGTCGCTGTGCTACTGTCTGCCATAAAGAATTCCCCTTCCCTGAGTAGATTTTGTAAGGGTTGGGATCTGTTACTGAGAGCTATCTTGAATTTGTTGAGTTCGTTGTTATCTCGAAGGGAGGCCGTACTAAACTTTTTCTAGTTGTCCAGTGTTTCAGTAAGTTCAATTTCATATTGGACACCAGCAGGTGAAGATCTGAATATATTTCCACATCTTTCTTTGTCCTCGAGCCTTCAAGGAACATCCCGTACCTTTTATTATTCGTAATCTGATAACTCTTGTTCTCTGTAGTGTGATCCAGTGAAATCCATGTGGCTTCGTGTATGTGGTTCTTATAGAAAATGGTGTCCTCTTTCACTATTTTCTTCAAAGCACACAGGTTCTCAAGTCGTTTGCTATTTTCGTTCCTTTCTCCCAGCCCATGTCGTATCATGAAGCTGACCTTTTCCGTTCAGACTGAGTTCAACAGACTACAGTTGTTCTCGTCACCACCAACTTGTACCTTTCTAGTTCTATAAGTCTCATTACCAAGGTTTGATTTGATAATTTCGAATAAATTGAACATTGGTGATTTCTGAAGGCTCTTGGCCTTCGACACGAAGCGTCATAGCTCCACTAAACAAAGACTCTTCGACTTCAGGGAAGAAGTAAGCGTTCTTAGTAAAGTGATTTTCCGTGGTATAGGGTTGTTTACTCTATATACAACCCTTCTCCTTTGTTCAGATTTGGGACAGGCAAAATCTAGGGAGGGCTCTATGTGAAGTTAAACGATTTATGATACACCTGTTTCTGTCAAAGACTGAACTTGGCCACTTTATATGTTTAACCTACGTCTCTCAGTTCTCTTAGTTTCTAGACAGCGAGAGACTTTGTCGGTAAAGTGTTTAATGAATTTGCTTGTATAATTAGTGCAGAAGATAGTACTTTGATGTGTTCAAATGTTAAATTAGGAAGTTCCTATGTGGTTGGGAGATTTATCAAGTCTTGTCATATCTTGGCTTGAAGGATCAAAACTTGTAATGCATTTATACTCCGACATTCTTCGAAGTTCAAAAATTAGGATAAAACAGTAGTAAATAAAGATAATTTGGAGTATCTGTGGTGGTATCGGTTCCTAACCACACGATACTCGGAGCGGAATATAAGACAACTCAGAAAATTCATATTCAACACCAAATATGGAGAGAAGATCAGATATGGTAAACGCGGAAACACCTGGTCGGTACGACATGACTCAGACTTGCCAGCATGGTGACTCCGTGTAATTCATACCTTTCCACATTATATATATTGTTTTATCCACAACCGAAATAAGTTCTTCAGGAGTACTAGATACCATAATGCGAATTGTCACGACACGGCGAGTCTCTATAAACAATGGCATGAGCTTCACGTAACATCTGGTAGATTAGATAATCACACCATGAAAAATCTGCAATTTCGGATTAGGTAAACTGTTGTGGCAAAAATGCTGACCGACCTCATGAAATAAAAAAACACTTGCGTATGAACTTGTATACGAATAACGAAAATTCGAAGGTTGCACAAGCACCGCCATTTCCCGCTAAACATGCAATTCGATTTTTAATGAGAAAACTACAATCGTATGTGCACATACACAAGCAAACTACACATGCATATCGTTGGTCCCCCATGAAATTGAAAACATTTGTATCGATTTCTGCATGTACATGCGACATTTTTTTAATTTATAGCAAAAACGTTAGTTAGCTAAGTGTAGAGCCCAACCATTTCAGTAAAACATTCTCTTGGTTCACTTGTCAATCGAAAAGTATTAAAAACTTCCTGTCGTGTGCTACAGCCGGAAAATATAATAGTATGATATTAAGGACATACGTTGTCTTGAACTCGAGTTGTAATGTCTCCAAAATAACAGAAAATTATTGATTGGCTCCTGCATGACTTTGACTGCTACTAACCTGCCTGTGGTTGCTCCCACTCTCATACTTTCCACATCGTTTAGCGTCTTTTTCTTCTAGTTCTGGGTCTTCACATGATCTATCGAATACTGCGATAATGAACGCTAAAGAACCGGCATCGAACTTTCCTTTTCTTCAGATGGCAGTGGGTCATCTGTAAATCATGATACGGGCAATTGTGGATCGTTTTACAAGAAAGTTATGAATATCCTACTGAATAAAAAGACACACGAAATATTCAGGATATTTTTAAGAAAAAATGAACTTAAAATGGTACGATCTAAGTATTCCAAAACGAGAAATTCGTATTGGCTTACGCATTTCAGACACATAATGATGCCTGTGAATCAAATCACTAAAGAACTGTGAAACGAATGAGAGTGAGATATGACCCTAACGTACCTTGGCTCACGTTACAATCTATCCACACTCTATGTATCTCTGTTCTCTCTGTGATTAAATAAACAATTTATGGGATAAGGTTCTTTTTATCTCATACACAGCCAAAGAAGCAGCACTAAGTGACCACTACAAAAGGACATAAATGACTGTGGATTTGAGGTATGATAGGTGGTCACACTATCTCTCTTCGGCTCAAGTAGACCTACCATACCCAGTTACAGTACTGAAACTCATCTGAAAGAGGTAGTTAGACATGTTTTGTATCTTCGACCACTATCTAGCTTGACGTACGATGGCCGGTGTAGGGAAAGTTAGACATAGGCAAGGCTGACCAAATATGCATCAACAGTCTATGGAGTTTGTGACTGCTGGACTGAGCCATGTTAGCAGACTCAGGCTTATTTGGGGTCTGCGCTGTTATCGTAACCAGCTGTCGCGGGTTTTCGTAAAATGACTCAGTATCGTTCGTATTCGCATGAATGAATTCAGTCTTTCTGGTTTTTAAGATCCTGAAATTTTTGTTCTACTAGTCCACATTCTCTTCTAGAACCATCTATTTGGCACTTATTTTTTCTTTTAACATTAATTCTGTTGATAATCTTACTAATCTGGCATATCACCATGTAAATGTCATATATCAGCTCAAACTCATCCATGTATATGTCAGGTTCTACGTTCTGTGGGAATGACTGGCTAGGTCGGTTAACTTCAGATCCTAATCGTGAATGGTGTTCTCACATTAAATGGTCATGTCTGCAATACAATTTTTCACCATAATTGTTATGACCAATCGATTGGCCACCAAGTAACAGGATAACAGCTAGTTCCAGTAACCTTACCAGTAACTTCACTTTCTCTCAGGCCATGGAATGTCCTAGTAAGGTAAGTATTGCGGCCTATTCTTTTCTTGACTTATATAAATGATTTTCCACAACAGGTATCGTCTGCCTTATTACTTTTCGCCGACGATGTGAAAATTTGGAGAGGGAGAGAAGTACGCAACCATGAGAATATACTGGCAGTTCTGGAGGATGTGACTTGGCTTCAAAGTTGGGGAGATGGTAATGGATTTACGTTGAACACTTTAGAGTGTAAAGTAGTCCATCTGAGACAAGTTGCGGACTACAGGTACAACGTAGGAAACTCCTGTACAGAAGTCTCTCAAGTTGAAAAAGGTTTAGGAGTGCTGGTACCCTACGGTTTGAAGTTTTACTTTAATTGTGACAAAAATGTCTTTCGGTCACATTGAAGCGTATTTTTGTCCAGTTCGACGGGAGAACTTTCCACATAATCTTCAATAGTCTCATTCGTCCCCATCTAAAGTTCGGAAACATAGTATTTCCGGCCTTACTCCAAAAAGGATAAGGATACTTTGGAGCGTATCCAACGGTGAGACACGAAATCCGTTGGGCGACTCAAATCCAAGCCTTATTAAGAGCGCCTCCGTTCACTAAACATTTGCCCATTGGAGTATAGGCATCCTATAGGTGGTCTTCTAATGACTTACAATATCTTTAACACTTTGACATACTTAAGTTTAGCTCCAACACAAACCTAAAAGGTAACACCCAGAAACTAGAGAAGCAATACAGCAGAACGGACTGTAGACACAACTTCCCCTCCTTCAGAGTTGTCAAATGCTGGAATTCGCTGTCGGCTGAGCCAGTCAAAGCAATTCCCTAGGAGCCCTTTAAGTGGAAACTTGACCTATACTTAAGGACTTAGGATAATATGTCACTATGATTTACCCATTTCTTTTTCCTCTATCATCGTTAATATGCCAAGGTTCCTGCCTGGAGGTATTGGTGATCCACTGCTACTAGATACGGAAACCGATTAAACGAAAGCTTCTTCTATTCCATCCACAACCATTTGAACTTAGGTAAACATGTATTCTTCAACACCAGACTCAATCCTCAAATAAATATTGAAAATATTTGAATTAATACATTTAGTGAATTCACAACACCCACTGGACAATTTGAGGATCCATAACACCGCCTTATCCTCAAATACATAATACCAGTTTGTTGGAAAGATATTGGATATTGAGAAACATTAGCACGGATCCTAGCACCAAAAGCACAACAATTTCGAAAATGGCACATGACGCACAAATTCTTCAGCAGCACAACACCGAACTTGTAAAACGTAATATCAATTTTCTGAATGCTTGATATGGTTAAGTGATAGAAGACTTGTGTCAGAAAAGAGATCAGTTACAGAAAGCAATTATTGAGGAAGATGATGAAAAAAACCGTCTACAGCATGACATGAGGATTATTTCGGAGAAACTTGCGAAAATAAATGATTCACTAAGCAAGAAGCTAGTCGTTCGGAATTCTTATGATAAGGCGATTGCCGAATCACAACAAGCCTACTCGAAAGTATTATGTAATCATAATACGTATGAATTTTATAGCTATTAGAAAACTCTTATGGGTTGCTGAATGTCTTGAAATGCAATCAAGAAAAAATGAAAGATAAGTTCGCTAAAACCTATAATTCCTAATATCTAAGGATAAAACTCGATTGCTACTATCTAAGCTTACAAACGGTTCTTTAAACCGATCAATTCCTTACAGTATATTAAAATGCTGATACACATAGATTATCTGGTTCATTGTCTACAAAATAATATATGAGACATTTTTTATTCATCCCCATAGACCATATCTCTGTAACAGGGTATTTGTATTAAACAGTCAGTCTCCAGTTTGCATTAAAATAACTAATGTTTGTCAATTCGTCTTGTTATTTATTTTTACTATTCAAAGGTCTAGGTGATCTATGTTTTGGACAAGTGTCCTCAGAAACAATTTAATAAAGTAGAAGCTCACAACGCATTGACTTTGTCGACGACAACAAGGATCTGGACCGTCTAAGTGCTACATATTATAACCATTAATTCAGATCAACTGGGCTATTATCTTCATTCTAAGAGACTGATCACACACATCAAAGTAACTAGAACGATGCATAATCAGTAGCCCGAAATTAGCTCTAGTCTTAGAATGTTCAATGTGTATCTGCAATTATTCATCCATCTTTAAATCTCCGATAAATAACAATCTAAATAAGAAGTTAATTGACCGTCAAAGATTACTTCCTTTATCAATTATGATTACCTGATTTGACTATATCAAGAAGTTATCTGATCACAAACTTTATGCGTTGATCAGCAGAAGTTAGTAACCTTAACATAGCTCAAGTAAGCATGACGTTTTCGGTAAGAATATGAATAATTACGTCAATATATGGGAATGTCGAGAGCGAAAAGCACTTGTCAGTTCAGACATTTGGTTTTCACGACTACGATTGTGTTTGAAGTGTGGATATCATTAGAGCAGTTTGTCACTATATTTTTAATCACAATAAATCATGGTATTTCACTCATGTTGACCAAAGAACACATGTCAACTGGCGTACGTAATATCTTCAAGTGCAGTTATATAAAAACTTAGTTGTTTTCTGTTTGTTTGTAGACACCAAGAGGGCTCTACCCCACACTTGTTCTTCGTGCAGCAATACAAAGGAAATTTAACTAACTTAGAAAAACACCTACGGAGGAATAATAATAAGACATTGATTTAGTTTTAGAGTCTATTGCTTTAAAGCAGGTAGTCCAAACACACAAGATACTATGATAGAGAATAAGTGACACCTCGTACCAACGAACACGAAGGACAAAAGTTGCCAGGTGCAGTCTCGGTGGTTTGTGTTCCCATACAGTAATCAGAATCACCCATTTACTTTAGATAGGACATGTTCATCACAAACTCTGTAAGGGCTGTTCTCAAAATGTTACAGATAAAAGCTGGGCAACACTGTGTAATCGCTGTCAGTTTGTAACAATGAAGAGAAGGGTATGTATATTACCATCTTCCCCAAAAAAGTTTTGTAAACGGATTCTCCAGATAATCACACTTCTGCGGTAGACAACTTCAAGATAGTACTGCGCAATAAATTGCAAATAGCTACAAAGTCCGAAATACTGTTATTGAACTTCAATAACCATTACAGTCTTCAGTCATTTAGAGATGAAGATGTAATAAACATATCTACCCCTCTTCCACATAAGTCTACCTACTAATTAGTGGATATAAGATGAGAAGTCAAACTTTAGGTGTGAGGAAGTGGCAGAAATACAGCCTGACGACTATGAAATAGTGAGCAGACTCATTTTTAAAATATTCTTTTGATCCGCAGCAAAAAAACCACATTCGGCCTGCATCATATTTTCATATGAACCAAATAGTTAAATGATCACGATAATTTAGTCAGTATCACAGGTACAATTTACAAAAGAAATCTTCAGTTGGTATGTCTTGTAAACCGATGGTTTCCACTGTACTAAGAAATATGAAAACGATGTGAAATCACATAAAGCTGTCTTTAATACAAAACGGAACCTGTTACACTTGAGCAATCCTTTATGTGCGTTTAAAGTCAGGTAATGCTTGCATTCTTCAGATACTGGAATCTGGAAGTAAGCTTCTGAAAAGTCTAACTTTGCGAAGTACTTCTTCCTATTTAGTTTTGCGAATAAGTCTTCTGGTAAGGGCGAAGAGTACTAGTGAGCTTCTAGTGCTTCGTATAGTCCTGTCGAATAGTCTGCACATAGTCGGATGCTCCCATAAGGGTATCCCTGTTTACACTGGACCGTCTGCAACGATGAGCAACTGCACTGCTGGGCTATGATCTCAAGATAAAGTACCAACCGACAACGGATTTCGGACAGACATATGCCCTTTCAAGATTAATTGGCTCATATACAAAACAAGAGCTGCTTGTAGAAGCTGAGGCTGAAGTTCAGTGTTGACAGACGCGGTTATGGGACTGCCGGTCACGTTCGAAACCATTAAAGCTAGTGAAAAGGACCGTTCGCCGTTGTATACTTAACTAGTGACGTTCACTTCGACGAGACTTTCTGGGAACTGTCGATTTGTGCACCATGTTTGGCCACCATATTGTTATTCTCAGAATTATTCGACAGCAAGTTCTAAAACAGTTCCACAGTGGGCACCGGGAATAAGTAGGATGAAGTCACTGACTCGGAGTTAGGCATACTGGCCGTCAATGGACTGTGATATAGAACAAAAGTGTCGTAGCTGTTGGTCCTGTCTAGAAGTCGCAAAGAATCCTATGGCCGAAACCTGACGGGCCTTGGCAAAAAATACACGCTAATTTCGCTAATCCAATACACTGCAGAAATTAGTTGGTTGTTATGGATGCTTTGACTAAGTGGCCGGAATTATACGTCAGGACACAACAGATTGTCAAGGTTTTTGTTTAGTGTTTCTAGAGATCTTAATAAATGACAATGGCACTCAGTTCAAGTCATCCTCTTTCAAACGGTTCTGCAGTGAAAATGGGATTACGCATCATGGTCTCCTTCGTGTCACCTGTAATCGAATGACCAAGTAGAAAGATTCGAGGGTACGATAAAAAGGACTCTGATAAAATGGAGATAAGGTATTCTAGTTCGTGTCCTACGAAGTCACACCTAATCTAAAAGTGCCGGGAAGTTCGGACAGCCTTTATTATGTTACCACCCCGGACGACAAATAAACTCACAAACGAATATTAGAGGGTCAATCGCAGCTTCCAGGTGGGAGAAAGGGTACTTATCAAGGTAATAGAAAGTGGGAACCGGGTGTTATTGAATCTCAGGTTGAAAAAATACTGTACTTAGTTCGCATAAGTTTTGGGACCTCTACAAGACGTGTCAATTAAATCTAAAGGGATAGTAGATTAACGATTACACAAAGATGACGTTTCAAATACATGTGCACTTATTTAAAAAAGACCTGAGGAGAACAAAAGCCGAAGACATAGGTGACGAAAAAGCAAAACAGTACAACCTTCAAGAGGATTGTGATTGAGAAGTCTCAAGTGAACCCAAGCGGAAAGTCTTACATAAGACACTTTAAAGAGCGGAGGTGTAGAAACGGCTCCCGGTGAACTCAAGTTCCGAAAGAACCGAAGACAGTTCATCTAATCATCGTTTAGAAGAGCATTCCAGAATCTCGACGTGTAGCATCCTCATTAGGCAAATGCTAAAAACCACTTTGTGTGGATTGGATGATTGTTATGATGACTTCATTTTACTAAAAGCTATGAATACCCAAGTGTTTTTGTACCATATTTGACAGTGATTGGAATGAGATTTCTTTCCACTGGTCTTCTGTCTTCTAACTTGCAAATTAGATGGTTCAAGCGTTCTAGTGCTCAAGTTGTTCACTGTAGAGCGAAAATTCAAGATCTGGATATAACAAAAACCATTAACAAAACAGAATTCATATGAATGAGAACACATTTATTTATACATACATAACATTGACAAAAATATACAAAATATTACAAATGTAAAGAAGAATTATACTGGTCAAATAAATCATACATAGATGAAACAACTATTTTTCATAAGCATACAAAAAGAAAAAAAAAACAAAAAAAATCAAATAAATCTATATGAACTAGAAATTAAGCCCAAGCTCTAAGAATTGCCCGTCTTGTGGCTAAGCGACATGATACGATGGAAGCAATTATCATTCCTAATGTGACAGTAGCTATTGCAGTATAGTCGAAATCTTCTTTAAGTAAATCATATGTTTGTGAAGGTGATATTCGAGTGAAAAACAAATCTGAAATATGAGAAAGAAAACAATATTGAATAAGGGAGATCAAATTGAGAAGTTTCCCAACATCATCGTCACCGTCATGTTATAATGAAGAAAAAATAGACAAATTTTGTATAAGAATAATCATCGATGGTCGCCAGTAGTCTACAGTGAGGCTACGTTTTGAACGATAGGTGGGATTTAAGGTAAACTTATAGAAGGATCTTGTACAATGTTTCAGTCGGAATTTCAAAAGATTATGTATGTAAAGTGGGATGAGGGATGCAAATTTGTATGTAATTCGTATCCTGTTAAATTTTTTCAACCAACATACACAAGTTAACGTTGTGTTAATTTAAAACACACTAACGTACCACTACTAGTATTCAGTCAGCTACAACGTAGGATCAGGTACATATATACATCGGTCAAAGTTGCCGCACTTCATTAGCACAAGATGATCACCAAATTCATCAACCGGCGGCCTGCTTGAATATCTGGGCTACCTGTTCAACCGATCTAGATATTTCATCAAGTTATCTGTTTTGTTGTTTGTTTTAGCACAGCACTATGTCTATTGTGCGCACAACCTATTCAGGCGCGTTTATGAGAAGTTTACAAGCTTTCGCTATACGGGATACAAAAAGGTACAATCAGAGACATCATGGTTGCTGGCAATATGCATTGAAACAAATGAACAGTAATCAAATGTGGATTACCGAACTTCTAACATCTAACTGGTCATCATTCAAAATTTATCGTCACAATCGATCAAGGTATAAGAAAAGGAAACTTGTTGAAATACTTTATGCTGAGAATTCTATGTTGTACCAAAAATATAATGTTGAATAAAGCTTCTAATAATAATAATAATAATAATAATAATAATAATAATAATAATAATAATAATAATAATATTATAATAATAATAATAATAATAATAATAACAATAATAATAATAATAATAATAATAATAATAATAATAATAATAATAATAATAATAATAATAATAATAATAATAATAAAGTGGTTACTTCAATGGTAGTAAAAAATTGCATATGAGGATATGATACAGAGTAAGAGAACTGGTTCGCAGAAAGAAAAGTATGAAGTAATTTTAATCTCACAGTTAGTTTAAGGACAGACAAACAGTGTATACACCTACATCATCGTGACCGATTCTGATCCATGTCACCCGGATCTCCAACCAATGACTAAGATAGTAGCGCGGACACCAAACTAGTAGTCTGTATCTATCAACATGGCTCAGACCAGAAGTTAGTGACTTTATGGACTGATGCCATGTTTTGGCCTGGCTACCACTAACCTTCTTTTATTCGCCTTTAACACTAAACCTCATTGCGCGCCGTGGTAGTTGGGCATGCGTAATATGTGGCACAGCCATTTCAGTTGATGTACCTACCTATATTAATAGTAATAAGATTAAAGACATGCTAACGAAACTCATTTACACAAGAGATTAGATCTGATTCATTACAAGCAAACTCTTCACTTCAAGTGTCATTCTACAAATTCAACAGTTTAATTATATAGCTGAAACAAAATTAAACGTTTTCAATTAGTATAAAAGTGGAAGGAAAACATTTACAAAAAAAGCTACCGACTAACTAAGAACATATTTCATACTTACCTAATCCATATGCAAATACTAATCCAGTGGACTCTAAACCGGTAGGTGCTGTACGAATAGCTCGAATTCGCATAATTGATTGATTATATGTAATCATAGCTTGATCGGAAAATGGTAGTACAGGAGCATAAGGGTGAACACCTTCTTCCCTGGAACATTAAAAAAAATTAGCATTTACAAAGAGGGCATTAAATTCAACATGTACTCTCGTATTGTCACGTTATTAATGAACTTTGATGTTGCGTTATCACACTTTCAGAAAATACATAATCATTTTAATCACTAAAAGGAGTACAGTCACATAATAGGGAAAGAAAGCTACGAATAAGACGCTTGCTATGAAGTATTTAACGGATTATAAGTAGATACTTAGAAGGGTTATTAGAAGGTAACAAAGCGGTTGAATATTTAAAAAAGAGAGTAATTAGTTTTTTTAGCCGATTCATTACGAGAAATTTTTAACTTCTACGTTGTATTATTCAAATGTAGGTAGAACTTACACATCATCTTCAACAGATGTTCTTGAATACAATTTTAACAACATATTTCGTAGACCTATAGTCCTGCATCTTTAAACAAAAATCTTATTGGGAAACAAAATAAAAACGGTTGAAAATTTGGTCTCAACCACTTGAACAACGACAAATGGTATCGTTGAATAATACAAACCACATTATCTCCAAACTAATAACACGGGACAGTGATACAAAATTCTAGAGTACTTACATTAGTTCCGATGTCATATCCAAACTACGACGGGGATCGAAAAATGATTTCGGGAGTTCAATTAGACTATTTCTCTGTAAAGCCACTGAAAAATTAAAAGAAAAATTTTCAGCGACATTATTGCGAACATATTTTTTTAAAAAGTCAAAATAAGTGAAAATCAAGAGAAAGCCTAATTCTAGGACTCAATATGCGTCACTTGATTTCACAGTCTCAGATTATTTAAATAAACCAGAGATACTGTCTCAGATTGTGAATCTAGGTAACGCAAGTCGAGTCCCACAAGAAGCACCACTGTCATTAAAATTTCAGGTATACCTCACTGACAAGTCTTTACAACTACAAAAACTAAGTCTACGGCTTCCTGTCAACTACCTCAACCATATACCGATAAATTTTCTAGAAATAGATTAACGCATCTGCTTTAAGTGTGGAAATAAATGAAGAAAAAAGGATCAGATTAACTAAACTTCATTATCAATCTGATTTTTTCAAAATATACTTGCATACCAGCCTTGATATGGAATTAATCTTTGAGAATTAACAAATGTAGTGGTTTTGGCTTAAAAAAAACGGAAGCAACATCCAACATAAGAAATAGGATCAATCATTGAAGATAACATAAATTTATTCAATAATTCTAGGAAAAGAATGAAAGTTCAAGTGTTCTCGAAAAATAAAATATTCTTACACATTTTTTTAAATATATGAAAAGGTCACAATTATACACCATCTACCTTTCAAGCAACCTAGAGACTAAAATAAAGCTTGATTCAAGATAATTTCTTGAAACATCCTCTTCTTTAAAATACAATTTTAAGTAGATATAAATGAGTGATTTTTTTTACTGTCAACGAAATCAAGATTTTAGTATTTTTGTGAATCTAAATTTACATGCATCACTCTTCAAAGTACACTGTTGTTCATATTTTCCAGAGTTTATTTAATAATAATTATATCTACTACTTTTCAACCTAATTTGAAAATATAATGCGTAAATATTAAAACTAAACTATGCTTTTAGATAACAAATAAATGGATAATGTTTAAAAATGTTCAAAATAAATGATTTATATTGCAGAGGCTGAGATTGGTGTTCTGGACTTAACTGGATGGGCTAGGTGGAAAGTAGGACCAATAAGGACTCTAGACTGCTCGTACGGGTTTTACGCGTCCTTGGTCCGATCGATAATTCACTGCTCTCTAATTGGCAGTATCGTTAAGTTATGCAATAAACAAGGCACAAGTTATAACAGGTACTTACAAAATATTCCCAGTCAAAATCATAATTTATGGATAATCAATGCTAAAAACAACATGATACAATGAGAATATTATGTCTTTCTGTATAACTTCATGGGAAATTTGTAGAAAAAGAAAACAAGTCACTTGGAAATTTTTTGCATGACCTAAATACTTGTCTTGAAGACATGTTACATTGGAAAATGATCTTCATGTATAAGCGCTAGAGAATATTAAATGCGAAGATTAATTTACTACCGTTGTAACAGAAGGGGATATCAAAGAAAGTGTAATTCTTGAGATCAAATTACGAATTATTACATTTCTTTATTACTTGTATTTTAATCTTCCATGGAACCTATCAACTACTTCTATACAATTGATTATTTTTTATTATTGTTAACCAATTATGTATCATTTGCTCTGTTCTCTAGCACTAACGGCATGATTGTATGTAAAGAATGACTTTTTATGTGGGGTGTGTTGTGATCTGATAATTCACATGTATGAACGAACAAGTGCTTGAGGGTGGAAGTATGGTATACCGATGGTTAATTAGAGTTACGATAGTAGCTCATAAATTTTTGGTTGAAATCTAAAGCGCAGCGAAAGATAACTTGTTTTTATTAACGATGCGAAAATAGCTGATATTCAGTTTATAGAATAGGTGAAATTGGTACATATGTCTTTTATGCAACCAATCGATGAATGACATTGTGCATCACAATAAACCCTTGCTCTTGATAAAATTTTCATGTTGGAGCACTTTATGCATTTGTATTTTTAGTTAAGGTTGTTTGAGTAACTTAGCAGTATTCTCCTACGCTAACTCCTAACTCCGAATCTCAACATTAGATTTCTTAAGTTTGTAAATAAAAGAATGACGAAACATCATTGTATTATAGTTGATGTAAGTTGGAGACAAAAACCTCACAGGGTTACAACCCTAAATCGTAACATTAACCCGAAATTTAATAATATAAATTTAGCCTTCTTTTATTACAATAATAAGTGACTCAACACGTAAAGGTTAATTATTCATGACAAAACTTTTTGTCACTTATTTTCTTCCCTCTAATTATTAATTGTTTTATAACTGAACACTGTTTCCTGATAGCCAAATAAGTCTCTCAAGGTCGTCAGTACAGTTTGCTTTTATCATGTTTGAAACAGATATATTGGGTGACTGAAACGTAAGAAACAAAGCTTGACTGTTGTCTTCTCTTCTTCCAACTCAGAACTGGGGATTAACAAACCGATAGAAGTTAAGCTTAAGTTAACCCCAGCTTATGGTTATCGTGCCGCTCCGAACATATCATTGGTCAAAGCTAAGGGTTTTAAACTATAGATAGACCGAACGGGATATGCGGAGGTAGAAGAATAGTAGTCAGAATTCCAATCGGTGAATCTAGCAAATAATATCGATTAACGCCCCAGACATGAGCCACAGAGACAACTAAAATAATGTAGACTTTAAATAAAGAATCGAAACAAAACCCATTTTTACTCACGAATTATATTCTTAGCGGTAATACCTCTCTCAGTAACTGAAACAGTCACTGCTCCACTACGTGGTGGAGTGTTCAGTATGTAAGATTGTTGTAGAACTTGAGGTATTAAAGAATTTTCACCAGTTGAACCACAAAAACCATCAACATCACTAGCACGAAACAAAGATGAGAAACGTGAAAAACCCGATAAATCACCAGATCCTTTTGATGAACTTGGATTAGATAACAGCCATGAAGGAATAAGATTGCTGAGAAATAATTGCCAAGGGCTTGGAATTGACTGACTAGCACATAATTCCCCGGATAATTTAGTCGGTTCATATAATTCAATAACAGTAGCTTCATTGCGTAATGATTTATGATTATAATAAGTATACTTTAAAGAAATTTGAAGGGAAAAAACATCACAACAATGTACTGGAAAAAAGTATGGATAAAAAATTTTGCATGGTATTTTAAACAAAACAGTAATATTGAAATAGTAAGACATTTGAAGTTTCATCGACTAATTATAAGACATTTCCTAACAAGATAAAACCGTCATTAGTCAAGTAAAATCACTAATTATTCACATAGTATTGCTTGTCAGAACGTGTAGCTATACATAACTGCAAACAAGTGATAATGTATAATCAGTAGTGTTCGTGTTTAAGTCGTTCAGCTAGTAAGGTCCATATGTTAAAATCTTGATTTCTATTTAGGCATCCAAGCAAGGTATCAACAGCCGCTAAACAGATAAATATGGTTCAAAGCTAAGTATATGAATACGTACTTGTGTAATGAATTATATTACTAATTTAAAAAATGGATTACATTGGTATGTAACAATTTCACATTCCGTTACCTAGATATTTTGGTGAGATAAACCGAGAAAATTACCGATCATAGCAATAATATAACGTATGAAATTTTATAAAGCTTCTTTGTACAATTTTCTTTTAATACAAAATAGTACTCCGTAAACAGAAAAACAAACTTAACAAATTAACAAGTAGTGTCTATAAAGAACAGCGTTGTTTGTAGCTAGAGGTGGGCAAACTAAAACATCGTACCTGTACACGAAGTCAATGAATATTGGACTCAATATCGTTGAATGGCGTAAGATACCTAGTTGAAGTCCATGTGTTTATCAAAACTAATGGATGACACAGCTAAGAATTGCTCACAATCAAGTAGATGTATTTCGGGATTCAGATTCTAAGAGAAGAGAAAAATGAATGCATCTCCATCATTTCAAACCCTAAGTCTCTAACTATTGATTACGATAATCAGACGAACCTAAATCAAGTAGTCTATATCCGTTAACATGATTAAGTCCAATTGTCAGTGATAGATTGGTACCAACATCTTGGTTTGGTTACCCATAGCTTACTTTCAACCTACTCCTACACCGGACAATAACGCTTGTTAACGTCAGCAATGGTTGAATATACGTACAATATGTCTCAACTACTTCAGTTGATGTAGATTTACGTTATCAATCAACTTCTTGTATTTAATTAGTACACTATACATAAACCTAACCATTGCTCACTGGGCAGTCCCAAAAATAAACAAGCGTACAAAGGATATATTCAAAATAATATAGAATATCTGGCAAACAGTATTTGTTCAACTTACAATAATCCAATTCTCTGAATGCACTAGACTAATAGGTTCAGAACATCGACGATGTACAGCACTATACAATATTCGACCAGCTACAACATCAATTAAATAAATTACCAGAGTATTTGTATGACTGCTGATATCACCACCAATAGTAAGTACTGCAATGAGATTAGGATTTAAATATTTATAAAGAACACTTCTATCACCCAATACTCGACCAACTGAATAAATATGTTCTGAAACATAAAATAAAATGAAATAAAATTTAATGAAAACAAAAACATAAGGAAACTATGAATAGTGTAAATTTGGATTTATGACTAAATTATGATTTGACAAAAATCTAGATGTTTCAACAAGACCTAATCAGATGATGAATAACACGCTTAAAATGAACATTTTATCAAAGACACTCAATGGATTATTTGATCATGCTAAAAAACTAGATTTTTGTGCAAACTGATTACTGTTATGGGGACTTAAGCCAATGCACAATTTTTTATGCCAGAATCTATGCCGACATTCAACTAACTGATTGAGATAATCAGTGTTTAATAATTAGATAGCTAAGAGGTGAACTATGAAAAAAAAAGCAGAACATTAAACAAATCTGAATCGATTATGGTCCCTATATTTCACACCGGCACATCAAAATGGCATGAATAAGACACAAAATGCAATGAAGACAATGACAATACACCAACAGTAATGGAAAAACAATAATATTAAGCTTGTAAAACTATTTACTTGGATATTTTTCCACTTAAAAAAAGTGAATAAACTCATTACTCAAATAAGAGAATGTGATAAAAAAAGACTCGTAAACAATGAAATATCGTAAAAAACAAAAAGTAATTGAAATATATAAATGTAAAATCATACCAGAAGGTGGACGTGAAGCTGCAGAGACAATGATGTGCTTGTTAACCGGACTAGAATCAGGACTCAATAACATTCGCCAGACACGTGTAGCTTTTAAAGATTTACCATCTGAAGATACCGGATCTATCCGATAACCGGTAAGACGAGCTTGTTCACTTTCAATAGTAAAAATATATAAAGGCTGTGAATCCGATGATGAATATGTAGCGGCACAAGTAGATGGATAAACTTCAACCTGTAATAATCAGATGGATTTTTCAAGATCATTGAATCAATAATTAATTATTACTGTGTGGTATTGAAATCACAAACCAACTTAAGTTAGATAACCATTAAAGACAGAAATACACGACAGCTGTTTTGTTTTAGTATAGGACTCCTCGTAAGTGAGCATCCACGACCCCACTGGGGGTTGAAGCAATGACATTCAGAAATCACTGAGAATGTTAACTTTCATATATCTGGCCCAGCATCCAGTGTTATTAAACATGTACACCACTGTATTTTAAATTTAAAATTTATTATTTACAGAAAAAGGAAGATTGTAAAGATGACATTTGTTCATGTGAAAAACTTTACAAACAAATTACGATATTGAAAAGATTTTATTAATGAATTTAGGTATAAAAACACAGGATTTATAACAATTTTAATGAATCTACATTAGAAACGGTTTTTTTACTGCGATTTATACTAACTGTCTAGACAATCAACGGAATTGTTATCGTCAACCACTAGTTTATAAGGTCCTTCAATCTCCAAAAATGGTTTAACGGAAAATGAAAAGCAGCAAATCTTACCAATAACTTTATTGAGATCTAGTGGCGATAAACAAGAAGTAAATGTTAGTATGGGGTCGTGGAGACTGTTGAATTTAATTGAAATCATGAACCTATCTAAGTTATACAGCTATTGGAAATCTGGAAGTACTGGACGGCCGATTCGTCCTAGTGTGGAACTTTTCGGCAGTACTCACCTACGACCTTGCAAACGGAGATCGAACCCATGGCTCTAGAGCACTGAGCCGAGATACAAAGGCTTAGAAGTCTGACTCCAATCAACCTACATTGAGCGACCATCTTTTATTGTCTTCAGTGAGCACCTTACACCTGACACAGCAGCCTTGGTGTATCTAGCAATAATCCTTTTTAAAGGTTAACGCTACAAAACTGATAAATCTGAAAGTTTTTAGGACTAGTGATTAAAGGTAGTTTACTTAGACTGATTAAAGTACTCAATAAAGTTGAGCAGTTGGACATTTCTACATTTAGCTGATCGCGATCACTCAATGTAATAAACACAGAGAAATCAACTCATATCATATAACCGTTAACTAAAGTATAGAAAGAGAACGTTCAGTCAATTAAGCAACTAAAGTAGAGCTGGGATCATTGTGCATCATCCCAGATTGCCATACCATATAAGTTTATCGGAATGCAATGGACAGGAGGGATATCAAGAGAGTCGAAATAATAGTAGTACTCATAACAATCAGTAAGAATTAGCATTAGAGAATACGGGAAAGTATGAAAATATATTAAGGTTGAAGATTAAGGGGAAAAAAAGAATACACGTATTTGGACAATGGTCACTGATCTTGTGTCATGTTACTCAAGATTAACAATCAATCGCCTTTACTTCGAGTATCAAAACCAAATAATTTCCACCTACCAACAAAGTCCTCTCCAACAGTCAGTAATTTCATACAATGGCATGGGGGGCATCCCAGTTCCCTTCCAAACAATTTCGACTCCAGCCAAAATTTCTCGCCGAGATATATGCCCAAAGTCGATGAAGATCCACAGTCTCGAAAATCGATTCGTCAAAGTATCTTAGCCCTAACATCAACGTTGATTATCCAGTCGTTTTATTAAGCTTGCGAAACGCCTATGATTAAGTATCTGAAGTCCACGTGCACCTTCTACTTCATAGGCCACGTTTCTCAGCCAAAATAGTAATAAAAAAGAGTGGGGACAAAAAACTGAAAAAGACCGATTTCTGTTGTGTACAACAGTGTATAGACCCAACTGATTATTGGTTCAGTTGTGGAATCGCTTTAATCATGAGACCTAAATGTCCTACGATTGATTCTGAATAGGAATTACTAGTGCGTTAATACCAATTTTTGTCCAATATTATTTTTAAAAGTCTTTCTTTTTTAATACCTGTCACAACATATTGTGCAAAAGGATGTTTGAAGTTCAAAGTTGACTTACGTCTAAATCGGCCCTCAACAACAACAAAGGTCTAATAAATTCACATCGTTCGCTTAAAGAACCAGGTTCCAAGACAGTTTGAATAATATCCGATTTCAATGTATACAAATCCATACCTTTTTCATGCGATGGAACACCAGTAATTGGATTGAATGGGAAAAGTACCCGTCGATTTGTAATCTACGAACAAACAATTTAATGGGATAATGTGAAAATTTTAAGAGTCAACAAATGTCATGAGAAAAGAGATAAACAATGAGTATTAATTTTTAACAGAGAAAATTTACACTAAAAGTTTGATAGGAACAAATGTTTCACACTCTCTTGGGAGGATGGGCAGTGAACATACTTGATTTTATTGGCGATAAACACTGCGAGTTCCACTTTCAGTGAACAACCAGAGTGGAATTAAATGGACTACGTACTATCTAATATTGCTAGTCCATAAACACTATTCGTAATTTACAAATCCCTTGTGTTATTGAGTAAGATAGTTTAGATAGCGCTATCTACGAGAGTTAGTTACAAAACAAGATGAAAAAGGTTTGCAAATTATGTTATTATTATTAATGGCTTTATTCAATATTATATTTTGGTACAATATATAATTCTCAGCACAGAGTATTTCAACAAGTTTCTTACACACAAAAAACAGAAACGAAGACAAAAAAGGGGAAAAAAGGTTTCAAAGGAAATCTGAAAAAAACTGTACAACTTTTCAAATTGGAGACATGTTAAGACTAGGTTAACTCTAACAACCTGTTCGTCACAGAGTATATTTGCTATGTAAGGTATTAAATAACTTTTATACTTTTGCTTGCGTGCATGGATTTTAATGTAATTACGTCTCGTTCTACCATAAGATGTACAAGAAAAAAGATAAGAGTGAAGGGGTTGGTTAGTATCTAATAAAATAACACCTGCCAGGAGTTTGCATGACTTTAGATGTCTGTCCACAACCATATTAATTATGACCTCGGAAGATTCACCACACATCTTGCTAACTGCCTTCAGCACTCTCCGCAATACAGTAGTCTTTTCTCAAAAGCCGGGAAAGAATAATGGAGAACAGTAAAGGATAATAGGTAATATGCAAGAATTGACAAATTGTAAGAGTAAATGACGAGTAATTTCAAGAGCATGCAACCTCCTTATGTAATAAGTCAGACAGAAAACCTTCTTCAATAACAATAAAACGTGGGAAGACCAAGAGAGATCAGAGGAAAAGATGACACCAAGATAATTGACCTTCGACACTGTGTTTATCAAAGAGCCTCCAATGTTATAAGCATTATGGGATCTCAAAATGGTGTTTAGATTCCGTTCATGTCTCATGCTAAAGTTAACAGCTTGACATTTAGACGGATTAAGTATGAGACCATTACCAACAGAGCAACAATCAATACGAGACAAAAACTCATTCATTTCTATGGGATGTAAAGAGGAAGAGATAGGCATACATACAGTGAGATCATCCGCATACTTCACAAAATTTTTTCTGTGAAAGATGGCAGATCATGCAGAAAAAAAGAGAATAAAGGGGTGAAAGAACAGCTCCTTGTGGTACACCTTCATGAGACAGCAGAGACTCTGAGCACTTTCCTCCAAACACAGTGTACTGTTCCCTTCCAGAGAGGTAGGAATATAGCCAGTTGGTTATTCAGCTGTCAGTGTTGACGTTGATTAACTTGTTAAGTAAACGTTGTCTTGGTATAGAATCAAAAGCTGAAGTATAGTCCAGAAAAACACATCGAACATACTTCTTACCCTTTTCTAAGTTCAACACTATGTTGTGATGCAGAACAGCAACAGCATCTAAGGTGCTTCTTTTGCATCTGTAAGCAAACTGATATTAATCAATATGCTCTTCTATCGCAGGCTGGAATGGAAGTATTAATAATTTTTCCATTGTTTTGAGGAAGAGTGAAGTTATTGCAATAGGTCTAAATTTTACATTCTTATCATCAGATGCTTTCTTGGGTACAGGAATTATCTTCATCTTTTTCCACATTTTCGGTATGAGATTAGATGAGAAGGATCTGTTAAAGATAGTCGTGAATGGATAACATAGGACGTCAGTACACTTTTTAAAAATGAGGTTTGGGATACCATCAAGTCCCAAACATCGGGATGAATTAAGTGACTGGAGACATCTTCGGACATCAGTTTCAGTGAAACTAGGAACATAGATATTCTTTAAACCTGTGGATAAAGGGAGCATTACATCAGATGACTGACGTACAAAAGACTTATTTAAGTCACAGACATTCAGCTGGTTATCGCTTCTAAACTGTCTGTCACCTGTAAGTTCTTTAAAGAGTTTCCACATACTCGGAGAGTTTTTGCAAGCCAAGAGTTGAGTAAACATAAAGTTGAGACGTCTAACCTCTAAGTTTATCAGACCATTTAGCTTACGAACTTCATTAGAGTTCTTCTCCTTGTACATTCTTTCTTTATCCCTCCATAGTCGTTTTAGTTGTGTAGATGTAAATTGATCAAAACTTACAAAAATGGTTTCAGTGGGACAACAAATATCAAAACAGAATTTAAGGTAACAAGTGATAACATTACTAGTGATTTCCAGTGGGTCATCTGTAAATAATTCGCAGTTAGTCGTATGAAACACGTTTTTCAAATTTCGGATATTTTCTTCTGAGTAATTCCTATATTTGACTTTCTTGGTTTGAAACAATTAGTCCCTTTGATAAATTTCGATAATGCAATGTAAAGACGTAGTTTATCAGAATTATGTGATATATTTGCGCAATACATTTCGAACAATCTGATCACACATATACTTGTTAAGAACATTTATATAAGAAAAATTAAAAGGTCAACTAGACAGGTTAAGGGTAAGTCATAACAAAGGAAAAAATATTAAAGTACACAAAAACAAATGTGATTACCACTCTGGACAGTAAATCAGTACTACCAGGGTAGGTTAAGTGTAAGTACAAATTGTTTTTGAACACATAAAAGGGGTTTCAATTTTCGTATAGCCAAGGCTTCAATAAACCTTAGTATACGTCCTTGAAGGCTTTTGTACAACACAACAAATGATGATTTGATATCAACCTTATGACCCGTCTCAATCAAATGTTTCGCAATGGATGATGATGTCTGTCTATTCTTTGATGTAAGAGTGTACTCTTCCCATGCTCTCCATATACTTTAGGTAGAACACGAATTATACAGTGATCCGAGATAGACAATGGAGCACGTTTACGAGTCGCATATATACCCACATCATTAATGAAAACGAAGTCTAAATGAGCATCCAAACGGGTAGGAAAATCTAATACATTTTGGTGACCTAGTGACGTAAGGAAGCTACAGTCACATGAATTGAAATCACCACATACAACTGAAAGTGAATCACTGGAGCAGTAACAGCGAACTCAATGAATTCACCGGCGAAAACAGATAGTGCAGATGATGTGCAGTCTGGAGTCACGTAGATATTGGTAACGTAAACATATTTGTATTTATTCAGATGTTTTGGACGACATCTTAGAGTTAGACAGTCGATAAAGTCATTTGAAAACTTGAAACATGCAGACGAAGATCGACACCAGTTCATGTTTACAAACGTAGCTACACCGCCGCTACACCTCTTTTCATTGTTTGATCGATCCTGACGATAAATTTTGAAATCACGTAGTGATACTAGCAGTCGTCTTGTAAATCATTTAACCAAGATTCTTGAATTGTGATGACACCACAATAAAGATACATATTTCGACTTAGTAGGAATTGAAGATAGTCCACTTTGTTGACTAGTGATCGGCAGTTAGAATTTAGCAGCTCGGGAATCGACATACGATTAATGTTCATTCTCTTTAACGCATATTGCCAACCACCACGATGTCTTTTATAGTACTTTTTTGTAACTTGTGCAGCGAAAGGTAGTAAGCTTTTCATAAACGCACCTGTATAGTTTATGCGATTAATGGACATAATGAGACGTTAAAACAAAATGAAAAAAACAGACTTGTTGAAATAATTAGATGGCAGAAACAGGTAGCCCAGATATTCAAGCAGGTCGCCGTTGAGACTATGTGTCACTTAGTGCTTTGATTACATTTTTGAACGAGACTAATTACATAATCTGTATCTAATCCTTAATCCCCAACAAATTCTATTGAGCAAGCTGTAATAGGGCCATCAGTCTAAGTAACTTAACATCGGGTTCATTATGTTTAGAAGCTGAGTGTTTGGAGGAAATAGGAAGAATGCCTTTGATCAAGGTATCGCGTCAGTTCCCACATATCATCAAGATACATCTATACTTTTAATGAAAATTGATGCTATCCATAAGGTTTGAATCAACCAGTATCCATCAAAAACTTTACCATTGATTTATTCAAGTCTTAATTGACCTCTTATAGGACTGAGATTCTTACAACTAATTCACCACCGATTAGTAACCGATGAAATGATTTTTAGTGTTGATGACCGATTTCCCGTTAACATTATAGACATGGCTTTCTGACGAGTGGTAAGTAGTATGAAACCTAGGTCCATAGCATTCTGTAGATTGCCGCCAAACACTTAAAAATAACAAAAATATCAATGACTTTATTCATGTATTTAAACACATAAAAATTGGTATACTGATATATACATAGTTTTGTTCTCATGAAATTGTGATCTATACATCAATGCAATTAAATATATATATAATTAAAGAAAGTAGAATTAAAGCATACCTTTGATCGAAATAAAAGTGACATGATAGGTGGTAAAGGAAAATGAGCCAAATTACGCTGTTGGAAGAGGGCAAGCTTTCCATTAGCTAAAAGTTTTGCAGATGGGACAAAATAATCCCAAACAATACGTCCACGTTCACTTTCTAAACCAAACAGCTAAAAAATAGTTTAAGATGACAAGTAAAAAAGATTATGGTCACGAAATCTTCATTGTTTAAAAAAGCTGGAGAAAAGAACTATGCCATAATGAGGATACATATCATTTAAAACACGATAAAGAATAAACAAAATGATGTTTAAAGTCCGTTTTATTTGTCTCAACACGCCTAACAGTGAAGCTTGCCCAGTTTAATGTACAGCTGAGAATAACAGATAGGGCTTTTTGTGATCTCATATACAATAGCTTGGTTCACAAAATCCTGAATCAAGAAATTTGACGGATGCCAAAGTAGAGAATGTTAGGATGATATGCAAGGTCAGAGAGTGATATCTGAGGACTTCCAAAGATGATCTGAACAATGATAATCGTGATAGAAAAAGTGTATTGAGGTTAAATGAGAAATAATTTGAAAGAGATGGGATTGTTGTGCATTAAATTTGATAAAATAGGAGTTTACATGACCTTAATTCATGTACTTACTAAATAAACGACCTACATATATATATCGTATGAAATAACGTAAGAATATTTTAGGTTTACAAATTGTAGGTTATTTGTTGAAACGTAGTGAGCATTGAAGGCAATCGAACTTTTGAGACGAATTATCATTATGTTTTAATTAAATGATTATTGGATAACTAGATTATTATTTTTCTATATACCATGCATGTTATACTTCCAGTGGGAGCACACATAGATATTGGTACAAGGAAGCACCAAATACATATGCGCCACACAAATCTCATTCGATATGTGTGAGGGCTGTGATACTGCCCGCGTGCCCAAACCGAAGCAGGACCTATTAACTAGTGTTATACGACTTATTATTTTTAATTATTGTCAAATAATTCCGTACTGTCGCTCTGCACCGCTATATTAATTATATTAAAAGTATAATTCCTCATTCAGGGTGAGTTGTCGTCTGATAATTCATGCATATAAACTAATGAGTGTTTGAGACAGATAATACTGGGTGCCTGAAATTTTTTACTACTGTATTTTCTTGTTCATACTCAAGCCTGGGTATAGAAGACGTGTTCATTGGTGAACCAACAAGAGCTAAAAGTATTTCCATCTTAATTCAAGGTGAATCGTGACCGTTCAAAGCTCAGGACAATAACGTGTATGAAAATTTCCAAGATTCTTATTGGTGATGAAACTTATCAAGTGATATGGACTAACGTTTTCGCAGTCGAAACAGTCAGGGTGCTAAATGTACTCCAAACAATCCAGAGTAATATAAATATGTACATTCTAAACGAGGAATAATAAATAGAAATGATTATTTTAAGATAAGAACAAATTGCTGCGTCTGAGATATGGTCCGCAGCCTCAAATATAGGTTAATCATACCAATTAGAGCGTATAGTTGGTCAAAGCTGTGTACGCGGGCAACTTTGATTGATAACACGATATGATATTCAAGAAAATTATTTTTAGAAATCGTTTAGAGAAATTTGGATAACTATACTAAGTTTTACAGTCAATAATGAATTCAGTGACACTTACTGTAGAAAATAAAACTAACAAAAAGCGATACTTAAATTCGACAGATCTCGTTATCAACTAATCGGTTTTTTAGTTTTACTACAATATCATTAAATATGACAAGTGTAGATCAAAGTACAATACATTAGTCACTCAGTATGCAGTATGGTGTACTGATGACGTTTTGACAGTCAGTTAATATTGACCATTAGGAAGAAAAACAATTTCCATAAAATCTCTAGAAATGATAACTCACAATTAAATAAGTAATCAGAACACTTACTTTTCCAACTGAAGTAGCTACAACCAACATTTTATGAACATTGAAATTATCACGTGTAAGTTTTTCATCCCATGACGTTATTTTGGGATCTATTTCAGATGATTTATAAAAATTTAGCTTATCGCCATCTACATTGTCAATAGTATTATCATTGTTAGTAGAATTATTGATGTGTAGAGAAGGAATTTGTGATGAAAATTGCCATCTAGGTGGAAAACTATGTGAAAAACTTGACAAAGATGATGGATCATTTGATGAATAGTCATGTGAAGAAGGAGAAGATGATGGTAGCACTCTACGTTTTGATAGATCACCATTGGGTGAATACTTGAAAAGTGAAGTGGTTAATTTCGATGACGACAGTATAGTCATGAATAAATTTGGCATGTTAGAAATCCAATGTTTCGTCCATACCTAAATATGTTTGATAAAATAAATATAATATGGACATATATATATTCCACAAGCCGTCGGAAGCATCAACAAACAAGCACATAACTCATGCGCGTATATACAGTACAAACCTGCCCTTAGAAAACGTCACAAAATAGAGTACTAAAAAAAAAGATGAACCAATGATATTTAAGGTCCTTCCAAGTGTGAAATACAATCTGAAGATAAAAATGAGTGCTTTCACGCGGAAAGGAGAAATCCACACCTCCAAAATGAGACTTTTGTCAAGTGATTTCTGGGTATCTAGCATCTTCAACATTATTAACGTAAGTAGTATTATAAATATCACAAAGCTTTTTACTTGTCATGATAGAGTAAATAAACGAAAATGGAAAACTTTGCAAGCTACTATTTATCAATTTATTCAGGCAATTAATTATTGGTATTCTGATAATGTCCTACTAATTTAGACAAAGGTTTTTTTCCATCTAGAGACATACAACTCAATATATAACTTGAAATAAAAAGCTAAATTTAGAAATATTTTGAAAGCATTAATTCTCCAAACTATTTAACGCTCTAAAATCAGTTAAAAGAGAAAACAATTCACAAGATTAATTATATTATTATTACATGTTATGCGATAGGACAAAGAACAGGTCCGGTATGGAACTCCGCAGAGATACAAATCCATGATCCTACACAGAGGAGTCAAACTAGGGGCGTTGCAAATGCCTAGCTTCTAGACCACCGTTGGATGGCAGCTGAATGGCCAAGAGGTTAGACGTGCGTACGCGGGACTAAAGACCTCAGTTTGATCACCATGTGCGGAATCGTGGATTTGCCACTGCCAAGGAGTCCCATACTAGGATGAAACGACTGCACTTCCATGTTTTCAACGTTTGTCTAACATAGATCAATATATGATTTTATTGAAATCCAACAACCTCTTCCAGTTCATACTGAAGAAAAAACTAACAATGGTTTCTGGTAGAAAAGTATCGGAAGTTCGGCTAAGCTCAATATTCGTCATGTACTAGAAATATGATAATCACTTTGTTTTTTGCTATCGGAACATACGATACTTGAAAATTCATTAATTGTTTAGAGCTTAACCCTACAAAGGAAACAGTTGATTATTCATGGAAAATCAAAACTTTTTACTTAGTATTATATACAAAAAATCAAACAAACTGTAGATAAAGTAACAGAAATCAATAACTTACAACTAATTGAGACATTTGTGTTTTTAAGCGTTGAATAAACATTTCCAGAATGTTGTCTGTTGAAACGAAACAGGAGAAAATGGAGAACATAATTCGAAGCTCTCCCACAGTATCAGAACACCAGTTACAATAGGTAAATTACTTTTAACAACTAGTTTAACACCAATGTAACGAACCAAACCCAAGTTCAACAACCAATGAAAACCAGAAAGCACTGGACAGCTAATTCTTTTATTATGTGAACACTAGTAACTAGCTTCAAGATGCAATTCCTGAAGTTCTAATGAGAAGCTGTGACCAGCGGAGTCTAACTATGTCAGGTCTGAGACAGTCATTCACCGCAGACAATGGATGAGGATTGCGCAATATCGTGAAATGGTTGAGGTCAGATATGCAGCCCAGTGGTCGAGAGGTTAAGTGCTAACGCGCGAGACTGGAGGTCCTTAACTCGACCCCCGGTGGTGGGGTCATAAAGACACAATACTGAGGAAGTCTACACTAGTAAGGGACAGCTATCATACTTCTCCAAGCTTTCATTGACTGTCTAACCTAACTCAGTCCCTGAACTCAGTAAAATTGAGCAATCTCTACAATCTCTTCATAGATAAGATGTAATAACTGATCGTAACGTTTCTACACTCACTTTTTTCTAAATATAACACTTGTGACCTTGGCAAAGAATACCTACCACCTTTTTACCAGAGGTTCGTTTGATTTACATCAATATGTATTCACTAGTAAACTGCATTTTGAAATTTTCGTGCACCATTATATTATATCTAGGATTTAGTTCTTTTGTAATAATTGGGATTCTTCGCATACGAAGAGGGATGAATGGAAACTCCATAGTACGATGACTGACACGCACAACTTTTCGTTCATAGGCGAGATCGAAGATTCTAGGTTTGACTCTCATATATGTGGTCATGAATGAGCATTGTTAGAGAGTCTTATACTGGGATGAAATCGTCATCCAATCCTTTCACGTTCTTAATGATGGTTTATCTAAGATTAGTTCGTAATCCAAACTATTAAAAATACTACAATTTATACACTTCCCCCCGATACCAATATTAGATAAATTCCAAACATTGTCTATAACTAATTAGTTACATGTCATATGATCGCGATGATGTATAATTTTTTCGTATATTTTTCCCATGTGTTTTTGATTCATGAGATTAAAAAAGTACGAAACATAATAACATGGTCCAAAGTCCAATCTTCAAATTTAGGGACTGTTAGTGAATTTATTACATTAATAGATTTCTTATTCGGACAAGTTGTATTGTCTTGTAGTTTCAACTAATCTGCGTTTTGCTGAAGAAAGAGTTTAACAATTCAACTGCCGTAAGAGACTATCTATACGCTTTTTAATTTGCAGTAAATTTGCAGTAAATGGCTACCTCAGCATACCCGAAAATATTTTATTTATATACAAATAATAAAATATAAATAAAATATTTTCGGGTATGCTGAGGTAGCCTAAAGTTGGGTTGTTGAAAACATTTTCTTAATCGGACATGTTTATTTTGTTTAATCGCGCAATAGGAAGATGGTCGCGCAATTTCGTGGATTGGTTGGTGTCAGACATAAACACCATTGGATGCCGGCTCTGTGGTCCAGTAGATTAAGCGTTCGCGTGCGAGACTGAATGCCGTGGGTTCGAATCCCGAGAGCGGGATCATGGGTGCGCACTGCTGAGGAATCCCGAAATAGGACGAAACGGTTGTCCAGTGCTTCCAGGTTTCCAACTGTGGTCTAACTCCAATCGGTTCATGATCTCAATAGGTTTGTTCCGGTGGTTATAGTATTATAGCATAGTCTTTCAGTGGTATACTTTTTAATTAAGAAAAAATAAAAAATTACGGGAGATAAAAAGAAGGAAAACAAGTCAAATAGCCTGTTCATATAGTTTACTGACTGGTAGAAACAAGTTAACTTACTGCTTGCATGATTAAACTCTTCTTCAATTTTCGCTTGAAACTCTGAAACAGGCAAATCGATTACTTCAACAGCAACTATGTTTGCTAACGCCTCTTCACGAATCCATTGTTGTTTACCTAAAAAAACAAAACATTGGAGCTGCTGTTTAAAAAATTACAGACAACATATTGTCAACAATAGCCTTGATGAAACCATATAAAAATATTGAGAGTTATATCAAAAGCTTAGTGTTCGGCACATTTACGAAATACCTTAAATATCTTGCCTATAAGCTTTTTCGTGATGCATAAGCTGTTGTTAGATCTTATACTTTCATTAAATTACTGTCAATTTGATGATGGACCTATCACTCATTTCTCTCCCACTTATGGTGTGATTATGCTGATATTGTAATCTCCTAATAATGTTGTTGTGTGGTCAAAATTTTACTTGATAATATTATATGAGTGAGTCATAAATCTGAACTGCGGAGTTTAAAGTCTCCTGACTGCCTTGTTGTGTTCTGTCTTGGCTATTAAGCGAACAAGGGTGGCAAAACTGCATTCTGGACTAATTGTCGTCGTATTTTACCCTCAGCTGTAAGCAAATTACTATCGTGTTATTGGTACCCGATAGTCCAGATGAATAAATTCATGCTCGATCTAGATCAACACAATTTCTCTCCTGTAATTACGGTCTGATTTCACGGACTCAAACAACAATACAAGAAACTTATTTTCTCATCATATAAAAACAAGGTATCCATTACATTGCCTTAATAAACAGGGTCAATCTACAATTTTTTATGAAACTTGAGAACTCGATAGATATTTAAGAAACACTAGAATGACCGTCGACCTCCTACGTTGATGAAAGCATTGTGTATGCGTGATCCCATTGTGTATAATGTAATAATTATTAGGTAAGACAATTGAATATAACAAATTCCAACAAGTGTCTTGAAAATAGAGTAATTCTATTGTCCGAAACCTTCAGATATGACCTATTTTTATAAGGATAGTTCAGTCAGTCAGTCAGTCAGTAACAACGTAGAACTTCGTACGTACGTACATCAGTTCGAGTTGCCATACCACATTAGCACAGAGATGCAGTGGTCGATTCAAATCCCGTAGTGGTAGAGGTAGTAAGAGCATAAGCAGTAATCCAAAAGATTAGGGTTCGAAGATGTTATTTAAAGAGTATGATACAGTGAAATAAATTTGGGAAGAGAAAAAAAAGAGACAAGGGGGAATCAGGAGATCAAAATTTTGGAGAACACAAAGAGTGTATGCACCTGCGCCATCGCAAACGATTTTGAGCCATGTCATTCAGGGTCTCTAACCATCGGTTGCTATCATCTCGCGGTCCCCAATCAGGTAGTCGACACCTACCAACATGACTCAGTCCACTTGTCAGTGAGACTTTATGGACTTGTGCCCATAAGGATAGTTAATGAGAAAGTGTGAACAATTCACCAGATAATTATTGTAAAAATAAGCAGTGAGGAAAGAATTATTAAGACTGAAGAGAAATCCGTAGATTCTGAAAACATATAAAGAAGAGGAAACAAACTAGCGGTCTAACATTAAAGAGTTAGCACATATTGCTTAATCAATTCTTAATACGAAAAACGAGAAGTCATTAATGTAATGATGTTAAGCTTAAGAACTACAAAAAATGAACTATTACCATTTTGTCGGATTAGTTGTACAGCATCATCTTCTGTATGTAGTAATAATCGAAAACTCGGAGCACCAGTAGCATCAGTAAACATGATAACAGATATCTGTCAAAGAAAAAACAATTAAGCAACAAAATACTTCTATAATACAAATATTTGGTAGACAAACTTTTCATTGATGATAAATACATAAGAATGAATTAGAATTAAATCAAAAATAAAACACTGAGCGTAACATAAGATTTCGGTACAGACTAATTATATGATCAAAAAAATGTAAATATTTTGACAGACCTAACTATAATAAAAGTGAATACATGCATCCACTGGAAAGCGTCATGCAGAAAATTTTACTCAGCTTACGTAAGAAGTTTGCATTTTTTACTTTTAAAAATTAATTGCTTTGTTGGATTATTAGAGGACAATGGAAAATTAAAGTCACTCACTGAGCATAAAATCAATAATTCGTAGGAAGCTTGCAATAAATCGAGTGAGAAACTGTTTGTATCATAATTGAAATTATCTAACACAGCCAGAATAGATAAAATGAAGGTAAGTGGGTTAAATTTACCCTCAGTTCACATTTATTATCAATATTTTTATTTAAAATAGATTAAATGTGGCTGATAGTAACATCTATGATGCGTGTCCAACTCTGGACTAGCACCCAGTATCGTTCGCTTCAGATTCCATTGCATAATTAACTTAGCTCTTGAGTTCAGAGTGTACAGGTTCGCGTCCTGGAGTGAACATTAACTCTGGGATGCAGGTACATTCAACTAATAAGAGAAACATGTGTCTTAGATTCCCCTGATAGCCACGTTCCATCGATTCTGCATAAACTTGTATCATAATGTCTATATCGAGGCAACCGGCACAGAATGCACATATATCAATCAAGACTGACCAAATTTCAGTCAAAATATCAACAACGGAATGATCCGAACCATTTCAAAAAGTATTGTCATCAATATAATTATCTCACTGACAGATACATATTCGTGTGCTTAGCTTTAAGTCACACTTTAAATATGAGAGTTAATGATGTTAACTGACTGTCTAAACCGAAATAAACAGTGAGGGAAGTTCTAACGTGCGACATAACAGCTGAAAGTGGATTCTTATTCATGCAACATTTAAAAGACAATCTAACCATAAACATATCAAATACCAGATTTCCAGAAAACGACTAATAAACATTGTACATCACACACTTCAACATCAATGAACTTAACAGTTAAAACTATGAAGAAAAGCAAAATTAGGTTAATCTACATTATTCATAAATTAATGTTAGGATATCTATATGCCCCCAAATGCTCTGGTACTGACGAGGGTGAGGAGAGTCCGCTCTCCCTCTCGAAACGCTCTCATATAGCCACGCGTATACAGCCACTGCCATGGAAGTCGCACTCACTTTCTTCTCGCGGCATTACTGCTGTTTACGAGATTGAGAGGATGAAATGAGAATGTCTGGCACTTTAACCGGGTTAGTGGATATGGGGAGTCTACCTAGGGGAGTTGGAGAACTCTGATTTCAAACCAAAGGTGCACATGGGCTTCAGGATCCTGAAGGAACAGATGGTGTATGAACCTATTGTTAGTCACCGGCCACCATTGGACTGCATTTCCTGACGTTGCTCTACTGCCTAGTGGATTAGACCTTCAGGCCAAAGGCTCCGGGTGTGGTCCCCTAAGAAAAGCACATTCTTCGGTCTGGACACCCGAACAGTACCACAGACCTCACACAAACCAATGATAACTATTACTGGTCTGACTGTTATTGTGTGACGCATATATATTTGGTGCCCCCTTGTATCGATGCTTATGTGTTCAAATATATATAAGAGGATCTTGTTTTTTTTCACAGTCGTTAATAGCAAACAACGTTGATATACACGATTATTAGTGCATAAGGTTTGTAAAGACATAAATTTTTATAGTTTATATCAAAGATTAACTTTAGCTGAACAACCATGGAGCAACTAAACAGCACGGAACTGTTGTTTCAATTTAGGATAGGATTACACAGCGATAGTCAGTTATATACATCGTAGAACTTAGCACATATATTCATCAGTTCAAATTGTCATAACACATTAACACAGTGAGATGAAATTATCATAACAAATTCAAAAGTAATTAAAGAAGTAACAGTATCAGTAGTAGTAGAAATTAGGCATAGAAAAAAAAACGGTGTGGAGAAATTTCGGGATTCAGGTTATAGGAAAAGGCAAAGAGTGGATGTAGCTCCTCCATCGCGAACGATTCTAAGCCATTACACCTAGTCAAGAATGAACCGATACTATTTAACTAAGAATAAGATCTACATACAAAGATACTGATTAACTTCGCAGTAGTAAATTAGAGTAAAACTATAAACAAAATCTATCTAAAACTGGTGAACTCACTGATTCAATTGTACCATGATGACCAGCAAGAGTGAAATGACGAGGTGGTAGTTCTTTGGATAATTCACCAGATTCTAAATCATAGATGTTTAGAGCCAGATTCTTAAAATCCTATCAAAACGATAAATAATGGAAAAAGTATTAATTAAAATTACTAGTAAAAAACAAAGATTCTAAAAAATTTAGACAGGGTTTAATGCAGATGATTTAAGTAAAATAAAGCGGTGAAGATACTTATATTTACGCTTCGGCTAACAAGAAAAAGATACTCATCGCTTAATATTTCCAACTAATAGTGGTCACTGTTAATTATCAAAAATAATCTAGCTTACTGATAGGCGTCCGCGTCGAAGTCCTCATATAATATAGATATGTATAGATAATTCACTCATCCACCAGGTGCTTAAGTGTATGAGCTACAATCTGAGTGTGAGAGTTAATGATACTACCCAGTTGCTCACTCCGAAATAAATGGAGAGAAGATTGAACTTTGGACTTAGTAGCTGAAAGCCGAACGTCCTAATCATCAAGCTACCGTCTCATAATCAATGACTGCATTATTACGCTAAGTTGTTCGAAGCAGAATTGACGAATCTATAGAAACTTACCCTGTTTATATTCAAATTATCCTCATCTCATCTTCAAATTAGAAGTATAACGTAGACGTAAGTATGTCTCATTAATTTCATAATCAGATCAGGAAGAATAATTTGATTTAGATCACATGATACGCTGTGATTTTTCAGTTTCTTAGATGGTTGACTTTTCTACGCAAACAACCATGAGTACTAGTCATTATATTTTAGCAAATTCATTTGACACATCATCGAAAAGTTAATAAGATAAACCAAACAGATTCTATAGAATCCAAGTGCCTACATTTAGAACTCAGCATATATCTAATGTGAAAGTCCTAAGTCTTGTAATACTGAAGACTGTGAAATTTTTCACGCACACAATCAGTTGCACAAGACTGTAGATAACATTTTGAAGATGCAACATTAAATTAATTTCAAGTCAATAACAAAGTACAAATCAACAAAAACCATCTATGGACCGATGAAACTAATTATTTGCACAGAATATAACAGCTGAAGAGGCCATTAATCGACGAACTAACTGTTATAAACCAATTCCTTGGAACACTCAGTCATGTTGGTATAATAGGACAGATAAGTTGTATAGAAGCTTGTTGACCGTACACTTCTTTATTAACGGCGGACTAAGTGAAGACATCAGAGTTATTACCGTTAACATCACCTATAGTGAATGATAAACTTATTATACTAAACATATATGTCACAAACATCTTTCGGTGAATATTATCTAGCAATGATTTTAAGTATTGTCGCACCAATGTGATTATGGCAATAGGTATAAATATCCAAGATACCATCAGCTAGTTTATTCGATGCAGAAATGGAACGCTATAAATGCATTCAGATAACACCAACTATATAAACAATCAAATAAAAGTCCTTCAATGAAAGCTATGAATATTTGAGACATTTTAGCTTATTTTGAGGTGGTGTTAGGCAGTCATAGAAGAAACTGCAATAAAGTAAGGAGATGAAAAGTGATATCATTACCTGACTTGAATTGTGATGAAGTGTAAATAAATACGATCGACCATTTAGCGTTCCCAAACATCCAATCATAGCCTGTAATAATAATAATAATAATAATAATAATAATAATAATAATAATAATAATAATAATAATAATAGCAATAATCTAGGTGTTCATTGTCTGCATTGGATGGTTTGCTCATGGAGCTTCCATTGTTTTACTGGACATCATCATCTTGTCGACAGGACAAGCTGTGAGTCATATGTGGAGAAATTCGAACACTTCAATTCTACCTGAAGTTTGTGCTGATGATGTTATTCAGAAGAACAATGAAAGCTACACGACCAAACCATCCAGCTCAGAGAACAAAAACGCCTAAATCATCCACCTGAGCTGCGAATTTTCTCCACCATCTCAATAGTAATAATGATAATAAACTAATCAGGTGCATTTATTCTTATCAAAGAAATGAAGCTGTACTGTTATGACAGAGAGAGTATAGAATACATTGGAACTAAGACTATTTTATGTGTTGCTATTTTTATTTCTACTGTATAATTATTAGAAGACTGAATTATTATGTTCACATATCCTCCATATTGTAAGATTCCAATGGATTTAATAACTACTACTGTATACGTTTTATTAGTCCTTAATTATGACTAATTATTCATTCACTTTTTTTCCCGGAGTTGTCTTCCATCTTTGGTGTAGTTATGCCTACTATGCCATTGCATGGTCATGTTGATGTGAGATACGTAAATTTGATCCATATTATTGTATGAGTTCATTTACACAAAATATACAACTGTACCACTGCTTGCAGTGTTCTGTCATGGGACTGTAAACGGCTAACAGAGAATACGTTGAGGACCACTAGGGGTTATGATTGTTCTTGGTCTCAACTAAAGGTTAACCTTGCCAGTAAAAACGAAGTAGTATAGTATATGTGGGGTAGAAAAATATTACAGAACTATTATTGGCGAGTCGTTTCTCTAGATATCAACCGACCCGAAGTCATGATAAAAAGTGTAAGATAAACAAAGTGCTGACAATTACTGAAGCCTGTAATTTCTAATGTAACTTACTAACGAAGTACAGCAACTACGTATTCAACTTTGACTTACATTTTGCACGAAGTCTATTGGCATTACACAGCTGTTTAAACTGAAGTGGATATTACGTTTGAACCTGAGATATCATGGCTGAATGTCAAATGCTTTAGCCGCTAAAACACCAAGTCCATTTAATGAAACCTATTTGTACTACACGTCATACAAAATACGAAAGTACTCCGGGGAAATTTTACAAAAAAAACAGTATGATAAGAATTCTAAGAACTGTATTCCCATAATCGAACTATAAATAATTACAGGGATATGAACTGATTGTGCACGACCACTACTACCACAAGCGTTCAAGTAAAATGTTATTTTTGATGCAATGAAATATTTTATCCTTACAGTATTATATTCACAATAGATGTATGCACCATCATATTACTTGTCTTCGAATCTAATTTCAACTTCATTCACCTTAACAGATCGAAGTTAATTACTTGAGTTAACTAGATGACACCAGTAATGGTTAGTTACAATAACAATTTCACTTGTATGTTGAAATTTTTAATATTCAGATAGCGTAAAAAATGTTACAACAGATTTTGCTAATCTTTAACATCCCTGGTAATGAAACATACACTGAACATTATTATTCATTTCACCTCACAAAAGACGGACAGACAAATAAAAGTAAGAATATGGAAATTCTGTGCTAGTTTATGTCCCTGTGTGTCAGATCTGTACATTGAGGATAGTAAGTAATAAATAAACAACTTGAATTAACGATCCTAATAGTAATAAAAAACGGTTAGAAGAGACTTCAAGAATATTATTTCCAGCTTGGTCGAAAAGAGGCGGAAACGAATCAATAAGAAGCTTCATAATCAAACACCTTGTGAACATAACACTTGATAAAAACATCCAACTTTCAAAGTCATATACAGGGTAAGTAGAAACCTGCTTAACATAGATTTTTTATTTTATTTTAGCAAATAGATATTGGTATAAGGAGGCACCAAATACATATGCGCCACAGAAATCTCATTTGATATGTGCGAGGGCTATGATACTGCTCGGGTGCCCAAACTGAATCAGGGCCTAACACAGAAGTGAGCTTTTATCTTCGTAGCACTGCTGAAGCATTTACTATAAACTGGAAAAATCCAGAACCATGTATATAAAATAAATTTATTCGACCTCTTATTATAAAATAATCACAATCCCTAGTTTTTCAAAGCCATCCTAATACTCTCACTTGTCTCCTTCTTTACTAACCTCATACATTCCCTCAATAGACTTATTTTTATTTCCTTCTATACTCTTTCTATTTAAATTTCATCGCATTGTTACGTAATTCTTCATCATCAGGGAGAAAAGACAAAAACAGTTGAAAGAGTAAAAGTATGAGGTAAATAAATGCCTAGAACTAGCTGGAAGATAGTAGATCAAGTCATTTTCAAAAGTGAGTCCATTATTGTGAAACGAGACCAAGAAGCGTTTAAAAAACCTCCCTAAACAATTTATGTTAACAGTCAAAGACTGATATTATAACCTGATACATCTCTATCTATTTTTAAACCATTCCTACATCAGCTAATCATATCTCTCTTATCGACAAAAGATTATTAACTAATTGGTAATAAATTCCAAAAGTTCAATTCTCTTTAAAATTTTTACTGGAAAAGTTATTGAGAAAGAATTTAAAACTTTACAAGTAAACCATTTAGAAAAAATACCCCAATACTAACGAAATACTTTCGTTCTAAGTTACAAACATTATGCACTATATTAGTGATAACTTATTACGTCACAGGCGTGTATTAAAAGTTAGAAAAAAGGAAATATCGTAGTAATTTAGGGATAATAAAAATTAATAATTGAAAAACTGACACTGACTTTACTCACATTATTGACAAAGTATTTTACAACTGGAATACCAGAGGGATCTAAATGATATACGGCCCCAGTGGTAGGCTCCAACGATGAAGAGGTTAACAGAAAATCATTGTCTGTTAGCTTAACCATATTTTCAAAGGTCTGAAGCATCAAAAAGACACAAAACGTGAAAAACGCCGATAAATATCTAGATATACGTTTTGACACCACACTACAATGACATACAAATTAACATCCGCAAATCCAAATTGAGACTAAAAATTTGAGAAATCAGTTGTACGCTATCATAAAGAGTAAAGTTATGACGAATAATAACAGCCTAGTATTACCAAAAGTTGGGATTCTTTTTGCTATCCATCTGCTTAGTAAGGACTAAGTGTACTGTACAGCAATCCGCTTCATATCACTCTACGGGTTTGAAACATGGTCTATGAAAATAGAAGATATGCGTAGGCTGCAGATTTTTGATAATAATTGTCATTGAAGGATTCCTCATGTATGGTATAATATAAGTAAGTAACGAATACTGAGGTTATGCTTATGGTAACGGGAAAAGATAATAATCATTTGATTAAATTATTGACCTATTATCGACTGAGGTGGCCGGGATATTTGTTACATATGCTAATCATCATCCACCTCGGCAAGCAATGTTGGTTGAAGTAGCAGTTTGTAAAAAAAATTGTGACGCCGAAACCAAGACATTGTATCAGTATATAGGGTCATTGTTTGACTGAGTCGTTTTAGTAGGCAAAAACTACCTAGTTAGGGTCCGTGATATAACCACGATTAGTAGTTGGAAACGTTGGGTGACGTGAATTAAAATCATAGTGATAAAGATGCATTTACTGTTTACCATTACTTTTAGTCCTCAATTTCATCTTTTCTTTTAAATCAGTATCCTTTCGTGTCTATACTCCCTCACTATCACTGATTTGAACTATTGCCATCCTTCATGTCATCTTCATACGACAATGACAAAGGCTAAAGAACATTTGTGCCAGGCTCCATGGTGATCATGATTGACTGATATCTACGATAGTAAACTTATGATAAAGCAGAATATGACATGAGTATATATCATTTTAAGTTGTCACACTACATATGAACAGATAAAGAGATGAAATTGTCGAGGTGGAAATTAGATGAGAAAGAGATAGTTCAAGAGAAATGAGTGATATGTAGATCCAAAAAGTACGTAATAACATGAAGCCCTAAAGTTATAGGTAAATAAAAATCGGATGTAGCTGGGCCGTTTCGACCGATCTACACAAAAAACAACCAAAGACGTAAAAAGGATGAGGATAGTATAGTACAAATTGATCAGTACAAATCTTGAGTTTACATAGTATTACCTCGTAGTAAAATCGATATTTAAGTACAAGTAACGGAAAATCGTTCTTGTATCTACTTCATCACAGGCAAACAGAACATAAAAGCTAGCAATGAAACTACACTACTCAGGGATTATCATATATAAATCCAGTTATTTGTATACGAGAAAATTTACTCCGTGCTTTAAGTCAAAATACAAAAATCAGCTTACGCTTTTCACTGTGATGACGTCCCAATTCGACGATGAAACAGATGAAAATCTAAGCACGCTTCCCTGTCTACCACGCCCCGACGATAAACACACAACGACAGCATCAGTTGGTGTGTTATGTAACCCGAATATATTGCACCTAGAAGGTTAGAATGGTTGTGGATATAATCGTAATTGTCTTTTTTTTAATATACAAATTACATTGTGAGAAGCGCATTTTGTTGTGTTAAATGCGATTTGGATTATCAAGACGAGAATTCTTACTACTTCACGCTTTTTATAAATAAGTTAATGAAATGTGTACGAGATGCTAGAAGAAAAACTGCGAATTGAACTAGTACACTGGAACAGAACTTATTCTAAAGTCTTAGACTTTAAAATACATCGAGCATGTGGAATTCATTTTCGCCATAGACATTCTATTAGAAATGATGCGTTTCTCGTCTAACTTTTCAGTAATTGATTTACATATAAATTTACTCATGTGCCTAGAGTATATATAAATGACATGGTTCTGTCTAGTAAAAGACATTGACATAATCCAATCTTCGAAAGACTGAATAGCAGTGTAAAAATACGTGAAATGTATTTCTAAATGTGAAATGTTGTTGAACGACTGGTCTAAGTTAATGTCTGATTTTACCACTGAGTGAGATAGCTGAACGCATCGACTACATCTGGAAATGTTGTCAGCATCGAAACCTAATAGTTAACAAAATTCCAGTTGGCTTTTGAGAACTTTTGCCATTTGTTGTGTAAATAAGGCACACATTTACCCTTCAAATGTTCAGTCTAGTGCACAGTGGTCCGCTCTGTTTAACTCCATGGCTATAATATGTGACAACTGAAAGTATAGGACATTCCCAAGTTACTGGTATTTGACTACAAATGCTTTTGAAGCATTTCTCGTGTATGGTGGAACAGCAGAGTGGACAATAATGAAGTCAGAAGCAGGAGTATTAGTTGTATATATATATATATATATATATATATATATATATATATATATATATACCTTTTATCATAAGCTTTCATTTGATCTGTTAGCTACAGCAATACGATTTACCATTCTTAACTTATTCCCAATTTATTAGTTATAGTAACCCACACTCACAGCCACTTTTGGCTTGATCTCATACAATAATTATTTTCGACTTTATGATTTGATGCGGTCTAGTCTGCTTGTATATAAACTAAGTATGTCTGAAATACACGATTCCAACAGCGGAGGCTGATATTTGTGATCTGAACTGAACAGGTTGAACTAGGTGAGAAGTTGCTATGCAGAGGATCAATAAGGGCTAAGCGTTGACTCAAGACTGCTAGAATTGTTTGATGCATTATTGTTTTAGCACAGGGACAATGTCATAGAAGTCGGTATTCTGATTGGCGATTTTGTCAAGTGATATCTGACAGACCATAGGACATAACAAAACAGGCTGATTAGAATGTGCATCTTCATCGGCCAAAGTCTGAGACATATGCTGCGCATCCCCAATCAACGCCTATCTCGACAAAAAGTGCTAGTTGAACTAGAAGTGGCAGACTTTAAGAAAGCTGAAGACGGACAAACCAAGACGCCACATCACTCCATGAAGTCATCGTTGGACTGAGCAGCGTTGGTAAGCGCAGATTATATGGTTACGGTTAGTCAGGTAACCGCGATTAGTGATTGGGAATGTAAGGTGCGATAGTTCGAAAATGACTAATGATCCAAATGTATTCACTATTTACTCCCATGGATTTTAAGCTCCAAGATTATTTAGAACGTTTAATTCTGAAAACTGATTAATTCGCTTTGAACCCCATTATTTATTCTGTATTTCACTTTCAATAATAACTTTTATGTTCATTACTTTGCCATTCACCTTGTCGATTTCATTTGGCTGTGCTGATGTGACATGACAATCACCAAGTCCCATGTTGACTAAGACTAACTAACAGAACGGAGATTGGAGCAACAATATCTACTCAATTACTTTAATGTCACTAGGCTTGTCAGTTTTCAAACTCGTTAGTCCCTGGGGAAGATGTTGATGACTATAACCTGAAAGTTACTAAGCTAACGAACAATGTGGACAAGTAGGCGTGTTACAAGATTTCTAGTTGTATTTGAGTCTAAGAACGGTTCACAAACCACCAGGTTCCAACTCAAGATTCAGTAAATGACTTATCAGCGATACAATTGAGGATTGAAATTGTATGAATGTACGATCCTTTAGCACATCAAATAAACAATAATACCTTTCAATACTCAACTTAATATAATTGATGGATACGTTAATCGTATTATAATGGTGATATGCACAACTGGGTTGGAAATCTCCCGAAATGAGAAGCAAATCACGTAAACTGAAGAATCAAGTGGAAAATTTTCCTGGGTGGAGAAAAGCTAAATAACTGTTGCCTCAGAACAGCAAACTTAATTTTATTTTTTTACATAAAGGCAAGGTTACTGCAGCAAAATTCACTTACGAGTGTTGGCTATAAACAGACGACTGAATCGTGTGGTTCTTTATGACCATAGGGGTTAATTGCAATCCAGAACTTGAAATTGGATATGTTTTGATAATTATATGAGATAATTCAGGTGTATCAATATCCAGATGATCACTCTTATCCAGATATTTTTCGACTAGTGAGATTGTCGAACTGGATTCAGTTTTCCCAGAAACTATATTTATTTGAATAGGAGAACTTGAATTCCTACAAATGTCCCAAAAACCAATGGTACAAACTCAAGAAAGGTATCACAGGAGAGTAATAATCAATTAACCAAAATATTAACAAACGTATAAAAGTGAAAGCGGGGTTATAACGCTTTTCCATGAAAATAAGCGTAACTCGGGCAATTGGCCTTAAGAATGCACAGATTTGCTTAAGATTCCTCTCGAACGCTACCATATGGAAAAGGAAAGTTAATAACATTTAGATGGGATTAAACAAAACAAATATAAACAGCGGAAGTGGTTGTGATAAGACAACTTAGTTTTAGTGTGGGCAGAAACATCACTTAAAGGTTCGGCAAATGCATTCAGTGAAAGCGCCAAAGAAATGGCTCTACTTACAACCTTCCTATTCTTGTCATGAGACAAATAGTATGATTGTAGGTCCATGTGAGAAGTCTGGATAGAAACCGACATATTTTAAGGTTTCATGTCGACATGTGAATGCAATTAAAATTAACCGGAATACCGACATAGGTGTTATCAAGACTTTAAATCTATGGGCTGGAATACCAAGCAAAGAATGTAGAAAATGGACAGTGACAAGCTTCGAACGTCTCGCTAACCATTGCTCATTGAAACCATGCTCCTAAGGGCTATTCTGAGATTTTAGATTCTTGACTCGCTTAGGGCAAATAATGTTACGGTAGGACTGAATAGTTACAAGATCTTGTTCCTGAAAAGAGATAAGAATTCTTGCAGCTGATCCATATGCTACGATAGAAAACGAAATTCAATGACACTTAAGAAACGCCATCGCTACAAAAGCATATCTTTGATACATAATGTTATCTTGACTTTGGAGTCAACGCACTCTTAGTTTCCGTCTAAACATCCAGAGTTTATCCAAATATAATTTTCATGTTTCATAAGTCCCCTCCCCCTCAATAACTGCTTATTTAAAACGAAGTGGTTAAATTTAGACCAATCGGAATTACCGATTGCATTCAACAAACACATGTCAAACTGTTATCACACTAGTCAAGTCGGATGCAAAGTATGTTAGCGAACCGTTGTGGAGTCACGTAGTGTAACGCACTCAAAATCTTGCTCTACTAACTGCTAATTTTCTGATTGTCACACTATTTGGATCTATTTTCCACTGTTAATTGCTGACATTTTTGAGTGTAAGTGTATTGAATGTGCTCACCGAAATGTTATCTCCTCGTGTTCTTTTCAGCAGATTTGTTGACACGTTACTACTATTAAATGATATACCTTCAGGCTAAACTCAAACGGCTACATATTTGCATTACTTCAAGGAATCAACTCCTAAAGTCGTTACACTCATCTGATCTAACTACCCACTAAAGCAGAACGATATGGTTTTGAAAAACAACGAGTACATATGTAGTTCATTAAACTTAAAATCATTCTGAAAACCCAGAAATTATCGGTCGCATTTTATTGGGTTCGCTAAGTGTGAAGATGCGGTTTTTTTATTTTACTTGTTTTAATATTAACTTAGAAAGAAGTATTTACAAAAAGTGGTTGTAAGAGAATATTTAAGAGCGACGCTTATGGATATAATACTTACATATTTCTATCAGATAGAAGCTTTTCACCTGTTTGAAGACGATAGGTATCCACTCCTTTATCGTAAGCAACAACCAAAATTCCTGAGTTTTCATCACACCAAATGTCTCCACTGTTGATAAGCATAAGCAACAAGTATTTATATTACCTGGATGATTCAGAAGAATCTATTAAAATCTCCCATAAAACACCACCAAACTTAATGTCCCAAGCACGCAGCTTAGTCCCATGCTTGGAGGAAAGAGAAAACAACTCTAAATGTATGTACGCATATTTTTAAGGACTTACTATTGCCACACAATTCAAATCCAGTTAATTCGCCGTCCTCGTCAAGTACCTGTCGCCAAACTACAAGCAATTATACAACCCTGAAGCTTACCAATTGACCCATCCTTTAAATTGATAGAGCTAATAACGTTGAGTTCAGAACCCACAAAATAGTTTTTAGGGGTAGTCCCATCAAACTTTAATTTTGAATACTTTACTTTCCCCACGAACTTTTGATTCCTTAAAAAGAGCATCAGTAAACTAATAAGGCATACCAATCTAGAACGTCAACCTGATCTTCATATATGGCATTAACGCTGAGTGCAAGTAAAGCCAGCAGCCATAGGTCTGAAATCATGTCACTGAGTACCGCAAGAATCTAATGACCCGCAGTTCAACCAACGTCCTCTGATGACAAAACCGCAAACCTTCCAAGCATTAAAAAGAAAAAACTTGATATTCATTGGGACATATCTATAACGTATTATATGTGATTCTTAAGCACGAATACACCGTCCATCATAGAAAATAATTCGTGCATTCCCTTGTTCTATGATTCATGCTCTTCTCGCTTCCATTGTGAGCCTCACCAGTCACAGGTCAACATGCCAGGAATTTTTTAAGACATCAAGTAGACTTAGCTTCGAGTCATTTTTAACCACGTTTGGTGCATTCATCGCCTCTTGTCTTAACCTCCCTTTTTAGGATGACTTCAAATATGAGTAATCACTAACCAGGTCAAACTCAGGCAGCTCAGCCGGACCTCAGTGTTCATAAAGTGTTGTCTAAGGGCTAGACATCATTTTTATGGTATTTCTCTCAAAATTATGTACGTTACACAAGTAAACTTCAAAGATTGTTCACTCATATTTCCTATCTATATATTCATTCAAAAAAAGTTACGTTTCAAATCTCTTAACCTGGAGGGCTGTCATATGATGAAAGGTATGAAGAATAAGCTAAACTATATCTTCTCGCGTATGGGTCACGTGTTGTTGAGTATTTTGGATGTCTTTATTTATCAGCTGTGAACAGCGTTTTAGCTGTTACATGTGAATTTTTGCAATGTTTGTGCTCGTTGCATAGTTTTTATCCTAGTTTATCAGTAGTTTGATGTATTTATTATTGACTACCTGGATGAATGTCAAGTCAACTTTAACATGGTTATTTTTATCAATCTAAACTCAAGCAAGTTAGAAGCATTATTTATCATGTCAGAGATAGACTACTGTCAGAATTTTTAATCAAAAACGGGCTCTAAAACCCTTTAGAATCTGATTTAGTACCCCAACGGATGCTCATAAACAAGGATTTCCGGTGATTGCTTAATGAATACAGGTTGAGGCAGTTCTGTGTAAAACTATTTCCGAACATTATACGATTTTCTGGTGTATAATCACAAAGAATTCTAACCATTATCCGTATCACCACTTTTGACAGGACTGACATAGTGATATGTAACTTTCTTCAATCTTTCGAAGGAGCCCTAGAATTAAACTTTTCTCATATCTTGCCAGTCAGACTTTAATATTGCTAAATTCCTAGGCAGAAATTTCAAAGTGACCGCTTACATTGAAAACTTGTCTGAAGTTGAAGTCGGGTCCAAAAGGATATCCCTAGTCTGATATGCATTTTCACTATCCAAGTGTAAAATCCACTTGCACTTTCCCACAAAAACATGTAGGAAAATTTCACCATGTGTTTCCTATATAACTAATTACTTGTCTTTCTCAGAGTGTACCGTTTCTTCAGTTGTTGTTGGTATCTATGTATATTCTGTTTCTATTTGAGTTTATTTACGGTTGTTATTATCATATCGTTTTTCATTTCTGAACCTATGTTTAATATTAGTTGTTGTTACTGATGTGTTTTCAGAATGGCGTTTCACTTTCGCTTTCTGTAAAATCTTGAATTACGACAGCTACCATATCTGTCCTTGGTAAGGTAGATGTTCGACGTTTTAACTATTAACAAAGTTTATTGGTTGAACAGTTAAACGTTAAAGTTATTCACTTGAGGTTCGGACAGTATTCCTGTGTCATCAAGATCCCCTTCACTTTTGTCAATTACTTATTGTACATCCGCAATATTTAATTGCCTAATGTCTTTAATAGACCTTACAAGTCTATTGGTGTAGCACTAACAGTACCTCCTTTGCAGGTACGGTTGAAATATATCCTGTTTTATTTGTAATTGTACCAATCCACTTGGTACAAGTCGTCTTTATTATCTTGTACAGTTTTGTGAGTTTTTATGAAGAAATTATAATCCATTATCGACCTTATACTCAACTTCAATGCACCATTACTTTTTTCCAAGTCAGGTCTATTTGTATTGCATCACCTTTCGAAATTCTTGTCTGCCTATTGGTCTGAAATTCTTTATGATAAGGAGATAATGCACTAATACCCGTAGATTATCAACAGAGGCGATCTAGTTGGATGACTACTGATCTGGACGAGTTGAAAGGGAGCGGTGTGACCTCCTAGGTTACTTCGTATTTACGTTCACCAGTCAGTAGTTAACCTGAATTATGCTGTCATGACAGTTGCATGAGTCTCCTCGTGGCGTGCAACTGAATGATGCTCGTCAACCTTCCTTTACTTTAACATGAATAGAAAAACTTTTCTACATTCACTAATCTTCCTGTTGGATGATATTAGCTTGTTTTCAGTGGCTCCACAGATTATTCTACCAATATGACCGCCACCTGCGTACAACTTTCGAAGAATCAACAATGGCCCTGTTAGAGAAGGTTTCAAAACGGTATCCTGGTCCAGTGAAGACTCTGCATTTGCGTTGCATTTATTTGCCTCGAATAGCAATAATGGAGCAATCGTTAGTCGCGTGCAACACAGAACCTGGTGGTTTAGCTGTAACCAACCGGATTATCTGAACCTACGTATATGGCTCAATATAACAACGAATGGCTTGGTAGTGTGGTTTGTGTGTATTAAGGCGTATTATTTCAACAGTGCTTTATTAATAACGTATTTCAGTATTGAAAGGTCTTCGGTACATCGTTAACCTACCAATAAGTAGATGAGCTGATACAATCACAAATATCTTTCTCAAGCCAATCTTTTAAGTGAAAACTCGTTATCAAGTTACAGATTGTTTTAAAATTTGCGCTTTTATCTGCAATTTTCTTGAGACCATGCGAAAATGAGGACTGATTAGTCAGTGTGTGTTTTCCTATAGATGTTAGTATTTATCATAGTATTCGAAACTAAAGAATCATACCGCATAAAGTGACCTCAAAATAGCCCATTGCAACCACCAACATTAACGAAGCTATTTAATAAATCAAAGATTTTTAGTATCCATCTAACTTTATGGGCGACATCGTGTAGTAATACAAAATATCTTAAATCCGATGAGTCCAGCAATGGACAGTGGGTTCGACTTTTTACAGAAAGGATGGAGTTTATGGTAATGCTCCCCACTTGGTTATAACAGTCAACACGTTATGAAGTAACGAGCAGCTTACATCGATTTATATTTCCACACTTTCGTGTTAATAAGAAACTACATTATGCAACAGGCATTCTATTCACAAAACAATGTTGAATAGTGTTAATCTTCTAGGCGGATAAATGTCACCTAATGAATTTTGCATGATATCAGCACAAGAAGATATCGTATAGACGAACACCTCAGAGTTGGATAATGTTTGTCGCTAATACAACTGACTACACGTTCAAATAAATCACTTCATACACGGCTGCTAGTTGTCTATAATTTCCAGTTGGTATAACTTTATTCTTATACTTTGTAACAAACAAGTCAAGCGCTTCCACTAACAAGGAGAACTACTAGGAAATTTCAGGATCCTTATAATATGCTTACTGATGATGCATTTACTTCGTTCTTCCAGAAAACTGCGCTATCTACTTTTGAATACTAGAAGCATAAACACAAAGCCGCACGACTGTCAGTCTATATGTACTGAAAACTACATATTCTTACAAAATAATGACAGAACGAGGTGGGCGTTTTTGACGTAACCAGGGAAAAATGCTAACACATCCTTGTTATTTCGACATTGTTCCAGTTATTCGATAATGTCCAGTAGGTGGAAGACTGACCACTTAACATAATCAATTCTAGTCAGTATAGTAGCTATTTGTGGGTAGTACATGAGTCAGTGCATTTTTATCAGGGAAGGAGTGATTCTGGATACAAACGGCTATCACATAGCCAGGCATAATGTTGGTTGACTGCAATGGGAAGATAACAAATTTATAACTCAACTGTTAAGAGATGATTGTGAAGATGCCACAGGTAGTCGGAGTTTGACAACGCTTTAATCAGTTACACCTTCTAATATGAAGTGTACCCACCAAGTGAAATCAAAAGACAGAAGCGAGGAGGTTCGAAGATATATTTGATAAGCTATCAATATATCGAGGATAGTCTGATCTAATCTGGGTAACGATTGCAGGGGTTGTTGAGCACGGCGTTCCAGCTCGTGATCTGGTGTGGATGCATGACCAAACGCTTTCAGCTGGGTGAGTCTATTGAAACTAATTTGGTCAGCATCCAATGTCGAAAACTTACACGGTTATTTATTTTGGGGATTTATTTACCGCTACAATTGTCTAACGAATAAATTCATGGTTTTCTTAATTGGTGATGTGTTAGAAGATGGAAGCGAAAGAGGAAAATATGAAGAGATGATAATGAGAGACATGGGAAGTAGCTACTGGTTGTGCGGTAATGATGACAGTGGTAATTTAAGAGACAAGCATCAGATGAGGCTGGTTCAAATGAGGGATAATAATCCGTAGGTGAGTACGTGTTTTTCGGGCCTCCTCTTGAATTTATCCGCCTTGGTATGAAACATGCTGTTTTCTAAGCAATTTTGGGAAGATACAAGCCAAACAATACCAAGTGAATGCTATTTTCTAGTTAGTTTCGGAGCTAGGATATAATTGGACCAGGGAAACCCATCTTTGCAACCTTCACTATGAGAACGACATGAGTTACTGGGTCAAAAACTTTTAAGTAATCTAGAAATATTTCGCGGATTAGTATCTTATAGTCGCAGCACGTTGTCCAGCTTTACCATGCCATAAGGAGATTTGATGCACATGAACTGTCTTTTCTGGACCCGTGTTGTTTTGCGGAGGATGTATTCAATCCTTTGTTCTGTCACCAGCCCTTCCTCTATCTTCGACAATATTGAGAATAGTGACACTGGCCTGTGACATGCTAGAATTAGTTGAATGTCTCCCAGACCTTCAGCTGTTACTGGAATTAAAATCCATTATAAGGTTGTGGGCCCCTGGTTAAGTTGGTCTACGAAGTTGACATTAAGGAACTCTGTCTTCTCCAAGTTAGTGCGATCTTCGCCGCCTTGCCTTTTAAGAGTCTGGATCCCTTTAGTTGTAGGCTTTCACCTGATCATGAATCTGTAGAGAAGTGTTTGTGGTTAAATCGTATTTTGTTTGCTGGCTTGGCCTGAAGACATCTCCCATCACTTTGGAATTCAGTACTGAATTTGTGTCGTAATACCAAGTAAGAGTAGAGGTCAGATTTCGTCAGGGCACTTTCATGTGCAAGGTTTGCTGTTCGGCCTTTAGCAAGTCTTTGGTGCCAAACTCAGGTAAGTCCTCTTGATACTTAAAGTTCACGACCATCAAACGCAGACTTCTAATGGTCGTCAAGTATAAAGGCTAAGGTACTTGAATTTTCTACTTATCGTAGTGGTATGAAGGACTATGCTACTTGATAGTCAACACCACCGTTGCGTGTCGTGGTCGTTAGCTTCATCCGGACTGCCACTTACAATCACAAACGGTCAGTGAAGCACCATGCCGGTGGGTTCATAGGTTTTTGCTGATCTTCCAGCGACACCTTCTATGGCCCATAGTTTGTCATATTTAACTGGAATTTAAGATTATCGCTAAATCAATGGGCCTTTAAGCAAGAATTATTCTGTGACGTGTGCTGAAACGATAATTACACCTAGAGGTGGGAGTTTTTTTGATAAGTTTTGGCCCTTATACAGGCGGTAAGGCTTAGCTGAAGTGACACACTTTCTCAGCATTGTACAGTGTTTATCACACTGTTCTTAATCAAAGTCTGCTCCACATCCTAATAAGCTACTTTTCGACACTGGGACAATAAATTAAATCAGAGAGTTTTATTAAATATTGTTTTCCTCCATTTTTTGCATTTTGCGATCTATGCTGCTACCATTCCACTTCTCGACGCCCATCCGCTGTTCCTTACTATTAACAGATACTGGGTATTAGCAACAGTCAGTAATTTCTGTGGTGTATGAGGCCGGGTAATGGAATCTATAGTCTCGCGTTTGACTGAACATGCGCTGGATTGGCTGCTGTTGTTGTCTATGGGGTTTTTAATTATTCTCTTCTGTTAGTTCTGTTGATGTGTTTTTTCTACACATGAGAAAATGCACGAGAACCACGAATGGTGGTGAATTAACACAACGGAAGTTCCGTCTAATTGGCTAGGCGTGTCCTTCAAAAGTATAAACCCGAAGTCTACTCCGAAGGCATTTTTATCAAAGATAAAAAATAGTTTTAAATAATGGGGCAATAAGATTCCTGTCTTCTTCGACGTGAACCTCTTATAGGAACTCACTGTATAAACTGCACGCGTAGTTTGTGGTAAGTTTTTAGGTGGCGGAATCTACACTTTGAAGGACTGGAAGTTATTTTTCATCCGAGTTGAAGACGATTCACATCTCTCAAAGTGCTAGCTCATTGTTCTGCTCTTAGGCTTCTCTCTAAAGCTACCATCAAAAGCAATATTTCGGAAGATATTTGCAGAAGACTTGCATGAACCAAAAATAGCAGAGGTCCAAGCACTGAGCCCCTTTTCTGGGAATAAGAAATTTACTTTGGCCTCAAAACGCAGACTTTTTAGACGCAACTTAAATCAGTCTGTCAGCGTGATCTGAATGCGCCGGCTTAGGCTTATTGATCAGACACATGTCTGACCCTATGAAAAGAAGTTGAAGTATATCGCATCCATATTTTCCTCGAAATCAAGAATAACGATTCATCAATCCATAACAGAAAGGCAGATGTGTGATGCAAGCGTGGTTTGAAGGGTCGTCGGTTCGTCCGCCTTAAACAATTTGGCGGATTTGTGGTGTCCGGCACTCATCTACTATCACTCCCCCATCCAGGGTATATGAAAATCGCAAATTTACAAGTTTTGTTGGAGGTGAGGCCTCTTCTCCTCAATATATCTTTTGGTTCCAACCCTATCACTTTCTTTTAACAAGAGACATTCTTATTTATAGTGTATTTTAACCGTCGTTTCACTGCCGATTTTATTAAGACAGTTGGATTGAAATGTTAATACAGATATCATTGGACGTTACTTTAAATGTGAAACCGTTTTCACCTCCAGGAAGTCCTGATTGTTCGTTAGTGATGTTGATGAAGTATTCCAGAAGGATTTACATCTTCCAGAGCTTTGTTGCCAAAAACGGTCGAGTTGACTCTCACCGTTTAGGTCTACTTCAGCACAAGCTACCGGCATGCCGCCACTCTTCGTCCACAACTTTTGCTGTCTGCGCTATAATACGGCTGTCATTTGGAAAATCAAAATCATTCGACTGCCTTCTATGTGCCCATAATACTCCGTAACTCCCTTGGGTGGAGGTCCTCACAATTCCGCCAACCATTAGTATGATGAGAAAAATCGAGAGTATGCAGCTTTGTTTGACACTAGTCTTCTCATGGAATACATCTCTGAGCTGCCCTCCATACACAACGTCGCAACGGACTGCTTTCTAGGAACTTCCTTAGGTGGTCACAATCTTCTGGGGTACTCTTTATTGTCGAAAAAGATTCAAAAAGGTTCTCTTACCCAAGCTATCAAATGTTTTCTCATAATCGAAAAAAATTGATGTATGGTGTAGAGTACCGTTTAGTATCAAAAATAAATAGTATTTAAAGATAGTTGAAAAGGAGAGCCAAGAACAGAGTTGTTCGGAGGCTCCAAGAGGAGCAACAAGCTTAGCTCAATTCATTCATTAGTCCGTCACATAGATCGGAGTTTGATTATTGAGGTTTGAAGACAGTGTGAGTAAACTGCAAAGTTTGCGTTACTTAGCATTGTGGTAGATGCTGTTTATGAAAGTATGCGTAAAATACGATACTATAAGAAAGTGTAAAGTAGGAAGGGTATTAAAACGTTACAGATTTAAGACTTTCTAATGTGTTGTTATAGATTATCTGTTATCAGTCTAATCATGATGGTATATTCATAATTTTAATATGACATTTAGATTTTATCGATGAGAAGTAGGAAACTAACGTGGTAAATATTACGATTGCGAATCGATAATCAAATGTTCATCTGTGTGTTAGCTAGCCTCATTGTTTTGACATATAATCGTCCTTATAGTGTTGGCACTAACTGGTTTATCAACCCTAAATTTTCGATGGAAGTTGCCCAACGTTTTAAATACTGTCGGACATTTTGAGTCTGATGATTGGTGTAAATATTAGCTACGAAAACTAGAGCACGTAGATCTGAATCTGAACCCTGATAATAAGATCGTTTAGGACTTTATACTTCTGTAGTAGATACAAAATTTTTTGCAGCGAACACAGAAGATACGAAAACTAGGTGCTGAAGCATTAAATACGATAGTCGGTATGATTGCAGTAGGCAAAATAACGGAAAGTCACGAATATTTAAGTAAGTACGAGCGACAATAATGTTCTTCGAGATTCCTATTTGTACCACTCTAACAGGACAACAACTCGGAAAAAGGCAGTTGTTCAGTTGTGTCGTTCTCATGATCATAGGCATTGATACGCTGTCTTCCACTGTGTATAACAAAGAATGATCGAAAAGTTTTGCGACTAGAACTACTGAAAAAAGCCGATTATTCGCAAAAATCAGTACGCATATTTCCAGAAACAACATAATTAAAGGAGACGCTTATGGAACTGTCGGTAAGCCTACAATCGATAAGAACTTCATGCGATCGAAGGATCAGTGAGTAAAATCTTTATTTTTTGAAAATATCTACTTTTTCATAACACGTATTCACGCACAATATATTGATGATAACGGACTTTTTGGTGAATAGTCGAGTTTTTTTATTCCAATTATCTGAAAAAATTATTTTCAAAAATGTTTTTCTTGCAATTGAACACCATATTCACTGTAGATGTTCAAGTGGATTTAGATCAATCAATTAACATCACATCTGCGATCCGACGATTGGCATTTTACTCATTTCTAATGGGAGTTCCTGGCTTATGGCGCTTGTTAGAGCCAGCAAGAGAGCCCATAGAATTACAACAGCTATCTGGGAAAATTATAGCAATAGGCAAGTCCATTTATTTTTGTTTTGTTATTTTGTACCAATAGTAGGTTTAACTTACCTTCAAAGTCCTCTATCTGACGTTTTATTGTTAGTAACCGAATAAATTGTTATTTTATTGTCCTTAAAACCATCTTTATTGACCAATAGTGTCTTCAAGCCTGTCATCATAATAAACTATTATGCATGAGTAACAGTCTTTGTTTTCTTCTTTAGGTAGTCTTGGAGAAGTAAATTCAGCCATTTGTATCCCAATTTATACACGTTCCTATTGTGCTTGACTTTGCTCTCCCGTCCAACTTCTAAGGGCATATCGTATCCAATTTTGTCTTCTCCTGTATACTCAGTGACTGCAGTATGGGCGGAACACTTTAAGGAACAGTTCAGCTGGCCTTCAGTGACTCTACAACTACCGTCCATTCCTAGACAGTGTGAATGGAACATTGAAGTAGGTCCCCCAACTCTAGCAGAAGTTCAAAAGGCTATAGTTAATCTGAAACGAGGAAGGGCAGCTGGTCCAGATGGATTGGCTCCAAAAGTCTTTAAGGATGGTGGTCCAATTTTAGCAGTTAGGTTGACTAATATTTTAGCTAAGATCTGGGAGTTAAACGTTATTCCATCTGACTGGTCGCAATCACTTATCGTCCCAATATATAAGAAAGGGTCAAAATCATCTTGTGACAACCATAGAGGGATTAGTTTAACTAATATAGTATCTAAAATACTAGCCTCGATAATTATCAGACGCCTTACTAAGACTCGTGAACTGCAAACACGAGAGACTCAAGCTGGCTTCAGACCTGGTCGTGGCTGCATCGACCACATATTCACCATTCGTCAGGTTCTAGAACACAGGCATACTTATCGACGTCCGACAATGGTGGTCTTTCTTGACTTAAAAGCAGGATTTGACTCGGTAGACCGCGAGATTCTGTGGCAGTGTCTGTCATTGAAAGGCGTACCCCAGAAGTACATAAACTTTGTAAAGGCTCTTTACTCAAACACTACCAGTCGAGTCAGAGCTTATGGCGAACTGTCATCTACTTTTGCAACCTCAAGTGGTGTCCGTCAAGGCTGTCCACTTTCCCCATTTTTGTTTAACTTCATCATAGATCTACTGATGGAAATAACCTCCTCGTCGACTGAGTTCTCGTGTATTGATCTCCATCCAGGAGGTCCACTTATCGACTTAGAATACGCAGATGACATAGTCCTGTTTGGTGAAGACGCTGACAAAATGCAGAGTCTTCTGGTAGCACTGAGCAACAATGCCAGAATGTTTGGAGTGCGCTTCTCTCCCTCTAAATCCAAGTTGTTGCTTCGGGACTGGTCTGCGTCAACACTTGAACTAAGGATAGGGAGTGAAGTAGTCGAACGCGTTGACAACTTCACTTATCTTGGAAGTCTGATCAGCCCTAATGGGCTGGTGTCTGACGAAATCTCAGCACGGATTCGAAAAGCTCGTTTGGCTTTTGCCAACTTACGTCACCTGTGGCGAAGGCGAGATATCCGTTTATCAATAAAAGGACGAGTATACTGCGCGGCAGTCCGTTCTGTTTTAATTTACGGCAGCGAAACATGGCCATTAAGAGTAGAAGACACTCGTAAGCTACTAGTATTTGACCACAGATGCCTTAGAAATATTGCTGGCGTCTGCTGGGATCACCGGGTAAGTAATAGTGAGGTTAGACTCAGGGTATTAGGTTATGATGGTAAATCAGTTGATGAGGTTATGAATCTTCATCGACTGAGATGGTTGGGCCACGTGTTACGTATGCCTGAACACCGATTACCACGATGTGCAATGCTAACGGGTGTTAGAGATGGTTGGAAGAGAATTAGGGGCGGCCAAACCAAAACGTGGCATCAGTGCTTGAAGACACTAACTTATAGCCTGAGCCATGTTGGTAGATGCAGACTACTTGGTTGGGGTCCGCGTGACTTTCGTAACCGATGGTTGGAAACTCTTGGTGACATGGCTCAGAATCGATCACAATAGCGTCGGTGCATACACTCTCTATCTTCCCTTAAACGAAGAGATTAAAATCACTTCATATCTTTCTTTCTACTAACTAATTCTTTCTTCCCGTACTGTATCCTTATATGCAATCTTTCTCCTATATATTACCACCTTTGACCTAACCAGTCCTATGAATCCGGTGTTCATCTTGCTGTGCTAATGAGATATGGCAACCTGGACCGATGCATATATGTGCCTGGTCCTACGTTGTAGCTGACTGAGTGAGTGACTGCAGTTAGGCTAATACAAAGCTGTAAAGTGTGCTCCAAAAAGACGACCGATTAGAACTAATTACAGTAACGTCTGCCTTTGACAAATGATAAATCCAAGATGCATCTTGCAAGTTCCATTAGAATCTTGAGTCAATAAAATCGTTTTTATGTACATAGCCAAACAATTACATATTTTTCACAACCTTCAAATGCAGTGAGGAATGATGAAACTGATATTCGTCTGTCAACATGATACTCAATATTAGACATATTGCCATTAGCCACTTTTTAGGAGTTAATAGACGACTGCCTTACCTTAAAGAGTCTACGTAGTTTTGAGTAAATTGATCTATTACTTAAGCTTCTCCAGTTTTTGAAGGAAGATAGTTATATTAAACAAGTCTGTTATACTGATGGTATTTATTATCGTCTATTGAGATATTTTGTTGCTGTTTAAATATTTACTGTCAAAAGTGTAATTTAGTGTCAAGTAATATATGCCAAAAATAACAGGTTCTTGTACCAACGTTTGAAGAAATATCAGTTGAAATGACAAGAAATATTATCTGGTAAAGACGCTTACAGTCACTACTTTTGTCGAATACCTTTAAAGACGTTATATCAGGCGTGGGTCTGTCCATTTTTAGGTTCACAGTCTCTTAGTATCCAAACGAGCTCTCATGTCAAACTTCGCCTTCGCACCAACGAAGCGATCCGAAACCGTTTTATAACTTCCATGTCAAACAGCCTTGGATCCTAGATTCCTCAGCTTTGTTTCCATTGGTACGCGGGTCTTCTACCATCCTTGATATTAGAAAAGAAACAGTATCAGTAGTTTAGTTATTTTTAGTTATTCATTACTCCTCTGTACCTCTTCAGTTGTTTATAATGCACAATTGTATTCTTCAACTTCTTCCCTTCTTCCATGATTTAGCAACTGTTGTTCGTAATGTGTAGTTTTATGACAAAGAACCCAAATAACTCATTTTTACACTTACTCCCTCATCAACCTGAAAACTTCAGGCACTTAAGCTAAACTTTATCACCAATCCAAAGCGTCACTCTAGCTCTTGCAATTGTTGTGCGATTTCTGATCAATGAAAAAAAGCCTACATCCTTGTATTGTCACCCTAACCGATGAATACACCTAAAGTTGTACACCTGTCATTGTGTTCCCCTCACACAAGCCGAATGATTTGTCTGGCGCATATCTATATGGTGCCTCCTTGTACCAATGTTTATGTGTTTAAATAAATTTGTGATAAAGCAGCAACAATGTCTATTTTGCTGTTTAAAATGTTCTTACCAGAGTTTGGTGACGTTTCTGTGGACGGCTGTTTTAAAGTTCAAAGTTAAGAAGTTATCTCAATGATCATCTTTTTTGGAACTTAACAACTGTCAACCTCACTCCAGTGTGTATACACGATGTTCATCTAATGTTCTATGATTGATACTGTGCATTTAAGTAGCCTATACATATATTTAAATAACTATTATATTGTCAAAAATTTCTCCGTTTCCAAATAATCTTCCTTGCTACTTGAATTTATGATTAACTGTTTTTGAGTCATCCAGCTTCAGTAAACAGGTATTTTAAAAGTTATTTACTTTGACATGTTACTTTATTATGGTATTCACCGTAGATATGAACATCTGGTTGCATCAAGCTGTGAAATCTCGAGGCGCAGCAGGTGGTCCTCGTAACTATTTGGCTATATTTTTTCGTCGTTTATGCAAATTACTTTTCTTTGGAATCAAACCAGTATTTGTATTTGATGGTGAAACTCCAGCACTGAAACGATCAACTATGGTGAGTATTTTCTATTTACAATTCTTTGAACCGTATCACATTTTTTGTAATGAGTAGCTGATATAAATGAATGAGTACTCCACTTCCCATTAGTTATGATATGGATTTATTTTAATATTTTTATTCCTTGTAATGTGTTAAATTGCAAACATGATAGCAATTGAATATATAGGGTAACCATTAAAACTGTTCACCCGGGTAGTTTGCTGATTTCATCATTCCGGTGTTTGCCAACTGTAGGTTATAGCACTGAAAATAAAGAATAGTGGGATTGTTGTTTCAAGGAAGAAACTATCCCTTAAATAAAAACTAACATACACTGTTACATACACAAACGACCAGTAGCTATCTCTTACAAATCATGATAAATTTTATAAAGATAAGTAGTCGATAGGGACATAACACACTAGGTTGACTGGAGATCCACAACTCATTTTGTATGTGTCGCACATTACTTATGTAAACCACTTAATTTCGCGCGATTTTAATCCCTTATTTAGTAAATCTCAGCAAAAAGTGGAGCCAGGTCTCAAAGACTTATTGTTATTTAGATCGCATTTCGACTCTTGGACTGAGGAGAGGAAAACAAAGGGTTATTGAGTTTATGAGACATAGCTCCACAGTATGAAAGATGACTTTGAAGGACTGTGATTTGTCGGTCTATTCCGACTTTTCCGTTGGGGATCCTAGAGATTATACTCAGTGTATTGAAACGTTGTGAGACATAGATTAGAATAGAAGTTGTGTTTTTTGGTGAATATTACTCTTGTTCGTTTATTTAGTGATTGTGTAACCTTTCATTCTTCTACCTCTGCATAGTCTCATTTTCTTTGTTTAGTATTTCTTAGTGTCTTGTTTTATAGTACCTGTGTACAAATCCGTGTACCGATCTGTGGGTGACACATTGTATGAAGAGTTAATATTATTATGGTGTTATAAAATCGTGATTTAATTAGTTGGAGGATTCATTTGTCCTGTTTCGCGGCAAAATTGAACAACTGAAAAAATGTTAAATTTAAAATTCTCTCTGATTTTCTGGAAACTCACCTCGACATTTCTCAGTCGACCTGTTTTATTTTTGAGACAACTTATGTCTTATTCATACTAATCCTTTCACAATCATCAATTTTCGTCACGGTCATGAGTGCTCACTGATGAGTAGTCCCATACTGGGACGAAACACTTGTCCGACGTCCCCTGGTTTTTGATTGCTTTTTGTGATGTAAATTAGCTGCGAATTGAACAGTATTCACATACATTTTATACCGATAATAATTCAATATTTCATCACAATTTATTACCCAGTAAATAGTCTTTGATATTACTTTTGTCTGTTTCGATAAAACTCATTACGTTGATAGATCAAAAGTGCTTGAATTCGTCAGTAGGAGTTAGTTTTATCTACCTCATCAAAGATTAAACGGAACTTCTACATCATTGTAAACAGATCGCTACTGGCTTGTGTATAAAGTTTAATTAAGTTATAGGTATAATCTGAATGTTATATACCCTTCATAGAAGATATTGTTTATGAATAGAAACTTGGTAGTTAACTGAAATTACGAATGAGGATTTAGCCTATTGGTCATATCGTGATTTCATTGGCGAGTGAGTGACCTATTCAATTCGCATCTCATAAATAAAATTTAATCCTGTTTACAAAGTGAGATTAAATTTGAAAAAAAACCATACAATAAAGAATAACCTGCTAGTTTGATTTAAGTTTATTTTTTGGCTTGTGTCAGTAACTTGATCTCGTAAGTAGTTAACGATAAACCACATTGTATCTTTGTACATCGTCTACCGATCATAATCCTATTCATAATATCAATAATTTAATTTAACAGTTGTGCAGTTTGACATTTCGCATTTAATCCTGGAATTTTCAAAACACTGTATAAGAATAAGGTATTTATTAATGTTTTGTTTTTCGGTGTGTGATCCTGACACTGATACCCAAGCTTCCTGTACAAGAGTCCGTCACATTTCGAATGTTGATTTTGTATTATTTAGAATTCAAGACGTCAGTTGCGTAGCCTAACCGAAGCAAAAGCAGAAAAAGCTCAAAAACATCTTCTTCGTCGACTTTTACGTCGTGTTGCAGAATCCTCTGTAAAATCACTGTCAACGTCACCGGATAAAGTAGAATATTTTGAGGATACTGGTTAGTTATAGCTACATTATTTAATTAAGCCAAAAAGTATTTGTTGTGTATAAGATAAAATATCATGATTGAATCATTATTATAAGTTAATGTGAAATTTTGTCACATCTTCGAGCAGAAATGATTGGTTTTGGCTTTTTAGTATTCTGTGAAGTGGATATTTTAACTGGAAAACTTTTCTTGTCATTTCAAATAGCATCCATCATCAGATACTCCATGTAAAAGTAAATATTCTGATTATTCCACAAGCATCAAACCAGTCTATTCTGATGAGTTTGTTTGCAACTGATTATCGATAAAAAATTTACCTTCATTTATCTCTGCATTCCTGCTGACTATCGATGGGCCTCTGACTACGTAGTAGTTTAATCCATCCACATAATTTTGAATCCATTCAGAGGAAATTTTTGTCAACAAAGTAGGCTAATTTTCTGCCTCCGAGTTAGTAACAAAAATGTATAATCGTTGAATAATATTATGTGAATGCTGTGAACAAAGTCAGTTGAGAAGTCAGTCAGTCATGTACAACGTAGAACATGGCACATTAATGCGTCGCTTCGAGTCACCACACTACCTTAGAAGAGCGAGATGAAATTATCAAGACAAATATCAGGGTGTTTGAGTTAGTAACAGTATAAGTAGCAGTAGACAAGATTAGGCATAGAATATATGATTCGAGAAGAAAGAATAGATCCATGGGATGAAATGTGTAAGGTAATTATAAACCTCAGAATCCAAAGTATAACATAGTGAATTCGTCTGCATCATTGAGACGGATTCTGAGCCACATCACTTAAAGCTTTCAGCTACTGGTTACGATAATCAAATGGACCCCATCTAGGTAGTCTAAATCGACCAACAAAGTTCAGTCCAGTAGTCAGTAACTTCATGGACTGATGCCACGTCTTGGTCTGGCCACCCCTAAATTTCGTACAACCTCGTACACCAGACGACAGCGCAGGTCGAGATTAGAGGTGGTTGGGTATATGTATTATATATACCCAACTACCTCATTCTATGAATATTCACCACCTCATCTACAGGTTTCATATCTTTAACTAGTACTGTCTGTCTAACTTTGCTATTTCTTATTCGGTAGTTCGAACATACTCAAGTAATTCTCCGAAGGATTCTGTAATCAAATACTAGTAACCTATGAATAACCTCCATTTTAAATATCATGTTTCACAGACACACAATAGAACAACTCAAACTGCTGCTCGGTATACTCATTCACTGGCTAACAGACGAACGTTTTGTTTGTGCCACATGTCAAGTATGTTTGGATGATCCAACTGATATTTTTGAATTCGTGAGCAGATTTCTTGTTCGTTCCCAATTTTTTAATTAAGTTGAAAGCTCATTTATTTATGTGATTTGTACCATAGACCTAAGGTCCTGAGTTCGATCTCTGGTGATGGGTTCATGGATGTATACTGTTGGGGATTGTCATACTGAAACAGAACAGGTTTTCAATAGTGATCTAACTAAAGTCAGTTCATGATTTAATGTATGGAAATATGTACACCTATCTTTTGCTAGTAAACTTTCTACCTCTGCTTATTTACAGCGAAAAATGAACTGTTAAGACGATTGAGACAACAGTCAGACTCGCATCAAGCTAAAGAAGATGCTAAGATGTTCTCAGCTCCAAATCATGACTCAACGTAAGTATCGTTTTTGTATACCAGCGATTGTAGGTTTATGAACCTATCATAAATATAAAAAGTATTTTTAAGAGTTCACTCGCTGTAATAAAACATTCTTTTGTGTGTAAAATTAATGAAATCTCACTGGACACATAGAAATGAATGTAATGTGTCAGACTCATAGTAAAAATTTCAGGATGATTGTCTGCTTAGTCAGACATGTAGATAGTCTGACAGGTGTCAGATGAGTTATATATTCCCCTATCCTTATTATTATTGAGACACTCACTTATTATTGATTGTTCATTGTTGTTGGATTGTGTCGGGTTTTTGGAATGGAAATATATTTACGTTGTGGTCAGGTTAGTTACATGTTCTTGACCTGAGTTGTGTTGAAGTCCTGTAGAATGGACACTGGGAGGGAATCTAGTTTAGATATTCGTCTAAGGTAAATTAGCGTCCCATACGTGTGTACAAAGTAAAACCGAGCGTTATAACATAAACAAGCCGTGACTAGTGTTCGACTGTTTCGTATGTGAAAAACTGCCGATCAAAGACGAAGGGAGATGGTCATGGAATCTCATGGATTTATTGGAACTAGACTTGTACACCGTCGGATTCCGGTCTGGTGGTCTAGAAGTTAAGCATTCACACGCGAAATCGGGGGCCTTGGGTTCGATTCCTGGTTTCATGATCGCGGATTCATACTGCTGAGGAGTCTCATGCTAAGACAAGACCGTTCAGTGCTTCCAAGGTTTCCAATAGTTGTCTAACGTAGATCGATTTGTGATCTCAATGAAATTTAACAAATTCTACAGTCCCCATACTGATAATAAATTCCTTTAATTTCACTTACTTTTCGTGATCATTGATCTGAAATTTTTAAGAGGCGCGTTTGTTGATAATATGACCCGTTATTATTTTTCGCAAGTAGTTGGTTCGTTTCGTGCATGTGACATCAAAATATTTTTCACTGCTGATGCGGTTCTGAGATGACTTATCATGGACATTTTGCAACTCTTTAGATATAGAAATTTATTTAATGTGACTGGTTGCTTTTAGACACACTCGCGCACACAAATACTCCTTTACTAAAATGTCAAAAAACATTTTAGAAGAATCGCAAGTAAGCTACTTCAGAATAGGTGGCAATGATCCTTTAATTAAGTTGAGCAATGATAAATGAGTGGGGATTTAACCAATAAGGTCGCCTTCACTATCCTGTTATCTAATACAAAAAATCGAGTCATTATGTGTTTTTGGGTACATCCTTACCGCTTAAACTGAACTAAATGATTTATTCACACTGACGAAAATCATTTCCAAACATGCGAGGTGTTTCCTTTTACAATAGATTTGACTGTACTTATTTGTTAGTGATGATTGAATTCTGTTTGTAGTTTAATGTTAATCGTTATTCAATATTACTGATTATCGCTTGTTGTATAAGCAAGTCATTGATCAAGTTGTTCACTGATTTCGTTTTCCTGGTGCGTTGCTTATTCACCTACAACAGAAAATGAGTTTAAATCACTTAACTTTGGTTATTTCGTTATTGTATATAGAAGAAATAATTTTTCGGTTGCGTATAATTCCTTTTTTCTCTACATTGTAGTTCTACAGCATGTAGCAATGATAATAATCGTATGCTGAGTGAAAAGGCCGGTCTAGAATACGATGAGCTGGCGCATGATTATCTGGTAGGTAGTCTTAGAGTAATCACATTAGATTTTATTTTATTTGGTTAGTAATAACCTGTATTGTAGTGATGGATAATGGCTCAGTAAATGCGTATCATATGTTCGAATTACTCTGGTGTCGATCTCCTCAACTAATTTGTCACATTTGTTAAATCATATGTCGTCAGTGCTCCGCATGTGGCCCCACCATCAGCGAGTAATTATTTGAAGATACTTATTATCAAACACATGCAGACTATACACGTTTTTTGCTTCCTAAAGTCGGGCTTTATGCTAGTACAATAATAAACTGTTACACAGGACATACATCGTCCAGTAGAAAGGTAGCAGTCTTGTCTACTTTATAAGCGAGGCAGATTAATAGAAAACGTAACGAGGCTTCTGTACATATGGCTAAATTTCATCAGTAGGGGTAATCATACTTCGAAGTCAAGTAGTTTGATTTTCAGTATAGAGTTGTGTAGTGTTGTATTTCATTGATTTCATGAACAACCACGTACTGAAAATTGCCATCTCACTAGTAACTAGCTTTAAGAGAGAATTTATAGAGTTCTAGTGAGAAGCCGTGACTATTGGAGTTCAACCGTGTATGGTGTGAGGTAGTTACCCATCGAAGACAATGGAAGATGGTCCCGCAATGTCGTAGTGCTTGATTTGTTGGACTATAATTCTTAATATCATTTTAATCATTAATGCATACGTTTTAAAGGAAATGTATTCTAAATATTCTCTCATTCCTATCACTGAAAGTGTTCAAAAGACTTCAATATTCGTTCATCAATTCACTGTATTTTTTATGTATCCCAAGTAGATAAGAGAGTAGCTAGATACATGGATAAGGAATAATAACAAATCTACAGGAATGTTTAATCTGAATAGATATAGTGAATACTCAAATAAATCCGTGCTTAAATTTATAACTTGCTATAAGCTGTAACAAAGCTCCTAAGCTTGAAGAGATTACGATATCACCCGAAACCGGCAAATAAAACGAAAGGCAGCAACACAACAATAAGACAAACTAAACTATTCCATTGCACCCCAGCCGAGGGCGATGTATATCCTACAAGCAGTCGGAAGCACGAACGAACAAGCACACAACTGATGCGCATATATACAGTACAAAAATACCCCTGGAAAACGTCACAAAATAGCGTACCAAAAGAGGAAACGAACTAATGACATTTAGGGTCCTTCCAAGTAGGAAATACAATCTGAGGATAAAAATGGGCGCTTTTGACACGAAAATGAGAAGTTCAAATTTCCAAAATAAAATTACAAAAATAAGACGTTTACCAAGTGGTTCCTGAGGGTCTATCATCCCCAACAAAAGTTATAAATGCTTGAATATAGCGTCCCCCACTATTTTGATATACTTATTAGACAGGAGTAATTGTTTTTACCAACATTGGTAGTGTATATGCAATCTGCTTTTCACTTAAGTTATCATCCTCAAATTGGATAAACTTATAATTATATCTTTAGCCGAAGAAGTATTAATTATTTCGCTTTGGTAGTTCTATATCACTTTCTGACAACTGTATTGACGATAATTATATTTTTGATTTTCAAAAATATTTACCACTAAATCGAAGCATATATTTTATGTGTACAAGACATGGTCAGAGAGTAGTCAATATAGAACGTGCAACTTTTCAAAATAGCATGATATTACTGCACACTAATGATATATGCAAATATATCACCTTTAATGGTGATGGTATCAGTATTTAAAGTTTTTTAAAAAAGTAATTTCAGTTAAACTGTATTCGGCTGATATTAAAGACACTAAATTTTCAAGGTATCAAACTTTATACCAAAGAAGTATTAATTATTTCGCTTTGGTAGTTGTATATCATGAATGATATGACTAGAAAGTTCCTCGGGTAACTGTTTAATTAAATAAATTCAAGTAGGCTAAACCTTTTAATACATTAGTTTGAGTTCTGTGAACTTGCCGCTAAATCAGAAAAAGTATAAAGATCTTCAACGTTTAGAAGATATGGAAGAAATTTTTAATGGTTTAATGAAATGAATTCTTGTTTATTAAAATCAATAGATGAAATGTTAATCAATAAATGAGCCCAATGATACGGCGTGACCGAGTGTTGGGTACTCAGGAGAATGAGTTACTGATGTTGGTTTCTAAATGATTAGAAATCAAAGACAAGATCACTCTAGTCAGATGGGTAGCTCTGACTGATGTGATAAAATAACACGCTTATATGCAAAATATTAAGACAAGATAAACTTCATAATTATCAGTATAGGGGTTGTGGAGATTATTAAGTTTTGATTGAGATCATGAACCGACTGATGCTAGACCACTATTAAAAACCTGGAAGCACTGGACGGCCGTTTCGTTCTACTGTGGGACGGCCCACTGGTCCAGTAGGCTAAGCGTTCGCGCGCGAGACTGAAGGCCGTGGGTTCGAATCTCGCGAGCGGGATCGTGGACGCGCGCTGCTGAGGAGTCTCACAATAGGACGAAACGGCCGTCCAGTGCTTCCAGGTTTTCAATGTCGGTCAAATATCAATCGGTCCATGATCTCAATCAAAAACCTAGTAATCTTCACAGCCCCTATACTGATAATTTTCATGTGTTCACTAGTGACTAGCTTCGTGAGGAAATTGTAGTAAATCAGTTAAGACTTGACTGTTAGGCTTAATCTTTGGGCGTCACACCAGATTTATGTATATATTAAATGATCTAAAAAGCTGTTGAACAGTCCAAATATTGATGCATCGAAATCTGTTGTATTCAAGAAAGTGAGTCAGAAGAATCTCTTTTACAATATAACTACTTTTATAGCAGAATAACTTAATACCCTTGATGTGTTAAGTGGTTAGAACTAGTCAACAATTGTTAACAAGTCATATTTGCAATCTTCAGGGGATCGATACCCACTGTGCTATTTAAACCGAGTTTGAGATTTTACCATTGAACTATTTGGGCAGCGACTGAACTCTTGTAGGACAGATATTTATGGGTGATTGGTCATTTAAAAGTTGATCGAATTGTATTGAACGATTTTTAATGTAGCCACTAGTTGAAGTGACTCGACATTGCGTGCATTATGTAGTCAGCAGGAAACTCGGGACTTGGGTTTTGTGCTAGTTGGGACACAATATCGAGTCACACGTATACTAGTTGATCACATTGCAACTTGAGGGCTATAGAATTCGATTAACTCAGTTGTAACATCTTTTGATATTGGAAGCCAGTCATTCTGTTATAACTCTGTTTCTTCTTACGGTTAATGACCCAGCTATTCCTATTGCTTAGTATTCTCGGACACCGATTCACTCGACAAGTCCCCAAATCAGAACACGGTTGAACAGGAAAAAGATTATATTCCAAATAGCAAGTCAGAAGCACAATAGGGGAAAACGTCGGTATATTTATAGTTTTTACATAAGAAGATTCCAGAGTATTCTCCGACTATCGACTAGTGCTGATTGGATAAGAATCAGCCAATCAGCGTGCACCAAAACAATCATGCATTGAGCATGCTTTAATCTAGTCTATGCCCCGCTAACACCTCCCCTCTGAGCAGATTCGTAGGATCTGGTGCCAGGGTCCAACTGCAACCGAGTGACTGGCCTGTGCTTTCGATTAGTCCATCGTCTAGGCAATAAAGAAGTATCACTCTTTTCTTGCACAGAAACTGATGTGTCTATTCCCGGTGTTTTGATTTCAAAGGTGTCTAGCAGAACATCAAGAGGTAATCGATATTGAATCTTGTTGCTGGCTATCGAAGTTGCTTTCAATTGGTTAGCATGACGTACCCAAACTTCCGAGCCAACTGACACCTCGTAAACCACACTCCCCTTCTTTTTCAAGATCCGACCAGCTGTCCATGTAGGATGTTTCCCACGATAGTCCATAGCAAGTACTTTTTGTCCCACCGTGAACAATCGTCTTTGTGCCCCATGATGTCGGTTGAACTGATTCTCCATCGATAGGTTTCGTTGGGGTTCAATAACTGGCGTAAGACGGATGACATCGAAATGTGTTCGTATTTTTCTTTTCGGTTTTCCTAGTAACCTATCACCTGTCTTCTTTGGAAGTACTGGGGTGTCCAATGATGAACGCGATACGTTACAGACACTGTTAATTGGTATATCCATTATTCCAAGTTTGTCTAGCATATCTAGACCAAGAAGATCAAGGTTCGGCCGTTCTGTTAGGTAACATATTCCTGTACAGTTAGTTCCATTGAAGGAAAATTCACACTGTAATTCACCAACCAGTTTTAGCACACCACCTGATGCGTTTTTAGCCGTTTTCTTAGATGGCTTCATTGGCGGTTTACCCAGCAAGTTATACGTTTCTCTAGACACTAACGTGATATCTGATGCCGTGTCAATTTGAAGACGAGCTGATATGCCGTTTATCTGGATGGTAACATACTTTCTCTGAATGTCATAGTTTGTTTGAAAAGCAGCTACCAGAGAAAGAGATTTAGACTCGGCTGATTTAACATGTCGAGGACGTTTATGCTTCTTCTTAGGCTGAGACGTACGCTTCGGTGGACAATGACCTTTATGTCGATGTTTGTTGCACTCCTGACATTTATGCTTCTTGAATGGACAGAATCGTGCATAATGCCAATCACCGCATAACCAGCATGCAGTCCTTGGTTTGTTACGAGTTGTTACCGGCTTCTGAACTTTTAACCTAGTAATAGTATTTACACTACCGCAGGTTACATTAGGATTTACCTGTTCAATCAACTCGTTGTCGTGTCTGATGCTTTGTAGACGCTTACACTCATCTGTCAATGTTCTGAGTGTGACGTTTGGGTCTTGATCCAGTCGAGCTAAAAGTCTCGTCCTGATCTCAGCATCTTGTGGTGACTGAAGAGCTTTGATGAATATTAAGCATTTAAATTGGTCATCAGTCAACGAGCGTAACTTGAAACGTTCACATTCTCTGTTGACAATGTCTACTAGAACACCATATTCATCAGCTTCGCGTTTCACCAAATTTAGACACCGATATCGAATACTAAACAACGAGGATGACTCGCCGAATATCTCTGACAACTGAAATACCGTCTCCTCGAAACTGAGCTCTCGAGGTAACTTTGGCAATATATGGTCAGCAAAACGTGCATGTTCATTGCTTCCCAACACACGTACCAACAATCGGGTCTTCCACGCATCGTCTTGGTTACAGAATTCTGTTCTAAATGTATCTTCCCAACGTTTGAACCACATGAGAAAAGTATTTCCACTTTCGGGATCATAGATGAATTCTGGGATGCTGCTAGCGACTGCATCACAAGACGTACTTGAAATAGCATGTGAATTCGAGCAGTGGATGTTAAGCTGTTGAGTCAGGGTCTCTAACAACCGCATTTGTGCATCAAGTTGTGCTTGCTGTTGTTGTAGTATTCGGTTAAGCTGGTCATCTGATATGGGCATCTTGAATTTGTTTTCCTTTTTCCCCGTCGCCACTGTTATAACTCTGTTTCTTCTTACGGTTAATGACCCAGCTATTCCTATTGCTTAGTATTCTCGGACACCGATTCACTCGACAAGTCCCCAAATCAGAACACGGTTGAACAGGAAAAAGATCATATTCCAAATAGCAAGTCAGAAGCACAATAGGGGAAAACGTCGGTATATTTATAGTTTTTACATAAGAAGATTCCAGAGTATTCTCCGACTATCGACTAGTGCTGATTGGATAAGAATCAGCCAATCAGCGTGCACCAAAACAATCATGCATTGAACATGCTTTAATCTAGTCTATGTCCCGCTAACACATTCAATTTAAAGTATTCGTTTATCACAAAATGAGTAGTTTTATTTATCTTTTTTTAACGCTTCAATGTTAATCCCACTATAGGACGATACCTCTTTTGATACTTATGTTGTATTACATTTGTATGTCGTCAACTAATAATAATACCACTAATAAGTATTAATATCTTTGACTCTTAAACGATTTTTTAAGGATGCTTTCTATTCATCGGATAAGAAGTTTTCTGGGGTTGATCTCGACTCAGATGCATTCCGTGCACTTCCTTTACCAGCTCAATTACGTGTTGTTCAGCTGTTGAGAGAAATATTAGACTCTAGTTCATGCCGTAACAATTTAGTGCAATTTGATGATGAAGGTAAAGTGAGTACCGATATTTTCTCTGGATAATTTCATCTTGTTGTACTGATATAATGATTTTGTAACTTGATTCACATGTATACTTAGTTCCACGTTGCTTACGGTTAACCGAGTGAGTACTTATTTTATGTGTGTATGTGCCTGTGCTAATGAAAATAGTTTAGTACGTTTTCAGATTCACTCAACAATAGCTTATTAGTTAATGCACTTTACAATTTCCACCTATCAGTACACAGATTTGAACCTACCACTTTTGTTTTTCTAGCCTTCTCACCAAAATATGTAGCTTAAAGGTGAGTACTAGGTTCTAAGCTGTTTTAATCTAATACTTAATTTAATGGCCTAACTGTTTTAGTATTCATGTCGCATTCTATAATTCTTTTCTAGTCCCAGTTTTTCTCAGGTACCAGTCAACAGAAGTAGATGTGTGTTGATTAAAATCTTTTCAATTTATATTAATAACTCATCTTAAATAGTGAAGAAAACCTTAGCCAGTTACCTAACTCAGCTTTTTTCACCCTAAAACTTTAAACTGACCACTATATGAAAAAAACTTGAATTTAATACTAATGTGTTACTATGCCTAAACATTTAGCTTAACAAACAGGCCTTAATTGATTGTAGGCTAAGTGATCTTCAGAAGCGAATCCTTCCAATTGCCAATGAAATTTGATCGTGCTTATTTTGTGTTCATATTCTGCATATAAGCATGTTTTATTAAACAAAATATATCTGTTCATCTGGCTAGAGTGGTCTTGTCTTTGAGTTCTAATTATTCGGAGGCTTACATCAATAGTTCTTTCTCGTTAGCACCCATCATTCAGCCACTCATCATATCATCTCGTTCATCTATCAACCAGCATTCTACTCCACTAATTATAACAGTCAGAAAATCCTCTCATCAATCACTGAAAACGTCCTTCATAACAGTGTTTATTTTTGACTTTCACTTAAGACCTTCCTCTATTTACTTCAGAATGGAGGGGTTTGTGGAGGTTGCAGAATTTTCATAGTGTAAGTCACAAATGGATCTTAGCTAGACCGCCGTTGGAAACCTAGAACCACTAGACATCTGTTTCTTCCTAGTATGGAACTCCTTAGAAGTGAGTATCCTCGATCATACGTTCAGGACTGAAACCTAGGACCTTCGACTAGCAAGTCCCAAATAGAAAAACACGCGCATCCTGAATTCCACTGCTAGCCGCATTCCATATATTCTATATAAACAGTATTCTTTAGAAGCAGCACTGTAATGAATCTTGACAGTCATTGATGAAATATTTCGCATCATAATCAGTAATCTTTTTTTCTTTCCAACTTTGCACAAAGCACAATTTAACCCAGAACAGTTCTCAGATGTTCAAATGAAACGTTTGCTTTTACGTCGTCGTTTAGCAGAACGTCAACAAGAGTTATCTGATAATCTAACTAAACAAGAAGCTGTTCAACAAATTCTTCAGTTAAACAATTCTATGATAAAAAATATTCTAACGAATCAATCGTTATTTTCAACTCTACCGTTCTCCAATACGATACAGCCGACTACTGCTTCAGAGACTACTGAGACCATAGCTACAGCTATGCGTATTCAATCACAAGATGTAGGACATGCTATACTCATTAAAAAATCTCCAGTGAATCAATTGGACGAACGAACTAAATTGCCTTCATCTACACTATTGAATCTTGAAAAGTGAGTATGTCCTTCGAAAGCTCGAATATAGACATATATCATTGAAATTCTGAACTGATCTAAGCTAGACCACTATTGGAAACCTGGAAGTACTAGAGAGCCGTTTCGTTATAGTATGGGAATTCTCATCAGTGGGCATCCATGGCCCTGCACTCGAGGATCATACCCAAAACCTTCGGCCTCACACGTGGACATTTTGCACTTAGGCACTTCATTTTTAAGGTAGTTGCTAGGACATGTGGAGGCAAGGCTTTTTCAGTTTATTGTCTTTAAAGATCAACTAATTGGATTCTCGACTTTGTTTATTATTAAAATGTGATGAATTTGCTACATTCGACTTCTCTGAAATAAACTGATAATTCTAAACAGTTCTGTAAGACTCAAACAAAGTCTAAAGCAGTAAATATGGTAGATTTTGAATTCCAGTGGAAGAACTCGTTAGATACTTGTCTATTACTTGAAAAACTTGTTTCAGACTGTTGATTTACCCTCTTTACTTAAAGTTGAATCGATCAAGTTTACATTACATGGATAAAGTATAATTTATTCTCAGAAAATTATGTTCAATATTGATAAGTAGAAACGAAATTGCTCAGTTCCAGTGCACCACATCTACTCAATACGAAATATTAGACCCATACTAAGTTTGTCATTCAACAAATATCTTCCTTTTAAGTCAAATAACAGTGGTTTCATTCCAAATGAAGACGATTGCTTTGTAAATGATGATTTTACACGTCTGTACACTTATTTATTTAAACACAGATGTGCTGGTACAAATAAGAACCAAACTAAATATGCGCCATACAAAAATAAGTGAAGAGATGGACGAAGTAGGATGAATATAATCAAAAAATAACTAATAAATAAGAGTAGTAGGTAGTGCGAGAAGCAGTCCAGTTAGAAAAATATATCTAGAAGAAATCCTTCCTTTCGGTTCATGAAGTTCCTCTCACTTTTATGAAGAAAATAGATTACGGCAGTATCACAATTGGTTTCTGTTTCGATCCATGTCTGACAATGCTTCAAGCTCCTGAGTTGCACTATCTCTCGGACCTCTGCCGGGGAGTCTTTAAAAACCGACAAACCTCGGCCCTATACAACATCCTTTCGTACCACATTACCATGTCATACACTAACCACCTCTCCGCTCTTTTCAATCGGTCAAGGCATCGGAAAATAATACACGATTTGGAATTCGCTCAGACGATATTCGTATTACATGTTCAAGCCACTGAATTCGGTATTTCCAGATGGTGACACTAATCGGATTATCGTCATTGTCTACGATCACACATTACCCAGCTTCCCCATTACTAACATTGTGTTGTCACTGTCATTAATCCTTTGGACACAATGATGATCGAACACAGAGTAGTCGAACATCTTCAACTCAGAGAGATCAGGTTTCACAAGTATTCATCAGAACTGCTCTCACCTCAGGATTGTAAACCCAGCCTTTCGCAACCACACTAACATTAGGATGACGTCAGTGATGGCCTAGACTGTTGTAAGCCGATCTGGCTTTCACTACACGTATATCACTCTCATCTGACATTCCGCCACCATCACATACGGCTATCCAGGCCCACGAGCTTTTCTACTAATTCTGATACTCCATCACTAAGAGTGAGTGTAGGCAAAGGCTCTGGCTAGTCTTGTAAAAGTGCTAAATTCAAGTTTTTCTCCTGAGTAAATTTCTTCTCACACAATTAGTTCAAATGATTAGTCTATGAAAGTATTCGTCTATAACAACTATGTTGACATGTACAGTATTATAGAAGCTATTCAATGTAATGGCTCCATGTTTAAATTACTCAGTAGGATTGATTTATTCGAAATATTGTCATTTCTAATAGTGAATGCTCAGAAGCAATTTTTGTAAACCTTCTGTACATGCATACAATTTTTTCTGTTTTACTCAGATTAATTACATATAATACTGAGAACTTAAATGTGTCTGATGAATGCAAAAAAGTGGAAATTTCAAAAGAGGACCAGAACAAAGAAATACCTAATGACGGTTATATGAGTGAAAACCTATGTTCAACGCAAGAGACAAATATTTCTACAAATGAAAATATTGTATATAACTCTGAATGTACACCAATAAAACTAGTTAATATCGAGGAATATTCAGATGAACATCAAGTATCTATCCTATCACATGTGACTGACAATAAAAGCCAACTTAATAATAATTGCGAAAATTACAATCAACCACTTACGAAAAATTCTTTAAATGATAATATGTCCAATGACTTTCTTCCAGAAAGTTCATCTACTATTCCTAAGTTTGACAAGTCATCGGAGTTTATCGAATTACCTATTCCAGAACATTCATGTGACCTTATGGGAGTCAAAAATGATGAAATTACTGCTGAAATTAATGTATTGTCTTCTGATATACATGAATCAAAATCTTTACAAGTACCTCATCAGGACAAATATGATGAGATCAAAAGTAGCAGTGATGATAACGATGATGATGATGATGACTTTATCGAAGTTGAAACTCACGAACAAGTTGAAATTTCGAATACATCTACTGACTCTAATTCATCACAAGAATATTCTGTCGATGAAAACAATGTTCAAAATGAGGATAAATTAAATTCTGTCTTCACTGAAGAAGAATTAACCAGTAAAGAAGTTTCCTATGAAACTAATCAACAGAAAGCTGTATTATCATCTGAATTAGTCGTGGATGACTATACCATTGATGATGATAGTGATGATGTATTGAGAGAAAAAGCTGATCGTTTGATGCGTCAAGCTCAGTCGACAACTACGCGTTGTATTTCAGAAGCCCAGGTAAAAAATCCCCATTTTTTATTTGTTTAGATCAAATTTAAATGTAGTTATTAAGCAGTTGTAGTTAATAGCCTCGCATGTTGATACTTTGGTTTATCAAGCCAAATCAGGGTAATTTAATCCTTATATTTTCTTTAACGTTTGACTATTGAGGCAGAACTTTTTATCGATTTACCTAAATAAGTTCAATTCAAAATTTGGCATTTATTTGTAAATTTCAAAGTTCTCGTCGTCGAATTTCTAATTTCTCAAATGTGTAATTAACGCAGAGTCGGTCAAGATTACATACTGGGATTGCTGACATTAAATATAATGAAATAAGAAGTATTACTGTTAAGCGACATGAGTACTTAGAAATCATCTATACATTTTTCTATTTATCAGTAATACACACAGTTGTGAGTACTGCCAATATGTGTACTTGACTTCCAGCAACATTTAAAGTCCGAAAGCTGGTGATACTATCCATTTATCTAAACTAAAGTAGGTGAAGGGGGTAGGTTCTAAGCCGCGAATTATTGGCTAAAGACTGAATTCCTACATGCCAGCTGATTATGGAAACCTGTGATTTGTTTTCTATACTGTTGAACCGAGGTTGAAGTAAATCCTCTACATTTAATCTAATAACACGTCCAGATTCTTATTTTCCCATCAACTTAAAAATAAATTACTGGTTATATGACGAGTAATTTTACAGCCTCATTTGTAAAACAGTTAATGTTTACGATTAAAATCCCACAACTTGAGGTTTTCTAATCCTAATATAGTAGTACTCTTCCAATCGGAACTAGACAGTACAGTTATTAATTATCAGAAAATTAACGATTTCGCTCGCGGGATTCAAACTCAGGACCTATCGGTCTCGTGGGCGGAATAATAAATGCACATTGCTGAGGAGTCCCATGCTAGGATGAAACTGCCTTCCAATGCTTCCACGTTTTCCGTGGTGGTCTAGCTTCAATTGACTCATGAATTCAACTATTAAATGACTAAAATCTCCACAAAACTCTTCTGATAATATTTTAATTTTGTCTGTAAACTATCTTTCGAAAAAATAAGTACATAGACCGAAGTAACTTATCCGGGTCATTATGAAAATCAAAACTGACCACCAAGTCAACATATCAGTTGTGCAGCTGAAAGGGTTTTTTGGAGATTGGTTTTATTTATGGGTTGTATTCGTCATGAATTATTGATCTCTCTATCTCGCAAGTTGATCAGGGTTGAAATTATACTATTGGACGCCAACGAAGTGTCTCTAATAGTTAATTATTCTTTTCTACGAGACTTGAAGATTCTGGATTCGATTGTCAGTGGGTTCGTAAATCTTTACTACTGAGGAGTCGTATTCTTGGTCGTAATAGTTGCTCAGTATACCCTTTTTTGATGGTATCTCGACCGAGATTAGTCCGTGACGTGTAAAACCTACAAATATCATCTGTTTGTCAAGTTTCTTACAACTTTTTGAAAATATTATGATCTTCATAATATTTATAGGGAAATATCTTATGGAGGTAGTGATCCCATTAAAAAAACTTTCTATAAAAACAACCAACTCCCTTTAGTGTTTCAGTTCGAATTCTGGGAAAGATCCCTTGTGCTTCTTCACAGAATTACATCTATAGATTAGGTTGTATCTACTGTAATGCTTCTATGTATTGGAGAGTCTTGTGAGATTTCGACTTCCTGCCAAAAAATAACACATAAGCTGCAAAAAACTATCTCTTAGTCATCTTATGGAACTGTAAATTCTACACATCAAATCATCAGTAGCAATTCGTGATACTTTCAACGACCACCAAATTAATTTTAAAAGTGCCAGAATAAATCAAAAAGTTATTTCCAATCATGAAGAAAGCTAAGTAACTGAAAATGTTTATATATTGTTAAACTCTACAGTTGTCAATATAAAGGAAGGCCTAACTAACTATTCAACTTGAACGGTTGATCCAAACAACTTCAATTCATTCTATTCACTTCTCTTACCATTAACACTTATAAATTTAATTTGACTCATTAACGCTTAAATATATCATGTTTTTTCACATCTACTTAAATAGACACAAATGCACAGGATTATGTCACACACACATACCTGCAGAATCAGCTCAATAGAAATGAAGTGACGTTGATATGACCCGACCTATTTCTATTGTACCATATTTTCTGCTTTGTTTCCTTTGTATTATTTAAACTTGTGTTAATTTAGTTCGATAATTTGTTTATTCACTTAAGGAGTGACTTGCACCAAGGAGATTTTCAGAAATTTGATTTTCCATTCATTGAAATATTACAAATATCCACATAGTATCCACAATAGCCTGTGCCCTACTTGTGAAGGGAAAAAATGTGCAATACAGATTCGCACACTCTACTGTGGACAACACACTATCATTTGAGGGCTAGTGATGTTACTTATATTTGCATAAACCCGTAGTAGACTGAGTAGGATTCAGATCGCTTACTGAGTAGTGCTTGAATATCGAGATCTTGAAAACGATAAGACACCAGGTTATCTTGGACATGTATGAGTTCAACTCTATTATTATTATTATTATTATTATTATTATTATTATTATTATTATTATTATTTTTATTCAACCAAGTACTGTTTTCTTATATTTTGTAGGATCTACTTCATTTGTTCGGATTTCCATTCGTAGTTAGTCCAGAAGAAGCAGAAGCTCAATGTGTAGCTTTACAACGTCATGGTCTAGTTGATTTAGTTGCAAGTGACGATTCAGATGTATGGCCATTCGGTGTTAAACTTGTCTGTCGTCATTTGTTTGGTACTGGTGGTGGCGATAATCTAAAAAGAACAACAAATCCTTCCATTTACAAACTGGATGAAGTAAAACGTAAATTAGGTAACTTAATTGCTTTAAAAATGTAATAGTTTACTATTATAAGTAAATATAAAGTTCAGTCACGTTTAGTGTCTGTCAACCATACGTTATTATTTAACAGTTGGATAACTCATAATAATAAAATGTTCGTACTTGTGTACACCGTCCCATACTTCATATTTAGAGTATATTATTAATCAGAAGTGTATGTATTCACGCTTTATAACTTAGTGCTTGGTTCTTTTGTAATCATCGGACTGTCTGTTTTGTCATGTCAGAAGAAAACAAAAACACAAGGTTGCTTTCTTAGGTTGGATTGCATTGTATCTCGTGTGATCGGTCTGTAATATCATATCGTAATATCGTATTATACACTAACGGATTTCATTTGACTTTATTCTTAACCCTGACTGAAATTTTGATGAATTGTTTGCTGTATAAGAAATAAACTCGATATTACAGTGATTTGTCTTTAAATTTGAATGTAATCGTTAGAAACACCTGTTGACACACATCAGTAACGTGTGTTTGATGCTTTACCTTGTATTCAAAACTGTTGCTTGAGGAAGAAAGTCGGAATATTACTAATTTAATTGACTCCGTGGAAACATAAGTAGAACTTTTCTTCTCATTTGTAATCATCATTGAATTTGTGAGCTAGGATGCTGCCCCGGTTGTCCAAACCGAGGCAAGTGGTTTTCTTAGAATGTCACTCCTCGTGCCTTTGATCTAGATGTTTGATCCAAAATGTAGTAGAGCAAAGTCATGAGATAAGATCCCGTGGTAAGCCGGTAACTAAGAATACGTTCGTACGCTATCTATTTCCTCAAGATTCTTGAGCTCATGCCCATCATTGGTTTTAAGACCAATGTTTTACAACTCCCCTAGGTGGATCCTCCGTACCAATCGTATATTACGAAACTAGATTCATCAATCTATTTTTCATCCTACTTACACAGATTTAAATGACGAAATCATACATAAATGGGATGATAGCCAAATATGTAATCGATGTGTGCTGCGTCTCCGAAACGCGCATACAGGATCCAAGTAGCGTCATTCATTTGACCTCACCATGCCAAAATAAAGAACCGACTCGATTTACGCTTCGTGTATCTGGAAGCCCTGATTCTGCTTCCCGTGGCCTCGCCGGCGTAGGTATAGCATTGAGTCCTAGGGCAGAACTAGCTCTCTTAGAGTGGATCCCAGTAAACAGTCGTTTGTGCGCTGTCCGACTGAACGGAACAGTAAGAATCCGGAAAGATAGGGACACTCGTCGTTGCCTCTTCGTCGTCTCTGCCTATTCTCCCACTGACTGCAGCTCAGATGACGTAAAAGATGAGTTTTACAGAAAGCTTTCCGACCTTCTCCGAAAAGCTAAGCGCTCGGATGTAGTAATAGTGGTCGGTGACTTTAATGCTCAAGTAGGTAAACTAAGTGATAAGGAAAGACACCTAGGTGGATCCTATGGTGTCGTGGCTCAAAGAACAGATAATGGCGACCGTCTGTTGCAGCTATGCTCAGATAACCGCCTGTTCCTTGCAAATACTAACTTTAAGCATAAGGAAAAACATCTTTTAACATGGCGACCCCCTAATTCGTCCCAACGTTGAACCCAAATAGATCACATCGCTATCAGCCACCGATGGAGGGGCTCGATAGAAGACTGTCGCTCATTCTGGAGCACATGCCTAGATTCAGATCATGCTCTAGTGCGAGCGCGTATTTGCTTGCGTCTTACTGGACGTAGGAAAGATCCTGCAAGGAAACCTCTTAGGGCCCTACTTAATGATAGTCAAGCTAAGAGTATATTTCAGGAACAACTAGGAAAACAGTTAGGCAGCCATATATGTGATGCCCACCCCGATGCAGCATGGAATGATATCCGAAAAGCTGTGGAAACAGCAGTGATATCTGCTAGTAAGGTAAACCAGAAGGTTAGGGAGCAACACTGGATCTCAGCAGCATCTATCTCACTGATAAATGCTCGGAAACACATTCCACCTGGCTCTGAACATAATGAAGAGCGGAGTCAGCTTAAGCGCAAGCTGACAAGAAGTCTACGCAATGATCGCGAACAGTGGTGGGTAGCGAAAGCAAGAGAGATGGAAAAGGCAGCGGCAATAGGTAATAGCAGACAATTGTTTAGACTCGTTAAGGAAACCGGAATTAGGAACCCGACCGTTAGCGAAACAATCTCAGAGAAAGATGGGCATATTATTCATTCTCAATCCAGGAGATTGGATCGATGGGCAGAACACTTTAGGGATCAGTTCAACTGGCCTTCAGCCACACTTCGGTTTCCCACGATCTCCAGTCAACCTGAATGGCAAGTTAATGTAAGTCCTCCGTCCCTTTACGAAGTTGAAAAAGCCATAGGAAATCTGAAACGAGGGAGAGCAGCAGGCCCTGACAGATTTACTCCTGAGATTTTTAAGGATGGTGGTCCAGTATTAGCAATGAGATTAACCGAGGTCTTAGGTAGAATTTGGGAACTGGACGTAATCCCATCTGACTGGTCTCAATCACTGATTGTGCCAGTCTATAAGAAAGGACAAAAGTTCTCTTGTGACAATCATAGAGGAATCAGTTTGACTAATATAGTGTCTAAAATATTAGCCTCAATCATACTTCGACGCCTAACTAAAGCTCGTGAAGAGCAGACTAGAGAAAACCAGGCTGGTTTTCGACCTGGACGTGGTTGTATAGATCAGATATTCACACTACGTCAGGTTCTAGAACACAGACACACATTCAGACGCCCCACAATGGTAGTATTTCTCGACCTTAAGGCGGCATTCGACTCTATTGATCGTGAGGTTCTATGGCAGTGTTTGTCACTGAAAGGAGTACCAAAGAAGTACATTAACCTTATAAAGGCTCTCTACTCGAACACAACTGGTAGAGTGAGAGCTTATGGCGAACTGTCATCAGAATTGATCACCTCAAGTGGTGTTCGTCAGGGCTGTCCACTCTCCCCATTCTTGTTCAACTTTGTCATTGACGTACTTTTAGAGATAACACTTTCCTCATCTAAATTTACAGGGGTTGAACTTCTACCAGGAGGTTCACTTGTTGACTTAGAATATGCTGATGACATAGTTTTATTTGGTGAAGACGCTGACAAAATGCAGAGTCTTCTGACCACTCTAAACAACAATGCAAGCATGTTCGGCATGCGATTCTCTCCCTCGAAATGCAAAATGTTGCTTCAGGATTGGGTTACATCGACACCCGAACTAGTGATAGGGAGTGAAGTAGTTGAGTGTGTCGACCGCTTCACTTATCTTGGAAGTCTCATCAGCCCTTGTGGTTTAGTGTGTGACGAAATCTCAGCGCGGATACAGAAGGCTCGACTAGCTTTTGCCAACTTGCGTCATTTATGGCGTAGGCGAGATATCCGTCTATCAACCAAAGGACGTGTTTACTGCGCAGCAGTTCGTTCCGTCCTCCTTTATGGCAGTGAAACATGGCCGGTAAGAGTAGAGGATATCCGTAGGTTACTAGTATTTGATCATAGGTGTCTTCGAAACATTGCTCGTATATCATGGGACCATCGAGTAAGTAACACAGTTGTTAGGAAACGGGTACTAGGTAAGGATGGCAAATCAATTGATGAAGTAGTGAAACTTCATCAGTTGAGATGGCTGGGACACGTGTTACGTATGCCCAACGACCGACTGCCTCGACGTGCTATGTTCAGTGGTATAGGAGTAGGTTGGAAGAAAGCTAGGGGCGGCCAGACCAAAACATGGCACAAGTCCATGAAGTCACTGACAAGTGAACTGAGTCATGTTGGTAGGTGTAGACTACCTGGTTGGGGACCGCGAGATGACAGCAACCGATGGTTAGAGACCCTGAATGACATGGCTCAAAATCGTTTGCAATGGCGCAGGTGCATCCACTCTCTGTGTTCTCCCAAATACTAATCTTCTGAATTCTTCATGTCCCTTTTTTCCTCTTTCCAAATTTCTTTCACTGGATTATACTCTTTAAATAACATCTCCAAACCCTAATCTTCCCGATTACTGCTTATACTCTTATTACCTCTACCACTACGGGATTTGAATCGACAAGTGCATCTCTGTGCTAACGTGGTGTGGCAACTCGAACTGATGTACGTACGTACGAAGTTCTACGTTGTTACTGACTGACTGATGTCATTATTTTTATTACTATCACAATTATGTAACTGTATATCATAGTTAATGTACTCAACATTTACCATAACAATTCGGAATATTTAGGCCTTACTATAGAGAATATTCTCCGTTTGACGCTTCTCTGTGGTAGCGATTATACACATGGAATTGATCAGGTTGGTCCAGTTACAGCTATTGAAATATTGAGTGAATTTGATGATGGTGATGATTATTCATTAAATTGTGAAATTAACAACTGGCTTCATGGTGTTGTTAATGAACCTTCCGAAAAATTACTTCATGATATCTTACAACCACTAGAACAATTCACGTAAGTTCCATTTTCTCAAGTTCATATAATAAATAACATCAACTTTTGATCTGTTATAAGTAGAAGAATAAACGACAGTGGCAAACTGAACAATCTAATGTTTTGCCATATTGTTACCCTTATTTCGATTATTATTATGAGCAAGTGAATTATGTGTTCACTTTATTCGCCTAATCATAAGTTTTCATCTGACCCATGAACTGTCACTATTATATCCAAACGAAGACCAGAAGAATAGGAACTTCCCTGTACTAATTTACGGACTATTATTATATATATAATATAATTATTAAGTAATTAGCTTATTATTATTATATATATTCCTTCTATCATAAGTTTTCGATTGACCCACTAACCACTGTTACAAAATTTAGTGTTCTCAATTTATTCCCAATCTGTTATTCACAGTCTCTCCTACTCTCAGTCACTTTTTTGGCTTGATCATGTATAACTGTTATTTCTTGTGTTATTGTGTGATGTGGTTTGGTCTGCTTGTACATAAACTACGTCTATCTGAAACATGAGAACAATCTTGGACTGGTGATTATTGGTCTTGTGTTCTTCCTCTTCGTTTGGGGTTAGTTAGTATTGGACCAAGCGCCAAGTATAGAGTATCAGTCTTTCTTGTCCTTGTTGCGTATTGGTTGCTTAAGGTCATTTATGCGCATTGGCCGACCTTAGGACATAACAACCACTGTATCTTATTCTGTTCTCAAATCACTGTAACTTAATCATGCACTTGGTATCCTGAATGCTTTACTCTAAATATCCTATTTAGGCACTTATTGTATTTTCTTATTTATCGTGTTATATTCCATCTCTTTTTATATTATTGAAAACATCCCTGAAAATCTTCAAAAATCAGGATTTTTAGCTGTCTCAGCATTTTGTGATAATAATGATCACATATAATTTCTCAATATTTAGTTCACTAGCATTCATCTGAACAGTGAATTAAAAACTAGAAAAAACAAGAGACAGTGAATGTTCAATCTTTTTTCATGAACATAGGAGGATTTCAATAATCATCATTCTTTTTATCCCATCTTTATAGTACTCAAAAGCTGTCACTGAAAAGTTTAATTCGTTTAAAGACAGATGCCTTGTTTTTTAATCCTGTATCTTTCTATGAATAGTTCATGGTATTTCTTGAGTTTCACAAAAATTTTAAATTACCTGTTTATACACTGGGAAAAACCAAAGTATCGTTACAAACTAAAATCTCATTCATTTTGTATTGTTTGCTTGAATCTTCCCATTGATGTTTAGAATTAAACGTCAACTCTGAGATGCATGTTCATCCACGTGACAAGTCCAAAATAAGGAGGAAATGCGCGTCCTTGATTTTACTGCTAACCACTATCCATCTTTGCTTATAAAATCTCATAGTACATTTAATAATACTACTTTGAAACTTGACTCTATAACATTCATAGAATGTGCATAAAACAATATAAATTCATTATCTAATCTATAAGAATGATTCACTAGTTTGTAATTTATATATTATTAAAAATCTATATTTAGACATTGGTGGCAAACTACTCGTTCACAAAATTCTTCACAATCAATGAAAATACTTCGAATAGCTGAATCGAATCCAATTAGACGTCGTTGGATAAATTTGAAACCATATCCAGGTATGTACAAACAAATGTTTATGTATATCTTCCGTTTAAAATTTCAGTGAGAATACAATTTATGGACGACCTTTGAGTGACGCTAATGTGACCAAGAGAATATCCACCTATTAACTACGATTAGATGAGGGTTATAAACCAATGTGAAGAATCAATATTATAATTTACAGTTGATGGTTAGGAACTAGATTTAGAGTTTTTATCAAGAACTGACATCAGCCAAAAACGTCTAAACGCTATTTAGCCAAATGGATGAACGAATTTCGCGTCAAACTCCAAGACCTGTTATCGTTTATCTGATTAGTTCGTCTATAAATTTCCCTAATCATGTTTGATGCTCTTTCGTCTATTTGATGTTGATTGATTTCAAATGAAAACTCAGTGTGCTTTCTATGTATGTTAAGAATAAATCAGGTCATTTAGTCTTTCTATCGCCATACATTTCATTTATTTCTTTAAAATATGATTACAATGAGATTTTTCTAATTCAGATTTCTCTAATGATCTTTTCTGTCATCTAAATGGTTATTATCGTTAGTAACTTGCTTACACTGTTATATGTGCTCTAAAGTGGTCATTATATGTCACTATAAAATCCGAGTTATTCTTTTTCAGTATTTTGACTGCTGTATGAATTATAAAATTATTCTAGAACATAGGATGTTGTCTATATATCAGCGGTTGTATATGATTAAAGTTAAAGAGTTGTTGTTTGACAGACGTCTGGTTTATTCGAGTTCATATTCACTGCGTCACATTAGAAGCCTCAATTTATTTATTTTAGCACAAACATTGGTACAAGGGAGAACCAAATACATATGCGTCACATAACAACAATAAGGTCAATAGTAGTTTGGATTGATTTGTGTGAGGGCTGTGATACTGCCCGGGTCCCGAAACTGGGGCCACACCCGCAGCGTTTGACCTGAAGGTCTGATCCATAAAGCAGTGGAGTAACGTAAGGAGATAGCAGTCCCATAGTAGCCAGTGACTAACAATAGGTTCACATGCCTTTTGTTCGCTTAGGATCCTAGAGCCCATGTGGATCATTGGTTTGGAATCAGGGTTTTTCAACTCCGCAAGGTGGATCTTCCATATCCCAGTTAAAGCGCCGGACATTCACTTTCCGTCCTCTTAACTTCGTAAACAACACCCCCACCGCGAAAGGCAGTGAGTAGGACTTCGCTGACAGTGGTTGTATACGCGTGGCCGTGTGAGAGCTTTTCGAGAGGGAGAGCTGGCTCTCATCACCCTCGGCCATACCAGCGCATTTGGGAATTCTAAGCACGTTAATTGTTTTTCTGAGGATAATTACATATAGTCGATTAATTTTCTTTCAAAAGTATATATGATTTTATTCATACATTTGCATGGGCCTAAGAGACATTAGAGAAGGTATTGTTTCATTACAACGGTTTCCTGTTATTTATCTTTTTTTAATCAGGGTTTCCAGATAGCCGTATTGCACGTGCTTACCTCTACCCAAATGTCAAAACCGATTTGCCGCCGTTTAAATGGGAACCACCGAATGTACCGCTTCTTGTCAAATATCCTTTTTTTTGAAGAAAAGAAAACGTCGCACAACTAGTTAAGAAAAGAACTAGAAAGTGTTCCAATTTGTTTATAGAACATCAAATATATTAGCGGATGACTCTAACATGAGTAAATTACGACAATAAATTGTCATAATTTTCTCTGAGCTGGATGTTTTAGTCGTGGAGCTCTCATTGTTCTCCTGAACAACATCAGCACAAACTTCAGGTAGAAGTGAAGTGTTCGAACCCCTCTACATATGACTCACAGCTTGTCATACGTGGAGTAATTCGAACACTTCACCTCCACCTGAAGTTTGGGCTGATGATGTTGTTCAGGAGAACTATGAGAGCTTCACGACTAAACCATCCAACTCAGAGAACAAAACTCCACTTGAATTACAAATTTTTTACACCATCTCGAATTGCAGTCTTTAATATTCGAAAATCAACATCGTAAGATGATTTCCTCTAGTACTATCCATTCTTTCATCAACATAAAATCGTATGAATGGAGTTAAATAAAGGTAGATTCATCACGATAGTGAATAAAAACCCTACCTATCCATTCAGTGTTAATCACTGATTTTAAAGCCTTTAATGTTTATTAATGCTTAATTTTTCGTGAAGCACGGCTTATGAAATTCGCCTTGTTAAGTGCAAGTTGTGTATTCCAATTGTAAATAACTAAGTTTTAGCTGTAAAACATTGTATAAGTGAATATGCAGTTGTCCTAAGAAAATGGAGAAAAAGCTGTCAAGATATAAGCGTACAAAGAAAGTTTAATGATAAATTTGTTTATCAAGGATCTTTCTGTTGACTTGAAAACTCTATGGATCATTAAAATTGAGTTATAGGCAATGTGAATTAGATCTATCCTTAGTGACTTAAGTAATTATTGCAACTTAGGAAATGCTCTTTTTGTAGTCTTGGTATCATACTTATGTGAAGACCACACATATTATTAAATTGCTTAAACGAGCTCAAATTCAATTGTTAGATCGACTGAGATATTATAGATAGAGCTTAGGAACTAGATGTATTCTAATTTGACTGGTGTTGACGGCTTACCGTCCCAGTTTATAAAAGATGAAACTTTTTTGATAACCACAGAGGAAGTGGCTTATACTGAGTCACGAAACGTCAGAAAATTTAATTTTTCTACTCATTGGGATATTACAAATATATTAATTTACTCACACAGAGGAATTGGTGTCTAAAATATTACTCAATAGTCAATCAATACTCAACTAGGGCTTGCGAACAGTAAATCTGGGAAAAACAGACTGGTTCCCAACCTGGACGTGGATTTATCGACCAACTGTTGAACTAATATATACATATGTACTAAGTTGTTTATGACAGACTATCCGAACAAGGGTCCAAACTCCTTACTAAATGATTTAATCATTTATGCCTGGATTATCAGGTGGAAACGCCTCCCCCAAAAATGTTTGTAGTAAAGGGAAATAATCCAATACTCATAAGTGGATAAATTGAGCAACTTTAATTCCCGATTCCAAACATGTCAATGTTAATCATGAATGAATAGAAGTTTGTTACTATTCTTCCTTAGTTTTTTCTATTACACACACGTGAATACCTTATTGGGATGGAATACTGAAAAAACAGAAGCTATGTTGGCTTCTGTACTCAAACATAGACAAAATATGGAGCTTGGGGATCCTAGAGAAATTCTTTCGTCCAAATCACTTATAACAAATTTTTTTCAGATTGAGAATCAAAAGATTTTCCAAAAATCAGAAATTGCTAGTCATCCCGTTGATTCATCAGAGTTGGATGAAGTAAGTTGTATTTTATGCTGGAGAACTATAATTAATTATTAGAGGGTCTGGTAAGAAATATCAGACAATCTTTAACATTTCCAGTATTTTTTTAGTCTCATATATATATATATATACAGAGAGAGAGAGAGAGTTATGGTTAATCGAGATACCCATCTCTTTTTTAAACATCACTGGGTGTTTACTCGTTTATCAGTAACTATCATCAGTAAGTCCTAACGCTGCATAACTTGGCGCACATTATCAGATTTCTAACTAACGTCAGTGTTTGATTAATTTAGAATCGGTGAGAACATAGCTTTGAAACTTTAACTTGATGTTGAATGCTTACAGACCAGCTTTATTCAGTTCGTTATCCTGAACTTATGTACGGTTTTAACAACAGTCAAGTTTGTGTATCAAATGAGCGAAATTGACTGAATAAGTGACAGTCTATTTTGGGATAGTACAGTTTTCAACAAGCAGTGTTCCAGTAAATCTTGTAGAACTTTTGTTCTGAAATTCAGCAAAGCGTTTATATCTGACACCCGAAAATCTTCGTGTAGGATCATTAACATCCTTTAAAAAAAGTAAATAAACTTCATTAGGTGTTCTAATTGGTAGTTATTTCGGACTTTTCATATTTTAGGTAACGGTACCGAGTAAGCGCGTTCGTCAAGCAGCCAGTCGCTTACGAAATCAAAGAACAACAGATCGATTTTTTAAAGCTCCCAGCACTTCACAGCATACAGCACTAGTGAAAGATGTAAATAACCTGCTTTCTGAATTACCTAAACTACGTCAGACTCGACGGAGGCAATCTGTGGAAAAACCTCCAGAGCAAACGAAGACTTTACCCGAGAAAAAACGCAAAGAGAAAGCTCAGATTAAACCCCAACGTCGTGTAGTAGAACGTGTATGTTTATCCGAAGAAGATGAAGATTAAAGCATTGTGAATGCTCCTCAACGTTGTACAGACTAAACTTTCTTAATTAAAATTCTTTTGAATCTCTTTTGTTTATATTTCAACTCGTTTTTTTTTAATTATTCACTTATTTCAAAGACATGAGTACCTTATTTTACAGAGAAATGGAAAATACACAACATTTTTTTAAACAACAACCAAATAACGTTTATTTAAATGCTATGCATAACTTTTGATAATATTAGATTTAATAACATTTTAAAAATGAAATGATTAGTAGTTTGTGTTTACAAAGAGATTTACATTGTAATCACAAATGATTGAGCATCTGGGTAACATACATTCATGGCGACACTGTACATAATCTTTAAAGTTGTAAGCAGCCTACTTCCTTCCATTATATATTACGTCAATTTATTCACATATAGTACAACTCTTCCTGTGTACAGTTCAACATAAACAACTGTAAAATATGGCTCCAAAGTACTCGGAGTTCTACCAGCTTTTAAAAGTTGTATATTCATTAGTGATTCACATAGTGCTGGACGTCCAGCAAGATTTGTATCGAGTAGATCAAAAAGTTCCGGTTTACTGCATCCACCTCTAGACGGACATGTATGAGTTTCTACTATTACAAAATCAGCCTGAAAAAAAAAATCAGTTGAAATTTTTCAATTAACAGTCAAATAAAAGTAGATGTTCTGAGCAACAGAATTCAGAAGTGTTGTGATTTGCGGTGTTCAGGAGTTGATACTGATACACACCCTTCTCCAAACATGAGTACAGCCAATTGATTAAGTGTACAGACTGAAAGTTTGAAAGAAAGTTTATTGACTAAGCCGAATCGATATCTGTACACATCTATATTCCTTAGAAAATAAAGCCGCCTATGGTGTCTCATTCCTAGAAAATGAAAACTATTTTTTTAGCCAATCACATGGACTCATCATTGGATTGATTTCTGACTGGGCCAATATATCACTTTTCCCATCTAAAAAAGTTTGGTCTAGCTTCTCAGATTCAGTTTTACGAGAAATTAAATTAACATCATATACAGCCAATCAAGTGCACTAATGATTTGGCAGATTTCTGACTGACCTAATATGTTAAGTAACGCACAAAATAGTTCATTACCATACACTTTAAATACATTAATAGATTCAAAATACCACAACATAAAGTAGATTTAGCTATATTATGATTCGAAATTCCGCAAACAAACGGAAAATCATACAACGCACAAAATTTCAGCTTGTTTTGCTGGTGGTGATGCACGAAATTACATTTCGAACGGGTTTTGTCTTACAGCATCAAAAAATGTAGAGAAAAAATCGAAGTAGAATTTCGTCACAAAAAGTGATTAGTGTCGTGATTCACTCTAACCCCTTTAAGGTGATTAGATTGAATGGAATTTTCTTTTGAGTGATCGTTTCATAAATTCATTAAGCGAACGGTACTGGATTCGAGTCCCGGAGTGAACATCAACACTGGAATGCCAGTGCGTCCAGCTGACGAGTCACATATAGGACGAAACGCCCCTCCTGGATCCTACTGCTAGCCACCATCCATCTGCCTATAATGCTTGTGACTTACGGCACTATCGAGGCAATCCGCATAGGTTACACATGTGCCGATAAGAGACTGGTCTATTGCAGTCCTAAACATCAACAGGAAATTCAAACAAAATGTATATGTAAAATTAATACTTATGTCTCTTTTCGTTTCTCATTCGATAATTTTTGCGTAGCATATTATGCTATTCAATAATGTCCAGCAGCTAATTGCATGGTGTCTTATTATCGGTAGTTTCACGTTTAGTCCTTGTAAGTATTAAACTGTTCATTTTAGTCTGAGGCCTGAACAGCATTTATGCACCCTATTCGAACCCCATAAGTTTTGTACTATTGAATATTATATAATAAAAACAGTTTCAAAGGTCGATTATCATGGTGTGATTTTTTTCTCTGATCTCTATTGATCTCATGTTTTATTGGAATAGAACGAAGTTTTTCGTTCGACTTATATAAAGAGGTTACGTGTTTTTGACATTACTCGACATTTGGTTTTACGATTTATAAACTGTTGGATAGTGAGATTAGATGGTGGTTGGAGGTAGTCAACAGGAAACCCTGGACCCGGGTTTCGTAATACTTGGCACTCGTCATCAAGGTGTACCTGAAATCTTGAGGGATTACAGGTACACCTTGCTGACGAGTGCCAAGTAGCACGAAACCCGGGTCCAGGGTTTCCTGTTGATTACCTCCAACCACCATCTAATCTCATTACATAGTGCCCGCGGTGTCGAATCACCTAGACTGGTGGCCACATTGCAACATGATCGATAGCATTCGATCTGCACTAATAAGGACTAGACAAGCATGAGATTGATCACCACCCAGTGATCAATCAATTGTGACTGTTGGATAGTGCCTATCATTCCTTCCTGGGCTTTCAAGAAAAGATTTTGATGTGTTGCGGACAGCGCTAAAGGCATTTAGTAAGGTATGTGATAAGGTTATAATGAATATGGTTGCGGATAGACATTTAAAATTTTACAAACTCCTGTCAAGTGTTATCAGATACCAACTATTTCTTTTATATCTTCCAGTTGAACATTAGAATCCATGAATGCAAGCAAACTTATAAAATTTCTACAACACCGTTAGTATCCAGCGCATATACTATGCGACGAACAGGTTATGAGAGGTGACCAACTAGTCAAGAACTTATATTCTTGGACATCATGCGAATCTAAGGATGTATAGATCCTTATCTTAATAAAAAAAACGTCTCATTTAATTCCAGATAATTTACTTATTCCATGTATATGTGATTGCAATTATCTTTTTTTTTCATTTTTTATGAGAGGGAGTAGTTGGAATACTTCGTGCTGAGAATTCCATATTGTATTAAACATGTAATATTAAATAAAGCCATCAGTAATGATAATAATAATCCATTATTTGGAGTATGTCATTATTTCAGAATACTCACTGTGATAGTCATCGATCTCATATGCAAAACAAAAATACGCCATGATGTAATAAGCGTTTGGGAATGATAAATATCTTACCTAAGTCAAGGTAGATGATATTAAACAATTTATTCACTAGCAGTATATAGTTTAGTGGTACAGAGTACTTTCATGTCCAGGATTAAATAGGAACTACTTTTACTATTTAGAAGCTTGTGGTTCGTTGAGCGATTGTGTAATCCATTTGATTTCTGCAAGTAAACCTTTACTATATGGTAACTGTTTGCTTAAATATTCTTTTCTTTTAAGTATATTACAGTGAAAATTAACTAAGACAAAGTTTTCAGTGTGAATGTGGAGAAAAAACAGGATATATTTCCTGTAAATATATATGAATGATAATATTTACTTTTAAAATATGACGATATGTATGCCATACATCATGAACAGGTTTACGACTATAAATCCCATAAGCTAAAATAGTTCTATAACGAAGCATTGTATTCTCATAATGTGGATGATTTGTAAAAGCAAATCCAGATTCATTCAATGAAACAATTTGAGTAGATGGATAAGGAGCAGAGGCTGGTAATGTTAAACGTAGATTGCCTAACAAAGACATTGGTCCAGATATAATCCATGATAAGGATGATGACGATAAGGTAGAATCTTCACGTTTTTGCGGTAAACTTCGAAACCAATTAATTAATATTTCACTTTCATACGCACTGAATGAACCTTGTATACTCCATTCAGACTAACAAGGATTGGAATAAAAAATTATGTAAGAATGCAATATTTATCATGAGCAATTGGAATATTTATCAATATCATGAACTTGGAAAATCATTTTAACAGATTTAACATTTTAAAAAATCAGAAAACTTAGTGTATGAGAAAGATAACATCAGTATGAACATTAAATTAAGTGGGTTTTTTCCAAAATGATCAAAAATATTTGTAGCTCAGAAAGAGTATTGTTTTCTTTGCGCTGAACAGTTTAGTTGTGCAGCTTTTGATTGTTATTTCTAGACAACATCATCAAGATACATTTAGAAAACAAGTGAGCTACTAGGGATTTTTCAAAATTAACTAACAGCTTATCCTGTTGATCAGAGATTTAGTTGACTACTAGACATTTTCTCTCAAAACTATGTCAGTACATTTTCCTCTTGAAATAAAATGAGGCTTATAAATTGGTTCATTTGTTAAAAGATGACCTATTAATACTAATATAATCAAGTAAAAGTGTGATTAATTCTAATCACTTAACTCTAGGAAATTACGAAGAAAAACAGGATGATAAGATTCTTTCTGTGAACATTTGCTAGAAATTGGGCGCCGAGTATACAGAAGACATTAAATGTAGAAATTGTATTAGAATAATTCTAGCTATTCAAATTTAAATAATTCCAACGTTTTGTTCATCAATCTGGCTTGGACTTTTTCAGATTATATAATGTTTGTATTTAATGATAAGCTTCTTGTTCACACGTCACACTCTAAGTAAATTCGTAAGTAAAGTACAAAATATGAATCACAAAAATGAATATGCTTAGTTAGTTTTTGGATTATTTTATATATACGTCTATTTGGTGAAGTTTCGTCTTTTGGACTGGATGGCTTAATCGTAAAACTTTCATTGTTCTTTTGAACAACAACATCAGCTCAAACTTCAGATAGAAGTGAGGTAGTCGGATTTCTCCACAAAAGACCGACAGCTTGTTCTGTCAACCTTTAACCCGCCGTTGTCTGCATGTTTATTTTACTTGTCTCTCCCCTTTGACTCAATTCTTGATTCTGTATTTGTCCACGATTTTCTGATTGGTTGACATACTGAGTCGGTTTCAGTGTGTTTATAGATTGATTGACCTGAGCGCCAAGCTTCTAAAATTTTTCTAATATTCTTTGTATTCCAAGATTTTAACGTTTTCCCAGTACAATATGTGCCTACAATTGTGTATGTATATTGATTTAAGCAAACATACATAACAGCATAGGTGCTCGTGCAAACGACGAGGAAGAGCACCCCACTTTGTTTGATGGAGTGCTTTTCACAGTTGGAACAATTTATTTTGTTGATGTTTGATTTTTCTTTTTCGCCATATCCAAAATTAAGTGATCATTACCAGTTAACAAATGGTGTATTAAAATCTATCAATTATATTGTTTCTAGCTCCAACTTCCAGTTTTGTGATAGATTGTTACCAAAACAAAGAATATTCAGACTGACTAACTATATCAGCTGGTAATAGCCGTGTAAGTGAAGTCTATCGTGTCAGCCAC